CCATCCGAGCTCTCCTTAATCTCATACGAATCAATCCATCTTTGCATGCTTCCGACTAAAAACTAATCTGTTTACGAAATCGGATGTTACGTAATTCTGTTGACAAGACGAACGGGGTCAGTCAGACGACACCGAATAAACACCATCATTCATTCGGGATTCTGATGAATGAAACCTTTTGACACGGCTTGGGAAAGGTACGCAGGGAGAGAGATTTCCCGGAATGCCCGTCGAGGTCTGCCCACGAGCCGCCCTTCACGACCGGCTATTTATGGTAGGAAACGGCGCCTTAATTTCACCGACGTCGTACCTACACAAATTTATATCCGTTGATATACATGGGCGTAGACACGCTTCGGTTCGTTAGTTATTTCTGTAAATATTTGTAGAGTACGTGTTTGTGCGGCCTTGGCACCTGTGTTTTGTATTTTCGGTCGGACAGATGAGATTGTACATCGGGGAAATTTATCGTTTAATTAAAATTGAAGCCGCAGCTCGTATTTCAAAATTAACAACGAAGCTCGAACACGTTTCTAACAACGAAACACGAAATTCCGGTCAATTTTTTTACCAAAAAACAAAAAACAGGCGGTAGAAATGAAATATATACCTTTGGAGTAAAGTACCCGTGGTGAAACATGATATAGTAGAGACTAGAAATTAGTGAACAGCGACTTTTGTTACCGAAAGTGGTCTCTACTATACATTTAGTCCCTCGTTATTACTCATCATTTCAAATTCACGATCGATTATTAATTAACTTAAGATATTTCCACACAGGGGAATTATTCAGTTACGTGAAAGGCTTCTTCCACTAACCGGAACTCTGTTAATGATACTCTTTCTGGAAATCAATGACAAACCATTTGCAGAAAACCGCAAAAAAGGCCACTGATGTATGTAGGTATGATAATTGTAGTTATTTCCTGTGAAACAATGGGCTTCCACGACAATTATTAAGTTGTGGTCACAAATTTATTGTTAATTTCGAAAGCCTAAACTAGAAACCACGCTTCTGGCTTGCATTATTACTTTAAAATTATGCAGTACGCGGTTTATCAGACTTCCTGTCATACTTAACTAAAATTACTTAATTATTATTTACCAATGGGGAATTTCGGCACTTTCGAGAAAAGGATGCGAGCATTTTGCGATACTCAACAACATGTTTTTTTACTTCTTGTGGAGAAAAAAGATTTTGTCTCACAACGAATAAAAAAATCATCACAATTGAGATAGGGCGGGTGGGCGAGGCTTACATTTTGCCTTTTTTTCTTAATATGTGTAGTTATCTTTTCGCAACAAGAAACTTAAAACATGTTTAAAATGGTAAATTTGTATAGGGAAATATCGATTTATATTTTGTATTTTTTTGTTAATATACATAGATATCTTTTTACAAGAAACTTAGAACATAGTTAAAATGGTACATTTTTGAAAGGAAATATGTATTTTGCAATAATGAAAATATCGACTTTTCCTTACAAAAATTTTCTATTTTTAAATACATATGTTGTAAGTTTCATGTTATGAAAATGTTGTCTACACATATTAAAACAAAAAGGCAAAACATAAGCCCGCCCGCCCTCCCTTATCTCAATTGTGATTTTTTTTATTAGCCGTGAACCAAGGGGGCGGAGCTTAACTGCAAAATACTTATTTTTTGCATGAAATTAAAAACATGTGTTCGGGTATCGTGTTGTTCAAAGAATACTATGTACATAAAGAACAAAAAAAAGCAAAATATTAACCCCGCCCACCCACCCCATCTCAATTGTGATGATTTTTTTTTATTCTTAGAAAAACACGTTTAAAATGATAAATATTTGTAAGGAAATATGGATTCTGCAATTAAACCCCGCCCCTCGATCTAACAACGAGTGAAAAATTCATCACATTTGAGAATTGAAATCGGGGCGGGTATGGGTGGGGCCTAACCTTTGGCTTTATTTTTTTCTTAATATATACAGCGTGTTATTGAAAGGTACGTACAAAATAAAATCGGCAATTGGTCTCGAAGTATGGGTGCTACAAGTTAAAAAAAGTTCAGATAAAAGTGTTCTCCTTTTAGAGATAAAAATTATTAAAATTTATGTCCAATTTCGTTGTACATACATACGCCTCTGATAAAAAGATCATCTCTCGTTTCAATAGCAACATTTAGTCTTGACAAAAGTTTTATGGTTACAGTTGCTAGGATTTACTAAAATAAATAAATTTTACCTATTTATCCTTCAGTAGCGTCTAAAAAAGTTGGATAAGGGTTAATTTTTCCCTTATAATTTTGATAACACAAAATTGGACTTCGTGAAGAACTGTCAATTTTGTTGTACGTACCTTTCAATAACACCCTGTATAGTCTTCTTTCACCAACAGGATACTCAAAAACATGTTTTTAATGTCTCGTAGAGAAATGGGGATTTTGTAGTTAAACTCCGCCCCTTGGTTCACGGCGAATAAAAAAAAATCATCAAATTTGAGACAAGGCGGGTGGGCGGGCCTACATTTTGACTTTTTGTCTTAATATGTGTAGTAATCTTTTCACAACAAAAAACTTAAAACATGTTTAAAATGGGAAATATCGATTTTGCTCCGCCCCTCGGTCTGACAATGAATGAAAAATTCATCACGGTTGAGATCGAGACGGATGGGCGGGGCTTCTTTTTTGTTTTTGTTTTTTTTTTTTAATTACATAATACATTGAGTTTTCTTTGTATAACACGATTACTTAAGAACATATTTCACATGGTAATTTCTCATAGAAAAATAAAGATTTTATAATTAAGGTCCACCCCTCGGCTTACGACGAATAAAAAAAATCATCAGAATTGAGATAGGGCGCGTGGGCGGGGCTTATATTTTGCCTTTTATTCTTAATATACATAGCCATCTTTTCACAACAAGAAACTTAGAATATCGTACATTTTTTAAAGGAAATATGGATTTTGCAATGATAGGGTGGCAAAATGCAAACCCGCCCACCCGCCCTATCTCAATTGTGATGATTTTTTTTATTCGCCGTGAACTAAGGGGGCGGAGCTTAACTGCAAAATACTAATTTTTTTTACAACAAATTAAAAACATGTTTGTGAGTGTCGTGTTGTTCAAAGAATACCATGTATATTAAGGAAAAAAGGCAAAATATAAACCCCGCCCACCCACTCCATCTCAATTGTTATAAATTTTTTGATTCTTTGAAACTTAAAACACGTTTAAAATGGTAATTTTTTTAAATTAAATATGGATTTTGCCATTAGGTTCCGCCCCTACAGCAACCAACGAATGAAAACTACTTCATTACTATTTAGATCAGGGCAGATATGGGGTATGGGTGGGGCTTAATCTTTGACTTTAACGTTTTCTTAATGTACATAATATTCTTTTAATAACACGATACTCAAAAACATGTCTTGCTTACTACATAATTTCTTGTAATGAAATAATAAGGATTTTGCAATTAAATTCCGCTACTTTGGCTCTCGACGATTAAAACAATCATCGCAATTGAGATAGGGTGGGTGGGCGGGGCTCATATTTTGCCTTTTTTTCTTAAGCAGACTTATTTCGACAACAAGAAACTTGAAACATGTCTAAAATGGTAAATACTTGTAGAAAAATATGGATCTTGCAATGAACAACACGATACTCAAAAATATGTTTTTAATTTCTCGTAGAAAAATAAAGATTTTGCAGTTAAGCTTCGCCTTCTTGGCTCACAACAAATAAAAATAATCATCAGAATTGAGATAGGGCGGGTGGGCGGGGCCATATTTTGTCTTTTTTCTTAATATGTGTAGACTTATTTCGCCAACAAGAAACTCAAAAACCAGAGGCGGCTAATGCCAGGGGACACAAGGGCACGTGCCCCCCCTAAATAACAACGTCTACAAACACACTGGACATACCAGAATATTAATTTTAAATACTTAAAAAATTATCCGGAAATTTGTGTCATACTAATTTTTTTATCTCGCTCCACTTGTATAAAATGTATCAAAACTAACAATTAAAGATGTTGTGTCTTGGATACGGATGTTGCTAATGAAGTGCTGATAAAAGCTGGAGACGGAGACCGAATCATGGCTGATTTAGACGTGTTGTTTACACCGTTGCCATGGAAACCGTGCGTACAGACGCGATATTGGAGTGGAATCGGGTCGTGTTCCGACAGCAGCCAGCAGCGGGTTTTAATTTTCATTCTGCGCCAGTGAAATTATTTGATTTTAAATAAAAATAATTAATGCGGTTGAATATTTAATCAAAAATTCGTCCTCTGTGTCACGACGGTAAAATTTTAGCGAAAAATTTAGGAAGAGCCACCCACGATGTATTAATAAAAAAAAAAGGGTTCGTGGTAAAACGAGAGACTTTCAAAGATATTTAATATACGTAACACGTATGATACATATTCTTGGATGTGCGGTTGTGAAAAAAATCATAAATTATTTTGTTTTATGTGTAAGAGCAACAAAACATGCAAGAAGTGCGAGTCATTTGCATCATTTAGTGGATTACAATCTTCTCGATAATACAGACATTCGGAAACAACTAGACACCGCCTATATTAATAATATTCGGGCACATATACAAATTTAAAAACCAAAATACCTGACTTTCTGAAACATTGGGAACGTATTTTTACCCAAATACCAAAATTATATTTATTTCAAAAGTAAGTTTATACTTAAATGAGATCGAGAGGGTAGTTTCCAATTCGAGAAAGTTTCCGATTCTGTCTGGAAACGAGAAAACCGGAAGTAATTGCGCCTCGAGTTGTTTTTCCAACATTTTTTAGACAAAACTTCTGATTCTACGTTATGATCCCTTAAATATACTGCGGAATTCGTATTACACGTAATTTCCAACACTGAAAGCTCAAATTAGCTACATCATTTCGAATTAATTCAATTTTCATGAAAAAATCAAATGACGCAGAATCAACCCTCGTCACTTCGTTATCGTCCCTAATCGCAGCTTCCCTCTAGACACCAACCCCTTACCTTGATAGCACAACGCGACGAAATCGCCCTCCGTCTGCCTCGCCACATCCCACCGGAGCAGCCACGACCCATCCTCGTTCTGGTTGGCAAAAATCCTATCCCCCGTCGGACTGACATTGTTGGTCCTCTTCAGCACACTGTGGGTGTTCACCACTTCGTCCCCCGGCTCCTCCACGTCGATCGTCTCCAGGTAAATCGGCCTGTCTTTACCCACGTTGCACTTGAGAAACTGGCAGGTATTATCATCATCAGGACTGGCGTTAATATCACAATTAATTTCAATATCTTCGACTGCTGGTCTGTCCATCTCCCGTTTGCCCATCACCATTCCATCTCGGCGCTATCTCCTCACGTTGCCATGACGACAGACAACCAGGCGTCGGGGGCTGGGCGTCGAGGCACCATCCTCGAACAGCGCAAAGAGCAGCATAATAGGGACTTAGAGTGATTCACACATCTTTATTTTGTGGCTTTTCAGGGTTAGAGTGGTTAGACCGAGGTCGACGGTTAAACTCGATGACGAAAGTCATGCGTGCGGAAAACGAGACATTTTATCGGTAAATAACAGTCTTTGGGGTTATACGATAGGGTTTAACACAGCAAACACGATTTAAGGCGTGTTTTTTCGAAAATTGTGTACACAGCTGATTTGACAGCAAATCATAACGCGTTTTGACATCCGCAACTGACAGACGGGGCGCGTGCGCGCGGGGATGACAGTCACTAAAAGTGGCGCCAATTTTGAAATTCGTTTGATTTCTGAAGCGGTCAATTTCAGGTTTGCTGACGTTTCGGAACGTGAAAAGTACAGAAAAGTACAAATAAATTCAAATGCGAATTTAATAAATATTTAATAGATAAAAAGTATTATAGCTTCGGTAAGGAACTGATGTTAACGTCTACTTGAATTGTGAAAATGTATATATTTTACGTGCAAGACACTCTTTTATTTCTTGTTTGGTTTTTTCTTCTTTTCGGCTTCCCTTTCCTTTTTTCGTGCCAAAACCTTCTTCATAGCTTCAGTCATGTGACCAGTTTCGACTGGTAGTTGTTCAACTTCACGCTTTTTAACCCGCTTCTTCTCCACCTCTGGTGCGACTTCCTCGTCTTGTTTTTTTCCCCGCTTTCTAACCGGTTTTTTCACTTCCACTTCTTCTTCAAGTTCCTGGTCGTCAATTTCAGGTACTACACTTCTTCTCTTTCTGGGTGTAGTATGAAATTCGAGTGGACCGTTTACAGAGGCTCCGTTTTTTTTAATCTCTTGTTCGAATAAAGAGCGAATTTTTTTGTAGTCTGGTTTTTCGTCAAATGTGAGGTTATTGACGTACTCTAGGTACTTCACGAGTACTTCTACAATAAACTAGTTTTATTAAAAATTAAAATTTTGAGAATTCTCACCTTCAGTCTTCTTTAAACACCTTTTTACAAACTGTGGAATGTTATCCATGCTAGTCTCTTTCATTTGTTGGACTTCTTTAGGGTTGTCTAATTTGGACTCCCAGGGTAAAGTACCACCCAACCATTGTATTAAATTGTAACCTAAGATTTCAAAGTCACCTCGTCGTGTGGGTACTAAAATGAGCTTTTTATTAATGTAACTAACTAAATGTTATCACGGTTACCTCCATGATGGGCGTCGCGACTGAGATACTCGATTGTACCATCATGGGCCTTTTTAGGATTAGGCTTAAACTGCTTTTCTGTAGTAAATTTTGTTGCTAAACCAAAGTCAAGAAGATACATCTGATTTTTTGTTGCAGGGGAAATCCCAAGTATGATGTTACCACCTTTAATATCGGCATGGACGTAACCGAGTTCATGAATGTATTCCAAAACGTATGTCTAAACAGACAAAAAAAAATGTATCAGTGGTAAATCTGCTTAGAACAGAATTGAAACTTTTGATATCACATCTAAATATTTATGATTCGTTCAAGATTATTCGCCGCCGCACTACCTGCCACTACACAAGCAATATTGAACGTTTTTACTGTTTTTTTTTTATTGTATGTGTATGTAAAAGTGAAAATGTACTTAGGTTAAGTTCCATATAATGGAAAACTAGCTACAACGTCATGATCTACCACCCACTTAATTGCCTCTTTGATCAATCAAATTAAAAGTTAAAATATTCTCAACCAATCAATATTATCATGACCTCTACAAAACTGTATCAACTTACAATCTGCCACGCCAACTGAAAGACAGTGCTGAGTGGTAGCACCCCCTTATTTTCCGCCCTTATCTTATCAATATCGGTCCCAAATTTCTCCATGACAATAAACCTATACTTCATACTTCCAGCTTCATGTGAGCCAGATCCCAAATACACAGGCATTCCGAAAGTCTTCAGCTTATGTTTCTTCATAAAAGTATCAACTATAAAGTTAAATTAGAACAAACAACTCAAATTTTTACCAACTCACCATCAGCTTGTTTTGCGTTCTTCATATAAAAATGCATCTCGACGAACAAGGGACCGTTACCGTGGGGCTCTACTTTCACAACATAGGGGTACTTTGATGCTTTGGAAGAAGCTTCCTTGGCACAATAAATTTCCCCAAAGCCCCCTTTTCCAATTGAGGTTCCTAATATCCACTGCTTTTTAGCGATGTCTGTTAAGAGTTCACCGGCTGGAAGCGGATCCGGCATGTTATAGCCGTTGGTCGCTTTTTTACGTGGCTTTTTAGGGGCCTTAGCCATCTTTTAGGTTAAATTAATTAAAACAACAAAAATAATACAATGTAAATAGGAAACATAAACACACATGACACGCAAAACAACACTACATCATTTCTTTATAGTTTTTCTTAATTTTTGGGTTTTAGGGTGAAAAAGCACTCACATAACCCGCGAAAACCGAAGAAGTCAGTTTGAAGCTGTTTGACAGATGACTGAGGTCTGAGATGGCGCCACTGTATAGAGTTATGTTGGTTGCCTACGTATTTTTTAAATCAACCTAATTGCAATATAAAAAAAGTCCGGTCTATATAGAATACAGATTTTATTTAAAATTGAGTTCGCAATTTTACGCTTGAAGGGCAGATTGGTCATTTCCATTGTGTAGTACTGTATCAATACACCTTCTCTTATCTTCTATGGCCATGTCTGGTGAACACTTCCAGATGATTGGATCACAATACTTTTTCCTTCTTTCCGAGGGATCCTCATATTTTTCACAAAATCTGACACCATGTTGTTTAAGTTGTAGTTTAATCTGACATTCATTGATCTCATCTAGTTTAGCCGAATTCCAGCTAAAACAACCCTTGTATCATTTGAACTTTCACAAGAATGAGAGAATACAGAGGAAGGGGAACTCTTGCAGGGTAATCTTCAGGTTTTGGAGGTCGAAACTGTTCTGTGTAACTGGTACACTCGCGCTTATTACACCCAAAGTCGCATTTCCACTGTTGTTTTTTGTATTCCAGAATTCCACGTTTTGACAAGTTACCCTTAAATCAAACAGGTCAGAGACAGGAAGAAGTAAATAAAAAAAGCTGTAGGTTTTTGGCGTTACGAAAAAATGTTCAACTTACAAAGGTTGGCAGATATTCATCTGAAGGGCTGTGCATACCTCGCATTAGATGCCATTTTCGAGGTATATGACTGTTAAAACACTTGGGAAAATAGTTGTAAGTCAAGTCGTACATAGTTGTAAAATTTTCGAAATAACTGGGTTGCTCGCTTTTACTAGATTCACAAAGAATACAAGTCTCCTACAAACAAAAACTTGAAGCCTGCTTTCAACTACTTTTATGACATTATCGTACCTCTGCTTTTAAAATTTTATCCCAAACGGTATTTGCGCTAATTTTTGTGCTTTGTTTTGGAGCGAAATGTTCTGTATAAGTTGTTGAATGTTTGTAAGTTTGTGGTGGTAGCAAAATGGCATTGTCTCGATCCTGAACCCAAGGGCCTATGAGTACTTTGTTGCAATATTTAGATTTTTGCTAAGAAATGTTTGTTAGAAAGAGATAAGGTGGAAAGATTTCAATACATACAGGGTACTCGAATCTGTGTTCCATATAACAAAATAATATTTAAAAAATGTCACACTGACAAAAAAATTATGTACTAATAATGAATCGAGTTTGACATGTAAGTACGTGATGGAAGCTCATGTAACAATATAATTTAAGTAATTTGAATATTTATGTCTTCTACAATATTTTCTAAATAAAAACCTAAAATTACACTTATTTTTAATATCCCAATCGTCCACTTTGACTTTTTTCCAAAAGAAAAAATGTACATTGACGCATTCAAATGTAGTGTCAAATTGGCAGTTGTAGTTTGTAGTTTGTAGGTATTCAGTCTAATTTTTTAAGGGTTTTTCCTATGGCTTCCGATAGCTGTTTAAATTTTTGCGTTCCTTCTGAAAACTCCCGTCTGGTTTTCGCCAAACCGACCAACCAGTATTCAGACAAAGTATTAGTAGGTTCCTGGTTCGACGAGCGTCGTTGTCGGGAAGCAATCCCTCGAGACAACGAAATAAAAACAACAACATACTCAGATGACTTCGGTGCCAAACCTTACGCAGTAGTCAGTCCTAACGCAGCGTGGGACCTACGAATAAAAACACAAGTATCTAGCCTGTAAATTAAACGCAAATCGTCTGAAAACAGGTCAAAAATTCCAGGATTCAACCTTTGTGAGGCAGGGGGTGTCACGTATAAAATATCCCAGTGATTCTGAAAATTATGCAAGTACGTACGATGTAGCCTTTAATTATAACCCGAAATACACGAATTATTATGTGGACTACAAACTGGATGTACGCCACCCAAAAATTGATCAAGCTGAGATTTTGGTAAATAAATTTACAACTGTCAAGTGAGTTATACTTAAATTGGGTTGTAGAAGAACCTGACTAGGAAATGTTTACACGACTATAAGAAAGAAGTGTGGAAATTTGACAATTATATCGCCAAATATCCTCCGAGTAAATATAAAGAGGATTATGTGCCTCCACCCGAACGCTTTTACAAGTTTAAACGAAATGGAATACCGCTGTACATTTTAGAAATCTCATGGGTGTCACAGATTTTTTCAACAGCAATATCTCGCTTATTAGTTAAGATCGCACACTTTTGAAAAAAGCATGTCTCTTCTAGAAAGCGGGATATTGCTATCGAAAAAATATCCCACTGTTCTCGTAGAAATTATACGTTCTTTTTAGGGATAATTCGTCGAAAGTAGGGGACCTTAACCAAATGCTTGCTAGTCTCAAGCTACGAAATACTCCCTTTCAAAATCTGTCACAAAAACGCTTGGTCACCGTACCCCAAGCCGGTCGGTTTAACCCCATTACGTGGGACTTTATTCCAGGGGTGAAAAAAACTGCTTGAAGAATGAGATTTAACTTCACATGAAATATTGGATACATTTATTCACTCGCAGTTCTAGGGGTAACTGGAAATTACAAAATTCACGAAGAAGTAAACAAATTAATGTGTTGATCGTGATCTTCGTGAAATGAACCGTTTTTGTTTTGTTGATTCGTTTAAATTTTAAATAAATTAAATTTATTCTCAACTCGACTGATTTGATTAAAAAAATCGTAGAAGGAAAGACTTACACATGCATAGATATATACATACATATGTACTTGTTCTTTCGAGACAAAACCATAAAATATTTGGCTCTCCAAAAAGCTGAGAGTGTAGAGAAATCTAGAGGAAGTCCACTATTGAGTTCTGTGTTGGTTTGTTGGTGAAGTTTTTCGTTGATTATTGATTGATGAACATGATGTCGGTTAGTTGGTTAAACACCTTCTTACACCTCTCTCTTACACACTGTTGATCGCGTTACACATCATCACGACAAAAAATTGTAGTGAAATAAAAATGAAATTTTACTCAGAAAGTGGGCTAACCTGCGTATTTTGGTTCAATTTTTCTAAAATTATCGATTTATAAACGTACACAAATCCCAAATAGATTAGCTGGAAATAAGCAGTTGTTAACTTATTTCATCACAATTGAGAGGGAGTGGGTGGACGGGGTTTATATTTCGTACATTTTTTTTTTAATACACGAAATCTTCTTTTCCCAACAAGAAACTGAAAACATAGTTAACTATCGTGTTGTTCAAATAAAACTACAAGTAACTAAAAAAAAGTCCTGATCTCAACTGCGATGAATTTTTTATTCGTTGTCAGGCCAAGGGGCGGAGCGTAATTGCAAAATACATATTTCCCTACAAAAATTTTGAGCATGTTTTAAGTCTCTTGTTGTGAAAAGAAGACTACGTATATTAAGAAAAAAGGGCAAAATATAAGCCCCACTCACCCACCCTATCTCAGTTGTAATGATTTTTTTTATTCGTTGTCAGACCGAGGGTGGAGTTTAATTGCAAAACTCATATTTCTTTGCAAAATTTTACTCTTTCAAGAACATATTTCACATGGTAATTTCTCGTACAGAAATGAGGATTTTGCAACTAAGCTCCGCCCTCGGTTCACGATGAATAAAAAAATCATCACAATTGAGACGGGGTGGGTGGGCGGGGCATAAATTTTTAACATTTTTTCTTAATATACGAAATTTTTTCCTAACAACAAACTGAAAACCTAGTTAACTACCGTGTTGTTCAAATAAAACTATATCTAACTGAAAAAAAGTCCCGATCTCAATTGTGATGAATTTTTTGTTCGTTGTCAGACCAAGGAGCATAGCGTAATTGCAAAATACATATTTTCTTACAAGAATTTTCAACATGTTTGAAGTTTCTTGTTGTGAAAAGAAGACTACGTATATTAGGAAGAAAGAGCAAAATATAAGCCCCACCCACTTACCCCATCTCAGTTGTAATGATTTTTTTATTCGTTGTTAGACCAAGCGGTGGAGTTTAATTGCAAAATAGATATTTCTTTGCAAAATTTTACTCTTTCAAGAACATATTTCACATGGTAATTTCTTATAGAGAAATGAATTTTTTGCAACTAAGCTCCGCCCAAGGCTCACGATGAATAAAAAAAACATCACAATTGAGAGTGGGTGGGTGGGCGGGGCTTATATTTTGTACACATTTTTTTAATATACGAAATTTTTCCCTAACAAGAAATTGAAAACCTAGTTAACTACTGTGTTGTTCAAATAAAACTATATGTAACTAAAAAAAAGTCCCGATCTCAATTGTGATAAATTTTGTATTCGTTGTCAGACCAAGGGGCGGAGCGTCATTGCAAAATACATATTTCCCTACAAAAATTTTCAACCTGTTTTAAGTTTCTTGATGAATAAAAAAATCATTACAATTGAGACGGGGTGGGTGGGCGGGGCATATATTCTTTACATTTTTTCTTAATATACGAAATTTGTTCCTAACAAGAAACCGAAAACCTAGTTAACTACCGTGTTGTTCAAATAAAACTACATGTAACTAAAAAAAAGTCCCGATCTCAGTTGTGATGAATTTTTTATTCGTTGCTAGACCGAGGGGCAGAACCTAATTGTAAAATACATACTTCCCTAGAAAAATTTTCAACATGTTTAAAGTTTCTTATTATGAAAAGGGGACCACGTATATTAAGAAGAAAGGGCAAAATATAAGCCCCACCCACCCTATCTCAGTTGTAATATTTTTTTTATTCGCTGTCAAACCCAGCGGCGGAGTTTAATTGCAAAATCCATAATTTTTTGCAAAATTTTGCTCTTTCAAGAACATATTTCACATGGTAATTTCTTGTAGAGAAAGGAGGATTTCGCAACTAAGCTCCGCCCTCGGTTCACGATGAATAAAAAAATCATTACAATTGAGACTGGGTGGGTGGGCGGGGCATATATTCTTTACATTTTTTCTTAAGGCTCGCGTCTGGATCGGTTTCGCCCTATACTAAATACATTGAAAACATCGTCGTGGTTTCCGGAGTTGCATTTTAAAAATACGGGATATATCGCTTTAAAAAAATTATATTTCGAATTAACAAACTTGAGTCCAGGGGACCTCCATATTTATATTCATGTCTAGTCCGCAGTTTTTACAAAAAAAAATTATAAAGTTGACCAATTTTTACACCAGATTTAACCGGTACATTGATGCATTTTTTGAAGAAGTGCTGAAGTGATTTGCATTCTGAGATAGGAGGTCCCCTGGGGAAAAGTGTCAGCTTTCTTTTGATACCATTTATAATCCTAAAAAATTCACGACTGAGGTAAATAACTCTCGAAAAGACAGAATCTGTTGAAACGAGAAATCGCCATTAAACGCGCTATGATGCCGTAGTAGAATACAGGTTTACTTAGATTCTGGTTTGGTTGCAGACTTAATTTAATGTGGACCTTGTCCACCAGGGGGAGCTGTTTTTACTCAGCGATTTATCGGAATAAAATTTTGATATCGCATTTCCGATTTTACAATACCATTTCGGTTTTGAGAAGTGACAAAATAACGTATCCATCCAGTGGCGTAACAATCAAACTGCGGGCCTGTGTTCTACAACACTGTGGGACCCCTAATGAACAGCGAAATAAAAATATTTAACAATACGAGTATAATGAGTAAAGAATGAGTAGATTGCAATTAGCGCTAACGTTTTATTAAAATCATTCTACCTGAAACATTGAATTAAAAAAATAAAATACAATAATTACCTGAAGAAATATAATTAAAATATATACAATATTAGAAACTAGCCGACCCGCCAAACGTTGTTTTGGCATTTCTAGTGAATATTTTGGTACACAGTTAAATAAAAAATTAAATTAAAATAAATACATAAAAATTTATCGTACGACAATGATTATATTCAATGGTCATCTTGCAACCCTATTGCGCATCTGTGGATGAAAGCAAAGATACTCATATCGTTATTAAAAAATGGGGGTTGGTGGTAGAAGGGTCAAAATTTAGGGTTATATGTATTTTTTGATGGCAAATCTTAAAAAAATAAAAATAAAAAATGTCTAAAAAATAAAAAAAGTTTGGTGGGTCACCCTTATCACTTAGGGGTTTAAAAAATAGTTTACTAGACCTACCGAATATACACAAAAAAATTCATAAAAATCGGTCAAGGCGTTTCGGAGGAGATTGGTTACAAACACTGTGACACCAGAATTTTATATTAGATTATTTTAGAAAAAAATTCTTTACCATAAAAAAGGTTATACTGAGTCGACCTTAAAAGATTGACGTATGCTGTCGCGGACTTTTTTTTAGAACTTTTAGAAGGGAACAATTCCATCATACATGATTTTTATGTAACTTTAACCGTTTAATACGCAGCGTAAGCAACGGAAGCTGTCAAAGGACGAATAATTTTCCCGTTTTTCCGATATTTTTTCATTCTATAATAATTTCCCAGTCCAGTTTTTTTTCTACTTAAAAAATTAGTTGTAACATACGTCAGATATATTTTATTATTCCAAAAAAGCACCACAAGTACAAAATTAAAATAGTTTTGAAAATACGAAAATTTTCATAAAACACAACTGAAACTGATTTTTTTTTTCACGTTTTATTACAGCATGAAGTTTCACTGTAGAACTGAGGACAAAATTTAAGTATTTTGTTGTCTTGCATCATAAATTAGTCATACTTTTGTCGGATAAAGATTGGTAATTTACTACATGGGGTGTTAGATTTGCTACAATGGGATTGCGACACTGCGACAGGTTTATTACAAACAGATGCTGCTGCATTTTCGACCGCCGGTGCCTGTCGCTAAAACCCGAGTTTATTGAGTCTATGATATTGAATCTTTAGTTGATTGTTTATTTTTTTCAACATTTTCTACAATTTCAGAAATTATGGATTCAATAAACTTATGTGTTTTTTTACTGTTTGTACAATTTTTTGTACTAATTGCACGTTTTGTTTTTTTTTGCGTAGATAAAATTTGTCACGAGCCATTATTATAAAATAAGGTGTAACAACAAAAATATAGTGCAAATAATTTGTAAGTGGACGACCGAAACTATGTTTTAGGCAGACACTGACAAAGTGGTAGTAACATTGGCAACTGTTCCAAAACTGAGTTTTGCCGAAAAAAGGTACTTTACGTGCATTTCAAACAATTACATTCATAGGACTCTACCATTTCTACCAGCCAGATGTAAACAACCACCTACAATAAATTTAACAACTTTTGTTTGTCACCGGAAGTGGGACTGGTATTGCGGACTGAAATTATCCCTTGTACACGCTTTCGACTCCATTTGAGTAACAATTTTTTTCCGAATTTAAAATTACGTTCAAGCTGTTGTTCAAGCCTAAAATTTAAAATTAAATCTTTCCGAAACAGTATGACAAATATGTAGTGAACAAAAAATATTTACACCTTATACAAAAAAATGAGGTTTACGATGCGCAAGCATATGATATACGTAAAATTAAAAATGCAAGTCAAAGTTAATATGCATAAAAAATAGCAGCTGCTTCTATTAAAAATTTAAAATTAATTATTTAAATCCTTACAAAACGATATACTAACAAACAGTTTAAGCAAAGTCAAATTTTTAAACAAACTGCCTTCTGCCATGCAGTTAGCCGCCAAAATAATTAACATGAATATTTTAGTACTTACATAAAAAACCACCGTTGAATGCTTAGAATTACTTGCACACAACGTACTAATGATTTACGTTGAAGAAAGTAAAAAATTTTGCTATGTGGCTAATAGCTTCAAGGACACGTTATTATTCATTTTCAAACGATTGCGGCTAATAATTTTAACAATTTATTGTTATTTACTTGGTAAATATATTTTTATTTTTATTACTATTGTTTTGTTGCAAACGATAAAGTAAATAACAAAACCAAACTCTTATACATTATTAAGTTTAAGAAAAATTTTCCGCCAAAAATATTCTATTTGTAATGAATGGGCATGTCCGACAGTGCAGATAGTAGGAAAATAATAAAAATATTTACTTATACCGGAAATATTGTTAATTCTCTTATTTCAAGTTTGGCCTACAAATGTGGAAAATCCGTCCCGTTCGTAAATAGTACCTTGGCGCGACCAATTTTTGCTTTACATGATGTTCCTGTAATTCAGACAAACAACACATCCTTGATAGGAATAAATCACATATCTGCAGATAATTCCCCGACAGTAGGAGGTACTTTAATATTTACATATATTTAATATATTTACCGAAAACAATTTAAGTACGGAAACAAAATAAATAACTGGAAAGAATTAACTGTAGCCAAAATAGGAAAATGAATCAGTGAGTTTTACATCTTTCCGGTTTTGAACGGTCAAGGGTAAATTCAGGTACCCGGGTTTTGTTTGCAACTATTATGGCTAGACAGGCACTGCGGCTTGTGTACTAAAACTTATTTCCGTACAGTAAAATGTAGAATTCTACGGATCGGTGCTGCATTTATTCACATTTTAGCAATTCACTAACAGGAGGCAGCATCTCCCGGGTCGTTTTATTCTCACTTTGACCAGGCAGATATTTTGGCTCCAGACGGCACCCTTAATATACGAAATTTTTTCCTAACAACAAACTGAAAACCTAGTTAACTACCGTGTTGTTCAAATAAAACTATATCTAACTAAAAAAAAGTCCCCATCTCAATTGTGATGAATTTTTTGTTCGTTGTCAGACCAAGGAGCAGAGCGTAATTGCAAAATACATATTTTCTTACAAAAATTTTCTACATGTTTTAAGTTTCTTATTGTGAAAAGGGGACTACGTATATTAAGAAGAAAGGGCAAAATATAAGCCCCACCCACCCACCCTATCTCAGTTGTAATAATTTTTTTATTCGCTGTCAGACCGATCGGCGGAGTTTAATTGCAAAATTTTGCTTTTTCAAGAACATATTTCACATGGTAATTTCTTGTAGAGAAAGGAGGATTTTGCAACTAAGCTTCGCCCTCGGTTCACGATGAATAAAAAAATCATCACAATTGAGACGGGGTGGATGGGCATATATTCTTTACATTTTTTCTTAATATACGAAATTTTTTCCTAACAAGAGACCGAAAACCTAGTTAACTACCGTGTTGTTCGAATAAAACTACATGTAACTAAAAAAAGTCCCGATCTCAATTGTGATGAATTTTTTATTCGTTGTCAGACCAAGAGGCGGAGCGTCATTGGAAAATACATATTTCCCTACAAAAATTTTCAACCTGTTTTAAGTTTCTTGTTGTGAAAAGAAGACTACGTATATTAGGAAGAAAGGGCAAAATATAAGCCCCACCCACCCACCCTATCTCAGTTGTAATGATTTTTTTTTATTCGTAGGCAGACCCGCGGGGGAGTTTAATTGCAAAATTTTGCTCTTTCAAGAACATATTTCACATGGTAATTTCTTGTAGAGAAAGGAGGATTTTGCAACTAAGCTCCGCCCTCGGTTCACGATGAATAAAAAAATCATCACAATTGAGAGGGGATGGGTGGGCGGGGCTTATATTTTGTGCATTTTTTCTTAATATACAAGTCTTCTTTTCCCAACAAGAAACTGAAAACATACTTAACTATTGTGTGGTTCACAAAAAAACTATATACTTATATTGAGAAGAAAAAAAAACAAAGATTAAGCACGACCCATCCGTCTCGATCTCAATTGTGATGAAATTTCATTCGTCGTTAAACCGAGGGGCGGAGCGTAATTGCAAAATACATATTTTCCTAGAAAAATTTACCGTTTTGAACATGTTTTAAGTTTCTTGTTAAAAAGACAACGTATATTAAGAAAAAAGATCAAAATATTTTTTAATATTTAAAGAATGCAAACCTTTCAAATTTTTCCCAAGAGTGATACTTTTTTATCCACGCGGAAAACCGGTTTTTGCGTTGGGAACTCGTGGTAGGTGAAATTTAAGGTTTAATTAGAATTAATGCATTTGCGTGTTTTAATCGTATTTTATTATTTCAAAATTACAAAAAAGACATACAAATAACAATTGCATCAAATTCAAATTTGAACTGTCATTCAAAGATAACTAGCGCCCTCATAAGGAAAATGGCGTCGAAAATAACTACATGGCAAATTTAAGGTCATAAAGCCTGTTTTAGAGCTTATGTCACTGGAATGACAGAACCAGACAGAACTGCCCAAGATTTTGTGGCTGAAACTGTACACAGATAAAAGTAGAGATAAGAGGTTCACTAATACTAAGCCATTTAAACTTCTGGCAAGCAAAAGTGGCAGACCTAACTTTTAAAGCTGCCGTAGGATTATCATAAAAGTATGAACTTCTATCAGTTACGTTTATTATTATTATTCTATTCTATACCCTTTCGTTGTTGTGTTTACTCATAAATAGAACGGTAATAAAAACAAATATTACTTCTCAGAAGTCCTCACTTTATGATAATCCTTTACAGTTAGGTCTGCCAGTTGTATTTTCCAGTACTATAAATCATCTGTTCACCGAAATCCTAATATTTAAAGTACCATGACTTTCTACACTGTAGCCTTCAGTTCTTACACATCATTAAAGTTAATCGTCAAGGATAATGCCAATGATTGTGTTCAAAATCACAAAATTACTAATTTAGCGAAATTTATTCCTCTTCGTTTTCAAAAGTATCATTAAGTAGTAATTAACTTAAATCCCCACTGCCACAAACTGTATATAAAAAAATACCTGGACATCCCCCAGTAATCCTTCTTTTCTTCTACAACCCTTTTAAGTGCGGCAAAAATTGGACATTTTAGTTATCATCAGTGGGTCTAAACCCCAACTTCTACAACCTTGTACACGTGCTTGATATTTTGGTGTTTATCATCAGAACCCACTAGTTTTCTACATTTTAGCAGAAGGGAATTGAACCAAGTCGAAACAGTAAGTAAAACTTTCATTAAAAGTGGTACATGTTTCGAGTATCACTGTTGTCTTCACCCAAAAAAAACGAAAATTGTGTTAAAAAAATAGTTTGCACGTGGTTTTCTAAACATGTACCACTTTCAATAAAAACACTAACACTAATCGCTTTTTGCTTGTCTAATCTTTTCTAGATGGAAGAAAGGTTTGATGTGCGACAAATCCAAAAATTCCAGACTTTATCAAAGAAAATAACATCACCGGCTATAGGAGATTCCGTGAAGTGCTTTTTTGGCATTTTACTAGCTTCTTTTAACCAAAATCCCCCACGTCACGTACTTACTAAGATTGCAAACCGAACACTTTCTTGTGGCAAATATTTGTGTGTAAAATTTAGCCAAATCACAAACCTTGAAGTGATAGGCAATCAGGTGAAAATGCATATCCAGTCACAGTTTCTCGGAAAAAACTTTCTAAAACTGGATTTTAGGAATGAACACACGAGGGATGAATTCCTTGAATCGCTAAATTACAAACACGCCAGGTAAGAAACCAAACAAAATTTGAATTATTTTTCTCACAGGTTTGTTTTTTTTTGTTTCATAGCCGGACGTTTCAAGTCGCGACGAGGTCATCAGGGAACGGTGGAAATACGTACAAATTCTGTTTAATGTTAATTCATTGGATGTATGTATTTTCTTTATTGTAATAAATCTACAATGTATTAACTATTAATAAAACATAATTGTGTAATCATAGCATTTTATTACTCAAAATAGAAAGGCAAAAAGAACAGAAAATTCAGAGCCATTAGCTAGAGTGATTGACGGAGAGTCCGCCGGGGGCGCTAGATGTAAGAGTCCATTCGAAGGGGGTAGTCTGTGGTGTAGTGTGTAGCGTTCAACTATTTTAATAAATCTATCTCCTTGGTTTTTATCATCATATTAGTTTTCCACACTTTCACACAGGAATTAAATAAACAAGCGGTAAGTAAAATTTAAATCAATTTAATGTCGAATTTATTATTGTTATTAAAGAATAAAGCTCGAGGTCTCGTTCCACGTGTTTTAATTTTTATTAAAAGTGATACGTGTTTCGAGAAGCAATGTTTTCGTCTTCAGTCAGAAAAACTAAACTCGTGTTAAAAAAAGAAACAACGAATTTGTAACACGGGTGAAACCGTGAAATCGCACCTCAACTTTCATTTAATTTAATTTCACGTTATTTTTGAAATTGATATTAGCAATTTATCAATATGTTCAAGAACGCTTTTTGAGTGTCTTCTTTTTTCTAGATGGAAGAAAAGTCTCATACTGATATGACAACCTTAAAAAGTATGGAAGATTATCGAGCTCTTCTCATGGCAAATGAAAAAATAGGTTTCCAAATTATGGTAATGAAAAATAAACTGCCGTGTGGAGTATTTAGATTTACTGATACGAAAGAAGGTGACGGCCTATCGGTAACGACTGATATTGCAAACGGAACCCTTTATTATCACTGTCGCGCGAATATTTGTGCGCTTCCACGTTTCTCCTTGCTTTCACCGATGGACCAAACCGAAACCTATGAAGTGCGAAACAATGAGGTGATTATTCTTCATATTGTGTCAAATTCCAATATTTCTTTCGACCGCTAAATTATAAACATGGGGGATAAGAAAACAAACAGAATTCAAATTATTTTTGTTACAGTTGTGTCTTGTGCCTAACCGAAGTGACCCAGTCTCAGAGAGCTCATCAGAAGAGGATTCAATGAAGTGCACAATTATTTAATATTCTTGTATTGCATACACTTTCTCAGTTGTAATATACTTACCAATGTATTAAATATTAATAATAGAATGAATGCTCTGAAAATATACAATTACATTTTTATAAAGTATGTACAGTTTCGTTTTAATTTATCTAACTTAAGTGCTTTTTAGTTTTTTTTTTAGAACATCCATCTATACCGGGTGAGTCACAAGCTCACATTCTTCGATTTAAAACCGTAACTAGTTTATTTTTTAAATTCTGATGTCACGTTGCCATGTTATTATCTAGTTCATCTCAGAATTTTTTAAATTACCAATAATGATTAATCTGCCAAAATTCGACAATGATTACGCCGACACAAAAATATCGCCCGTTACCGCACCCGTGGATATTTTGCTTGGCCTTAGATTTTCTACCGGAAAAGTGCTTCTAAAGAAGGACCAACCAACCAATTTACTAAAATCTGGAAAGAAGCACTTTTATGGCACTACCTGCAGATTAGTTGAAGGTCGGTTTAGGGTGCCTTTCAGACAAAACCCTCCTCAGATGGGGAATATGGAGAACACCGCCTTCAGTCGGTAAATGGTCAATTTATTTTAAAATTTAACTCTGAAATTTAAAAATCGAATGCTTGGTAAATCGTTGATGAAAATGTATCCGTTTATGCCCCCTCCCTAGAATTGATGACGTCATCTTGCAATTTTGCCGAATAAAGGTTATTTAAAAGCGTTATAAAGTAACATACTCGTGGTTTGACTTCCAGATTTTAAGAAAAATTAAAAAAAAATGTATCACGTATCTCTGTTTATCTTTCCATAAAATACTTTAACGCATTAATAATGATAACCCATCAGCGATTTTTTTTTGTGTACCATTGCATTGATAAAATTAAAAAAAAATTGGAATAATGGCATCAAAATTTCGAAACTAAACAATTTAGCAATTTTTCAATTTGAAAGTTTTCAAGTTCTTGATTTTCAATTTTAATCAAAATGAAATTTTGCAAAATCCAATAACTGTAACACCGGAGCATTAAAAAATGCAATAATTAAAAATCGAGAAATTGAAAAGTCGACCAAACGAAACAATACTGCCATTTTTCGATATAAAATTTTTCAAATTCTCGATTTTTCATTTTTTAATTGGACAAATTTATTCAAACCGAAAATTTGAATTGAATTGAAAAATCAAAAAATTGAGAAATCGAAGAGTAAAACATTGAGAAATTGAACAATGGGATAATTGAAAATACAATTGAAAAATCGAAAAATTGTAATATTGAAGAAACCTGAAAACACCGATTAATTAAAAATCGCGAAAGTGAAAAATTGAAAAAACGAAAAACAAAAACTTCTATAAATTAAACAATCAAAAATACAAAAAAAAAATTAATTTCAAAATCCAAAAATTTTAAAATGAAAACCGAAAAACTAAAAAATTAAGAAATTGTAAAAAAGAAACATGGGAAAATTGAAAAATTGTAACATTGAGAAGACGAAACACTGAAAAACCGAAAAATTTAAAAACCGAAAAATCGAAGATTTGAAAACATACAGAAACTGAAAAATCGGGTAATTAAAAAGCCAAGAATTGTACACTTGAAAAAAAATCCTAATAATTATTGGAAAAAAGTGAAAAATTAAAAATCGGGAAATTTAAAAATGAAACAATTACAAAATTGTAAATTTGAAAAAAAATAATAAAAACGTAAAATCGAACAATTGTAAAAAGATGGAAAATCGAAAAATTAAGAAGCAGCTTGGAAAATCGCAAAATTAAGATATCTGCAAATTAAAAAATCAAAACAAAAATTTTACTAAATAATAAAAATCATAATGAAAATCGAAAAACTAAAAAATCGAGAAATCGAAAAATGTAAAAACGAAACACGGAAAAATCGAAAATTTAACAATTAAAAAAAAACAAAAATTTAAAAATTTCGAATTGAGAAAATAAAAAATCGAAGAAACGAAACAACTTGGAATTATATACTTGGAAGTACTTTATTTTTAATTTTTCATTTTCTCAATTTTTCGTCTTTAATTTTTCAACAAAAGGACAAACTTATTAAAAGTGAAATTTTAAAAAATCAAAAAGTCGGAAAATTGTAAAACTGAAAAATTGAAAAATCGAAAAAAAAAAAAAAACATTGAAAAACCGAACAATTTAAAAATTGAGAAATCGAAGAACTGCAAAAATAAAGAAACTTAAAATCGAATAATTAAGAGGTCAACAATTGGAAAAGGAAAAATTGTAACCTTAAAAATGAAAAAACTGAAAATTTAAAAAACAGAAAAATTGAACAATTGCAAAATTGAAAAACAAAATAGAAAAAACGAAACCTGAAACACCGAGAAATTTAAAAATTGTAATCTTAGAACTTGAGAAACTGAAAACTTCGATAATTGAAAAAAAAAGAAACTGTAAAATCGAAAAACTGATTAATTAAAAATCGAGAAATAGAAAAATACGGACAATAAAATTTTTTAGAAATAGAAAAACGACAAATTGTAAAATTCAAAAGTTGAAGAATGTCAAAATAAACATCGAAAAACTGTAAAATTGGAAAAAATGAAACATTGAATAATAAAAATAAATTGAAATACCGAAATGTTGAAAAAATAGCGAAAGTAAAAAATCGGATAACGAAAAAATCAACAATCAGTAAATAAATAAAAAAAATTGAAACATCAAAAAATAAAAATTATAACATTGAAACCTGAAAAAACTCACGTAATAAAAATCGAGAAACTCAAAAATCAACAAAAATTTAAAAAATGGGAAGGGTGCCCCAACCCATAACTAATTTGTCTCCTTTTGTTAGGGACATGCATAGTTAGCATATGTTCTCTGGTTAGCACCCCCTCATAGTTAGTAACATCACCAAATGCCTGTGTATTATGTTGGCAACCATAGATGGCAGATTCGGGTGAGAATTACCGTATCCTCAACCTATTTCACAACATCACAAACCCTGCACGTGGTTGATCGTCATCAAGTAGAACCGACTAAGAATTAAATAAGTAAAAAGGTAAGTAAACTTAAATCAATTTATTGGTGGACTTACATTGTTATTAAAAAATAAAGATTACGGTCTTTATATTTTTTAGAATATTTTTTTATTAAACATGGTACATGTTTCGAGAACCACTGTTCTCGTCTTCAGTCACAAAAACGAAAGTTACGTTTAAAAAAACAGCAGCGAATTTGAAATGTGGTTCTCTAAACATGTATTATTGTAATGTATCTTTTGAAGATTCCTCCGCAATTTATAAATCGCTCCATGCACAATAAATCACTTTTTACTTGTTTTATCTTTTAGGGATGGAAAAAAATATTGGCGCTGATATCGCGGCGGCAAAAAAAATCGAAAAATTAACTTCATCAACGAAAAAGAAAAATGGTCCCAGGTGTTGGATTCTGCGTGTACAAGCTTCTTTTAACCAAAATCCTCCATGTGAGGTAGTCATTCAAATTGGAAGGGGAAGAATTTGTTGTGGCAAAGATTTGCGTATACAATTCGACCAAATCACAAGTCATGAAGTGCTGGGCAATATGGTGAAGATTCATTTTCAATCAAAGCTTTTCGGAGATAACTTTGTAAGACTGGATTTTGAAGATCAAAGTTGTACAGACATGTTCCTCCCATTTTTTATCACAAATTACAACCACGACAGGTAAGAAACCAGATGTAGTTTAAATTATTTTTCTAACAGTTTTTTTTTGCTTAGTCCAAGTCCCCCAGTCTCAGAGGGCTCATCAGAAGAGTGAAGTGCAAATTATAACTAATACTGTTGTATTGTATGCACTTTCTGTATTGTAATACACCTACAATGTATTAATTATTAATAATGCAATAAATGCTCAGAACAATATTATTTGTATAACTGTACTTTCAATGTTCCTTTTCATTTTACGGACGATAACTGTGACAAATATTTTTCCGACAGTATCTTGGTGTCAATAAGGCCTGCACTACATGAGGCTAGTACGAGAATAGTAATTTATTTAACATAGTATGGTTGATTGGGAACTGTCAAAAAAAATACAGCTCAATGACAACAAAAAATAACTGCTGCGAAAATCGGGTTGCGTTATTACGAACAATTATTGCCTGTGAATATCCAAAAAAAAAAAAAACATAATCTGGTTCTTTCAGGAATCAACACAAAAAACGCCACCAAGTTTCCAAAAAATGTATTTAAAACAAAATACATGCCTAATCTCACAAGGAATTACTCGGTAAATGTAAACCTCACGCACTGACGTCACATTCGTCACGACAAATCGAGTTTTGCCGAACTTCATGAAAAAAAAAAATCAAAAATTTAACGAGGTAGACTCGAGTTACTCTTGGCAGTGATGATTAACATGAAAACGAATCGTGCCATTTTTGATTTTTTCGTTTAAATCTTAAACTAAATTACCCTTAACAGCTAACTCAACAGACTCCTTTTAAAAAGTGGCAGCTTACTTGACTAAAAAAATCACAAAATAAAAGTCTAGTTCGAGTGTAAACTCAGACCTCTGAATCTCTGCATCGCTTGCGCGTTGACTTTATCCGACCAGTTCTCGAACCCCCTGACGGGGCTTCCCACTCTCTGGATGCTGGGGTGCGGCTGCAGACTCGGAGAAAACACGTTTCTCCGCCATTCGGGCGGCGAAAACGGGTACGTCGGGCTCGGACTGAACCTCAGCGGTTCCGAGTGCATGGACAACTTATCGAACTCCCCGAAGTGGCTTTTCGGGGCTACGAACACCTCGTTGTGTTGCGACCCGAAGCCCGAACTCTCGCTCGACGATCGGCTTAGAGTGGTTGGCAACACGACTCCATCGGCGTTCTTCCAGAAGCCCCCGGCCACCCAAGAATTGACAGTCTGGAACTTGGGGGGCGACAAAACCGGTTTGGGGCGTCTCACCGCGAACGACGCTACTGACGCGGTTGCAGGGGGCTTGAAATTCAGCCCCCCTAAATGGAGATTATTGAGACTCTTATTTAAATCTAGGTCGTGCTTTGTCATTGACGATTTAGCGGATACAAAACTTGAGTTAAGTACGTTACCGGCAGTGCTGTATTGCAGAGGCACGTCCAAAGTGGAGTATGAAGAGTCTCTTGATCCTGAATTTTTCGATGAACCAGAAATGTTCTCAAAGTCACTACTTTCACTAAAGTCTGTACAAGTGTATTCTAAGTTTTTCACGATTTTTCGCATGGTTTTTCCGGTGGTTTTGGGGGTGTGCTCATGGTTGTCCTTGTTAAAGGCAGTGAGTAATAAATAAAAGCAACAAAAGGCCTAAAATTTGAAAAATAAAATTTTCGACATAGGTGGAAATAAACGTAACTAACCTCGACAAATAAAATGTACGACGAAAAATTCCTGCTGAAGCGGACCCACGAAATTAGGAAAAGGATGATCCAACAGAGTAAATGATTGACGGTTGTGGGGGTGGATTTTCGGCCCACAATCATTTTAAAAGTTTGGACGAGTAATCCTATGCTACTAACAACGGTATATGGTTCTATTTTAATACTTTTCAACACATAAGGTGGCATATTTAATTCAACCACTCTCGACGTGTTTATGGCAGCGATGACGGTTTTGTAAAAACTTAAGTAAGGTGGTGGCACATATGTAGCTAGAGTTTTTGTAAATAACTTAATACTGGACATGGTTGTAAACATTACAACACAAACAAGAACAATTGTTAAAAATCCATTCGCCTTTGCGAGCAATGTTAGTTTGGTTTCTTTTTTTATTTGTTCTGCGACCTTGGAAATCCCATTACTACACATACTTTTGAGGCGGTTTCCAAATATCCATGCATTTTGTTTGTCTAGTGTTTTCTTCAACACTCTGTCGCACTTTTTGCACAACTTATAGGCCTTTTCAAGCTGCTCTCTGTGAAAATATGAATTATATACAAATCTGGGATTTTAAATTACCTTCTCGACACCAATTTTAATGAAAACTTCTTTACAATCAAAATCTTTATAATCAGAGATTGACGAATTTCCGTTTCTACATTTATTTATGGCGTCCGCTTTACCGTTCAAAAATTTAAAAAATACTGCATTTCATACTATAAAATTATTTAACGTTTATCTATGACGAAATAAAGCGTTGGTTAAGGCATTATCTTTAAAAATGATATAGAATCATGACTGGGCATCTAATTTACAGAACACATTTCTTTGCACTGAGTACACAGATAAAATAGGATCAGCTGAATAAAATAAAATGTTATTCTAAAACGTGGCGAAATTTTTAAAAATTAAACTGAACAAGTTTTTCATTTTTTTTTATGAAATTGAAAATTTTGACTCTTGTTTTTCTACCTTTCCAAAAATATTTCTGGCAATTTTCATAAAATCAGTGCTGCTGTATAAAATTACCCAACTACGAAAACAACTTACTGAAAATGTTCAATTTCGACGTCGTAATTCTCCTCAACCAAAGGCACAAAATGCGCCAACTGAAACATTTTCAACTGCTGGTTGTTGTTGCACAAAACACACAACCCATTCGAAACCGTCGATTTTCTGCTTTTAACTCGCGTTGATGTATTCATCAACTCATCGTGCTGCTCCGGGATTATCTTATTATAGCCCCCATCCTAAAACCAACGTTTAAAATTCACGACTTTACAAGCCACGAACTCACTTTAGTGAAACCATTGTATTGCAAACAAGTCGGACAGACAAAGCTGTTCCGGTCGTCGTATGCCACCTTAGTCCATGAGTTGCAAAACCAACAATTAACACTGATCGGAAACTGGCGTCTGGAATTTTAATTTGGGTCATGCTTTGCCGGTTTTTAAGCGCTGCCTACTCACCTGATTTTAAAGTAGAGATTTATGCTTACAACCACGATAAGAAGCGTTGACGCGATTATCGGTAAAACGGTCGACAAAACGGGAACTAAATCTATCATTTTGAGCAAAGATATGCCCCAACTTGCCGCAAAACCAAACTCGCGCTCCCACCTTGGCGGTTGGTGGACATAACCTCAATAAGGAACCAGTTGCATTCGCTGCCAACGTAACAACAAAAAAATCGAACTCGCAAAGAAAACGAAACTCCAATTAAAATATAATTATATCGAAAGAACGGGTGACGCACGTATAAATTAACAAAAATTTAACGATTTTCAAAAACAAAAATAATTATTATTGTTAATAAAGGCAATTTTGCAACTTTTGTTTACCAATATGGCGCCTCGATCGACATAACCTCAAATAAAATTTAGCCTCAAAATAGAATGAGTTTACCAACAGATTTTGGCCCCGATTCCGGCGGCAGGCTCAAAGTACGTATTTACACATTGTGACAACCAAACACCGATACTTTTATTACAGGGAGTGTGTATCATCAAACCCATCGTCTACGGCAACATAGCTCGTTATTTTGGTAAAAAACGTGAAGAAGACGGCCACACTCACCAATGGACGGTTTACGTGAAACCCTACAACAACGAAGACATTTCCTGCTACGTGAAAAAAGTGCACTTTAAGCTTCATGAAAGTTACGCCAATCAGAACCGGATTGTGGTGAAGCCACCTTATGAAATCAGTGAAACGGGATGGGGCGAATTTGAAATTGTTATAAAAATACATTTCCACGATCCAAATGAGCGACCTGTAACAGTTTCATGTTCTCAACTATACAATATTAATATTTATTTGTAGGTGACTGTGTATCACATTTTGAAACTTTTCCCTTCTGGGGGAACTATGGATATTGGAATGGAGCAAGGGAAGGGCTTACTTTCGGAAAGTTATGACGAAATCGTCTTCCAAGATCCAACTCAGTTGATGCATCACTTACTAACAAACACAAAACAATTGACACTAGGGAGGTGGGAGCACAATACAAATTGTAAGCTAACATTTCTTGGTTGATACACATTAATATTTTGTTTAACAGTTGAAGAAAAGAAAGAAAAAACCCTAAAGAGTATAACTGACGCTAAACAAAAAGTGAAAAAAGAGATTGCCGTGTTAAAAAATAGGTTGAAGTTGGCTCGGGAAACGATATCACAGTTCAAGGACGAAATTGCTAAGTTACAGGATGGTCAATTTGCTTAGTACCAAGTAAGATAAGACTAATTTTGTATATTTATTTAATAGTAAATAATAAACTTCTGAATTTCTAAGTTTCTAACCTACTGTTGACGTTATAAGTTCTGCAACGTCGCCATCTGTCGATCGAACGGTAAGTTGCATCGTAACTCCATCAGCTAGGGCTAGTTTGGCTCTTACAAGTATATCAATGCCGCCTCTAAACATTCCTACAAAAAAAGAAAGTCAGAACGAATCAAAACACAATCTATCGGCACGTGACACAATGAAGATACGCTATTGGAACGTATCGTAGCTCCGCCTATCGTGTCACGCGACTTACTTATTTACGTACCAGCTAAAAGGAGTGTATGAGTGGTTTTTCCTTCCGGGACTTTGTCTGACCGTTCGGCCGGTTGCAACCCTAAGAACTGGATAATATTTTTGACAGCTTCCTCCAATGTGCTCATCGAACTCAGAGAATAAGTATCTTCCATTTCCACACAAAGTGGCGCCGCTTCATCCCACGCCGCCGCCCAGTTGGCTTTATTTATTTTCTGAATTTGGTCTCCCAAAGTTATTTCCAAATCTTCTAACATGTATTCGTCGTCGTAACCTAGATGACACAGTTTATTGACTAGGGATACTTTTCATTTTCCTAATATGGTTTCAATTTTAACATATATTTGATTATTATTTAAGGCGAAGGTATGCGTCGTTTATATCATCCGTTGCCGTTGCCTTTTGCGTTGGAATAAAATAAATCATCAGAATTGAGCTAGGGTGGGTGGGCGGGGCTTATATTTTGCCTTTTGTTCTTAATAAACATAGCCATCTTTTTACAACAAGAAACTTTGAGCATGGTTAAAATGGTACATTTTTGAAAGGAAATATAGATTTTGCAATTACGGGGCGGAACTTAATTGCAAAATTGATATTTTCTTATACAAATTTTCCATTTTAAACGTCTTTTAAGTTTCATGTTGTGAACAGAAGTCTGCACATATTAAAACAAAAAAACAAAATGTAATCCCGCCCACCCGCCCTATCCCAATTGTGATGATTTTTTTTATTCGCCGTGAACCAAAATAAATTAAGCTTAAATACAAAATAGTTTTTTCTTCACAGGAAATTAAAAGCATGTTTTTAAGTATCGTGTTGTTCAAAGAATACGAGGTATATTAAGAAAAAAGTGCAAAATATAAACCCCGCACACTTACTCCCTCTTAATTGTGATGATCTTTTTAATTCTTAGAAACTTAAAACACGTTTAAAATGGTAAATTTTTGCATGGAAATATGGATTTTGCAATTAGGCTCCGCCCCTAGGTCTGACAACGAATGAAAACTTCATTACTACATATTTAGATCAGGGCAGATATGGGTGGGGCTTAATCTTTGGGTTTATTTTTTTCTTAATATACATCGTATTCTTTGAATAACACGATAACGATACTCAAAAACATGTTTTTAATTTCTCGTAGAGAGATAAGGATTTTGAGCTTAAGCTCCGCCTCCTTGGCTCAGGACGAATAAAAAAAATCATCACAGTTGAGATAGGGTGGGTGGGCGGGGCCAAATTTTGCCTTTTTTTTTCTTAATATGTGTAGACTTATTTCGACAAGAAACTTAAAAGCAGAGGCCGCTGATGCCATGGGGCACAAGGGCAATTTAAAAATTGTGAAATCGAATGTTTAAAAAATTAAAAAATTGAAAAATCAAACTGAAAAATTCCAAAACTGAAATATCGAAAAACTGAGAAATCGATAGTTGAAAAATCGAATATTCGAAAAAATTAGAAACCAAAAAATAAAAAAGTTGATAAATCGAAAATTTGAAGAAATATCAAAAACTTAAAAGATCGAAAAGTTGAAAAATTCTAGAAATCGAAACATCGAAAAGTTGAGAAATCGAGAAATGGGAAAATCAAAAAATTGCAGAATCGAAAAATCGACAAATCGAAAACTTGAAGAATCAAAAAATCGTAAAGCTGAAATATCGGAAAATCGATACGTCGAAAAATAAAAAATTCAGAACTCGAAAATTTGAAAAATCGAGAAATCGAAACATCAAAAAATCGAGAAGTAGAAAAATTCCAAAACATCAATAAATTGAGAAATCGAAAAATTAAAAAGTGGAGAAGTCGAAACAGAATTTTAAAAGAAACCTGAAAAAACGAAAAATTGTACAACTGAAACACTGAAAAATTTGAAAAATTGAGAAATCGAAACATCGAATAGTCGAGAAAACGAGAAATGGAAAAAAACGAAAAACTGAAAAGTCGAAAAATCGAAATTTCAAGAAATCAAAAAACTGAAAAGTCAAAAACCTAAAACATCGAAAAATTGAAGAATCCAAAAACTGAAAAATCAAAAAATCGAGAAATCGAAACGTAATACTGAAACATCGGAAAATCGAGAAATCAAAAAACACAGGAATTGAGAAATCGAAAGTTTAAAAAATCGAAAAATTGAAAAATTAAAAAACTGGAAAATTCCAAAACTGAAATATCGAAAAGCCGAAAAACTTAATATTCGAAAAATTGGGAAATCGAAAAATAAAAAACCTGATAAATCGAAAATTTGAAAAATCAAAAACATGAAAAATCGAACTTCGAAAATTCGACAAATCGAAAACTTAGAAACGTCAAAATTTGAAAATCTGAAAAAACGATCAATTGAAAAATCAGAAAATAACCATAACACTAAATATTAGAAACTTGAAAAATCGAAAATATCCGAAAAATCGAAAACTTAGAAAGGCCAAAAATTGAAAATTTAACAAATTTAAAAATCGAAAAAAATCTTATCGGTGGACTATCGGGAAGTGAAGAAATCAAAAAATAAAGAAATTGAGAAATCGAAAGTTTAACATATCGAAATCGATAGTTGAAAAATCGAAAAGCTAAAAATCGAATATTCGAAAAATTGAGAAACTGAAAAATTAAAGAAATTGATAAATCGTAAATTTAAAAAATCAAAAAAACCGAAAGATCAAAAATTTAAAAAATCGGTAAGTTGAAAAATTGTAGAAATTAAACATCGAAAAGTTGAGAAATCGAGAAATGGGAAAATCAAAAAATTGAAGAATCGAAAATCGACAAATCCGAAACTTAGACGCGCCAAAAACGTGAAAAATGGAAAAACTTCAAAATCGAAAAATTGAAGAATCAAAAAATCGTACAGCTGAAATATCGGAAAATCGATATGTCGAAAAATAAAAAATTCGGAAATCGAAAATTTGAAAAATCGAGGAATCGAAACATCAAAAAATCGAGAAGTCGAAAAATCCCAAAACTGAACATCAATAAATTGAGAAATCGAAAAATTAAAAAGTCGAGAAGTCGAAAAATGGAAAATTAAAAGAAACCTGAACAAACGAAAAATTGTACAACTGAAACACTGAAAATTTTGAAAAACTGAGAAATCGAAACATCGAAAAGTCGAGAAATGGAAAAAAAAACGAAAAACTGAAAAGTTAAAAACTTAAAACATCGAAAATTGAATTCAAAAACTGAAAAATCAAAAAATCGAAACGTCGATTAATCAAAAAATCGAAAACTTAGGAAGGCCAAAAATTGAAAATTTTAAAAATTTAAAAATCGAAAAAAATCTGAACACTGAAATATCGGAAAATTGAGAAATCAAAAAATAAAGAAATTGAGAAATTGAAAGTTTAAAAAATTGAGAAATCGATAGTTGAAAAATCGAAAAGCCGAAAAATCGAATATTCGAAAAAATGAGAAACCGAAAAATAAAAAAGTTGATAAATCGAAAATTTGAAGAAAAATCAAAAACTTAAACAATCGAAAAGTTGAAGAATTCTAGAACTCAAAACATCGAAAAGTTGGAAAATCGAGAAATGGGAAAATCAAAAAATTGAAGAATCGAAAAATCGACAAATCGGAAACTTAGACGCGCCAAAAATTTGAAAAATGGAAAAACTTCAAAATCGAAAAATTGAAGAATCAAAAAATCGTAAAGCTGAAATATCGGAGAATCGATAAGTCGAAAAATAAAAAATTTAGAAACCGAAAATTTGAAAAATCGAGAAATCGAAAAATAGAAAATTAAAAGAAACCTGAAAAACCGAAAAATTATACAACTGAAACATTGAAAAATTGAGAAATCGAAACATCGAAAAAAAAATTGACAAATCGAAAGTTTAACATATCGAAATCGATAATTGAAAAATCGAGAAATGGAAAAATCGAATATTCGAAAAATTGAGAAACTGAAAAATAAAAAAGTTGATAAATAGAAAATTTTAAAAATCAAAAAACTTTAAAAATCGGTGAGTTGAGAAAGTGAAAAATCGAAAACTTAGAAACGCCAAAATTTGAAAAATCAAAAGATTGAAAAACCGTAACACTAAATATCAGAAACTCGAGAAAATGTGAAATGGAATATTCGAAAAATTGTTATACAATTTTGCTTTTTTTCCAAAAATCCCTAGGTTTACAATAAAAATTCAACACGAATTCATAAACTACAAGTAGATTAAGTACGTTATTTTATAAAATTTAAATAACATTTACTGTTGCAAAATTTGGTGATGACGTCATTCCGTTGGTGGTGATAGTCAGACAAATTTTGGTTAGCGTTTTCCCATATCGAAAAACTGAAGAATTCAAATACTGAAAAATCAAAAAATTGAGAAATCGAAAAATCGGAAACTTAGAGACGCCAAAAATGTTTACAGGAAATACGGATTTTGCAATTATGGGGCGGAGACTAATTGCAAACTCGATATTTCCTTTTACAATTTTTCCATTTTAAACATTTTAAGTTTAATGTTGTGAAAAGAAGTCTACACATATTAAAATAAAAAAACAAAATGTAAGGCCCGCCCACCCGCCCTGTCTCAATCGTGATGACTTTTTTTTATTCGCCATTTTTTTTACAAGAAATAAAAAAAATTGTGATGATTTTTTTTATTCACCATAAACCAAGCTTAACTTCAAAATACTTATTTCTTTACAAGAAATTAAAAACATGTTTTTGAGTATAGTGTTGTTCAAAGAATACGATATATATAAAAAGACAAACTATGAACCCCGCCCACCCACCCCATCTCAATTGTGATGATTTTTTTATTCTTAGAAACTTAAAACACGTTTAAAATGGTAAATTTTTGTAGGGAGATATGGATTTTGCAATTAGGCTCCGCCCCTCGGTCTGCCAACGAATGAAAACTTCATTACTACATATTTAGATTGGGCAGGTATGGGTGGGGCTTACTCTTTGGGTTTATTATACTCAAAAACGTTTTTCATTTCTCGTGGAGAAATAGGGATTTTGCAGTTAAGCTCCGCCTCCTTGACTCACGACGAATAAAAAAAAATCATTACAATTGAGATAGGGCGAGTGGGCGGGGCTAGATTTTGCCCTTTTTTTCTTAATATGTGTAGACTTTTTTCGACAACAAGAAACTTAAAACATGTCTAAAATGATAATTTTTTGTAGTTCTACAACCCCTTTAAATATCACAAAAGTTGAACGTCAAAGTTACTGTCAACGGAAACTTGGCAACGGAATTTATAAATGACAATTTTTGAGCTCTAAAAGCAACGTCAGTGGGAACAGCAACAGCAATGGGAACTTCAACGTCATCTGCTTTAATTTTGCCAATATAACACAACTAATTAATGTAACATTACTAAATACCTTCATCGGTGTCCGGCAGCCCCGTGTTAGGGTCGCAATCCTTGACGATGAACTTCAGCACGGCCCCAAACGTGCCCACACTATTCGGTAGATCATTCTCCGGAAACCTGAGCACCACATACGTCGTCCCCGTCTCATTATACGGCAACTTGGGGCACGGAATCTCCTTCAAAACCGAATACCCCTCGCTCGGATCCAACTGCACCCTCACCTCTTCCAGCAGCTGGTCGCTCAAAGTATTCAAACAGTCGAACTGCAGCACCACGTGGTTCGTAAAACAGTGCTTGATACACCTGACGAAGTACTCCGTTTCCGACTCCGTCAACTCCACCACGTCCGAGCTCTTGAACAGTGGTCCCAATTCGGCGATTCCCGGGATGGCACTCAGCTTCTCGGCGAAGTTCTCCTCCCTGGAGACCACGGCCGGTTTCGCGGGTCCGTTGGAGATGATCATTCCTTCGGCTTTGTGCTTCTCGAGCTCGGTTTCCTCGCGCGTGGGAATGGTGGCGATGGGGACCGTTTTGATGTCGAAGGGCTGGTCGGAGGGGCTTTGGGTGTACTCTTTGAGGGAGCGTTCCAGGGAAGGGATGGACACTTGCAAGGTTTCGAGGATGTAGTTGTTGTAGAGGCTCTTGTCTTGCTGGCCTAGAATACTGCTGTAGTAGGTGGCGCGGTCGCGGACTTCGTCGTCGGAGTCCATCTGGCAGCGGGCGAGGAGGACTTGGATGTTTTCGAGGAGGTCGGGGCAAGTGGCGCCGAATTGGGCCATGGCGGAGACGGCGGCGGCGCGGACTGTGGGGTTCTCGAGGATGACGCGGTTGTAGATGAAGCGGATGCACCTACAACGAAATTGGTTTAATTTTTTTTATTTTTAAAAAAATTTGGTTCAAGATCATTTTAACAGAGCAGCCCAACAAATCCCGATTCTTTGAAAAATTATAAAAATTTTTTGCGATTTTTGTTTTGCGATAAATGTCAAACATGTTACAGATAACCACCGGGAAAAAATGCTTTTCGAAAAATCCAAAAATCGAACATCAAAAAATTGAAACCGAAATATTTTAAAATTGAAGGGCGGGAAGTCGAAAAAAAGATCGAACAATCGAAACATCAAAGAATCGAAAATCTAAAATTTAAAATACGGGAAAATTAAAATATCTAAAAATCGAAACATCCACAAATTGAAGGATTCCCAAAACTAAAATAATGCAAAATTGAAAAATCGAAAGCTTAAAAAATGGAAAAATGTAAGATTTGTGAAATCGAAAAATTGAAGAATCGAAAAACAAGAAAATTAAAAAAAAAAGAGACAAATCGAGAAATTGATAAATCTAAAATTTAAAACATCGCAATTGAAAAATCGCAAAATTTTAAAAATGGAAAAACTGAGATGTTCAGAAATCGAAAAATGGATATTAAAAAATCGGGAAATAGAAAAATTTATAAGATTGAAACTGAAAAATCGAAAAATTGAACAGATAGATTGAAAAATTCCAAAACTGAAATGTCGAAAAATTGGAAAATCCAAAAAAATTGAAACATCGAGAAATCGAAACATGAAAAGATCCAGAAATCAAAATAGCTCAAACGAAAAATTAAAATAAAAAGAAAAATTTAAATTAAAAAAATTGATAAATTGAAAAATCGAACCAACAAAAAATCCAAAACCGAGAAGCCGAAAAATCGAACGATCGAGAAATCGAAACAAAAAAATTGAAAAATTAAAATTTAGAATATCGAAAAATTAAAATATCCACAAACGGAGGAATCGAAATATGGAAAAATCGGGAAACTGAAACATCAAAAAATCGAAAAATTGAAAAATTTAAAATCGAAAAATCTAAAATTTCAAAAATCAAAAAATTGGAAAAGTGAAAAAACAGAACAATCGAAGGATTGAAAGATCGTGAAATTGAAGGAACAAAAAATTGAAAAATCGAGAAATCGAAACATCAAAAAAATCGAGAAGTCGAACAGTCCCAAATCTGAACATCAATAAATTGAGAAATCGAAAAATTAAAGTCGGAAAATAGATTATTAAAAAAAACCTGAAAAGAAAACGCAAAATTGGACAACTAAACAACTGAAAAATCTGAAAAATTGAAAAGTCGAAAAATCCTAATACTGAAGCACTGAAAACTAAAAAATCAAAAAATCGGGAAATCGACACATGGATTAATCGAAAAATCGAAAACTTAGAAACAACAAAAATTGAAAATTTGAAAAATTTAAAAATCAAGAAAAATCATAATATGTACTGGAATATCGGAAAATCGAGAAATTAAAAAATAAAGAAATTAAGAAATCGAAAGTTAAAAAATCGAAAAATTGAAAAATCAAAAAACCAAAAAAATTTCGAAACTGAAATATCGAAAAATTGAGAAATCGATAAGTAGTTGAAAAATCGAGAAATGGAAAAATCGAAAAGCCGAAAAATCGAATGTTCGAAAAAATGAGAAATCCAAAAATAAAAAAGTTGATATATCGAAAATTTACAAAACCAAAAAAATTGAAAAATCAAAAACTTAAAAAATCGAAAAGTTGAAGAAAACTTGATAAATTTCAAAATCGAAAATTTAGAAACGCCAAAAATTGAAAATTTGAAAAAATCAAAAATCGGGAAAAATCGTAATACTGAAATATCGGAAAATCAAGAAATCAAAAAATAAAGAAACTGAAAAATCGAAAGTTTAAAAAATTGAAAAATCAAAAAACTGAAAAATTCCAAAGCTAAAAAATTGAGAAATCGATAGTTGAAAAATCTGAAATGGAAAAGCGGAAAAATCGAAAATTTAAAAAATAAAAAAAATCAAAAACTGAAAAAATTCGAAAAGTTGAAAAATTGAAGTAATGAAAAATTAAAAAATCTAGAAATCGAAACATCGAAAAGTTGAGAAATCGAGAAATGGCAAAATCAAAAAAATGGAAAAATCGAGTTCGAAAAATCGACAAATCTAAAATTTAGAAACGCCAAAAATTAGAAATTTGAAAATCGGAAGAATTTCAAAGTCGAAAAATTGAAGAATCAAAAAATGGAAAAATCGTAAAGTTGAAATATCGAAACATTGATAAATCGAAAAATAAAAAATTGAGAAATCGAAAATTTGAAAAATCGAGACATCGAAACATCAAAAATCGAGATGTCGAAAAGTGGAAAAATCCAAAAACTGAACATCAATCTGAATCGAAAAATTAAAAAATTGAGAAGTCGCAAAATAGAAAACTAAAAAAACCGAAAAAACGAAAAATTCGACTAATGAAAACCTGAAAAATCTGAAAAATTGAGAAAATGAAACATCAAAAAGTGGTGAAAACGAGAAACGGGAAAATCAAAAAATCCAAAAATCCTTATACTAAAAGACCGAAAAATTTTGAAATCGAAAAACTGAACAGTCACAAACCTAAAACATCGCAAAATTGAATTTAAAAACTGAAAAATCAAAAAATCGAGAAATCGAAAGATCGATTAATCGAAAAATCGTAATACTGAAATATCGGAAAATCGAGAAATCAAAAAATAAAGGAATTGAGAAGTCGAAAGTTTGAAAAATCGAAAAATTGAAAAATCCAAAAACTGAAATATCGAAAAGCCGAAAAATGGAATATTCGAAAAATTGAGAAATCGAAAAACAAAAAAGTTGATAAATTGAAAATTTGAAAATTTAGAAACGCCAAAAATTGAAAATTTGAAAAAATCAAAAATCGGGAAAAATCGTAATACTGAAATATCGGAAAATCAAGAAATCAAAAAATAAAGAAACTGAAAAATCGAAAGTTTAAAAAATTGAAAAATCAAAAAACTGAAAAATTCCAAAGCTAAAAAATTGAGAAATCGATAGTTGAAAAATCTGAAATGGAAAAGCGGAAAAATCGAAAATTTAAAAAATAAAAAAAATCAAAAACTGAAAAAATTCGAAAAGTTGAAAAATTGAAGTAATGAAAAATTAAAAAATCTAGAAATCGAAACATCGAAAAGTTGAGAAATCGAGAAATGGCAAAATCAAAAAAATGGAAAAATCGAGTTCGAAAAATCGACAAATCTAAAATTTAGAAACGCCAAAAATTAGAAATTTGAAAATCGGAAGAATTTCAAAGTCGAAAAATTGAAGAATCAAAAAATGGAAAAATCGTAAAGTTGAAATATCGAAACATTGATAAATCGAAAAATAAAAAATTGAGAAATCGAAAATTTGAAAAATCGAGACATCGAAACATCAAAAATCGAGATGTCGAAAAGTGGAAAAATCCAAAAACTGAACATCAATCTGAATCGAAAAATTAAAAAATTGAGAAGTCGCAAAATAGAAAACTAAAAAAACCGAAAAAACGAAAAATTCGACTAATGAAAACCTGAAAAATCTGAAAAATTGAGAAAATGAAACATCAAAAAGTGGTGAAAACGAGAAACGGGAAAATCAAAAAATCCAAAAATCCTTATACTAAAAGACCGAAAAATTTTGAAATCGAAAAACTGAACAGTCACAAACCTAAAACATCGCAAAATTGAATTTAAAAACTGAAAAATCAAAAAATCGAGAAATCGAAAGATCGATTAATCGAAAAATCGTAATACTGAAATATCGGAAAATCGAGAAATCAAAAAATAAAGGAATTGAGAAGTCGAAAGTTTGAAAAATCGAAAAATTGAAAAATCCAAAAACTGAAATATCGAAAAGCCGAAAAATGGAATATTCGAAAAATTGAGAAATCGAAAAACAAAAAAGTTGATAAATTGAAAATTTGAAAAATCAAAAACTTGAAAAATTGGAGTATTCAAAAATTAAAAAATCGGGAAATCGAAACACCGAAAAGTCGAAAAACCGAGACATCGAAAATTCGACAAATCGAAAACTTTGAAACGTCAACATTTGAAAATTTGAAAAATCGATCAATTGAAAAATCAAAAAATTGAAAAACCATAAAATTTATATCAGAAACTCGAAAAGTCGAAAATATTCGAAACATTGTTATACAATTTTCATTTTTTCCCCAAAAATCCTGATGTCTACAATAAAAATTCAACACGGATTCATAAACCACAAGTGAAAGAGTATGTTATTTTATAAAAATTCAAAAACATTTACTATTGTAAAATTTGGAAATGACGTCATTCCATTATTGGTGGGGATGGTGGGACAAATTTTGGTTAGCGTTTTACCATCTACATGACATACCTATACATACAAAATTTGATAACAATCGGTCCGGTAATTTCGGATATTGCATGTCTAATAAAAAACGACAGAGTGGTGACAGACGGGCGGAAACGAGAGGCCTATTTTTTCGTACTTTAGGGTTCATGAAACGTCGAGAAAACATGAAAGCAGTCAGTTGTCAGATGGATTCCATTACAATAAAAACATTCGAATAATAAAGATGACTTGAATGAATCGTTTGAAATGCTATTAAAACAAAATATTTAAAACATTTCTCGCAATTTTCCACAATTCAGAAAATCTACGTCAAAGTCACGGTCCTTACAACATAGTAAATTATTCAAATCGTCTCCTTTTTGGGATTCTACACGATTTAAACACACTTTAGTGTATCTAAGAACTCAGACTTGACTGATGCACGTTCAACTAGTGAAACTCGAAAACTAAATTTACTTCAAACTGGAATTTGAGCTTCTTTGAGGTTTCCATGTTCTGATTCTGAAACTCCGTCAGTTTAAATTTTCTTCAAAATCGGAAAACATCAAACTCGTTTATTATCAAACAATACAAAACAAATCCCTATGTTTGCGACGAAGACTTAGCTTCATCTTTCTTCTTTTGTTTCTCCCTCATATTTTCAGCGTCTCTGAATTTCCGCTGCTCTAGAGTCAACCCGTCACTACGAGGTTTCGACTTTGCCACTTCTTGTTGCTTCTTCTGGTTTTTAGCCCTTGCAACTTCGCGTTGATTACCACGGGTCATTTTATCAATGAACACGACACCAATTCTTCAACACATTTTGAATGCGAACTATTAATAACATCTGTCAAAATTTTGAAAATTTTCTGACCTGGGTTACTGAGATGCCACAACAATTACGCGGACCGCGGACAAAACAAACCCACCCTCTTACACTCACCTTGACGGCTGCTTGGTCCTCGGTCCCTCCTTCCCCAGCAGGTGTAAAATCCTGACAGCCAACGACGTGTGCTCACAATCCTCGATAAACTCGCACAGGTGAGCCAATCCGGCCTCCTTCGCCTCTGGATTATCCTCAATTATGGTAATGATTGTGTCAGCGATCGACGCTTTGTACTCCAAACCTCCTTCGTCCCGCAGCATCGCCGACAAGAAATTCATCAAAACGCTGTGCTTGCGAGGGAACTTCAACGCCAAAGCCCTGATGGCTTGTACCACCACCACCTTGAACTCGTCGCTGATCTCTGAGACAAAACTCGCGATTTGTTTCATCAGGCGATCCACCGACGACTCCGCTCCCGTTTTCAGCAACGTGGTGATAGCCAAAGTGGCTATTGAGCGATTCGCATCTGTAATTAAGTTCTCCAGGTCTAGATTGCAAGCCGTGACGGCCGCTGGGTGCGAAATCGCCACCTGGTTCAGAGTTCGCACGGCGGCGAAGCGCAGAGTGGGCTTGGGGGAGCCGCAGAAGAGCTGGAGCACGCTGATAGCGGGGGCTAGCTCTCGACTGGTGGTGCGCTTCAGGTTGACGATGGCGTGAGCCGCCTCGTAGACGACCATTTCGGACTTGTGGCGCAGACAAGACTCGATGAACTCGAACAAGGGGGAGTCATTGCCGGAGTCCTCTTCTTCTAGGAGCTTGGCGGTGATGCGGATGAGCATGCAGACGGCGTAGGGGGACTTCAGGGACATCCGGGTCAGTTTGGCCACGAGCTTGGTCACGGCGAGGCGGTCGGTCTTGCGGATGTGGTAGAGGAGGCCGAGGGCGTGGTATTGGACCATTATGCTTTTAATAAAAATTGCGCAACATTAAATTTTATTATTCAGACGCGATATACTTACTTGTCACTGTTGACGGCTTCTTGGGCTTCATTCACCCACCGTTTGACGACTTCTGGTGCCAGTTTGGTCATGTGTAAAGAACTGACGAGGGCTGCTGAACTGACAGCGGAATTTCGATCTACTATTGCTTGTTTCATGTAACGTTCGATTGATTGGAGCATGGTGGCGTCTGTAATGCTACAAAGAGCTCGTATTGCTGCCGCCCTGTACAAGTCTTCTTTTCCAGTCATGTCTTTAGTAAGACTAGAAGTGACAATGATGACATCATCAGCAATAGAACTTAGTTCTTTAATTCCTAAGTACACCATTCTGCGTAGAATTACGTCTTTTGACTGAAATAACTTGGTCATTGAGAAGAAGACGTCAGTGGCTTCTTTAGTCCCCAGCTGTTCACCCTGTAACCACAAACTCAAACTTGAAAAATATTCCTGATTTAAACGAATCTTACTTGGTTTAATAGGTAAAGCAGCTTCGTCAGAATGTGTGTACATTTTCGGTTATTAATTGTGGTGTCGTTGAAGACCCGTGCCTCCTGCAGGACCGTGGTTTTTTCGATGTTCTGAAAGGGGTTGCCGCCCCCTAAAAAAACCCAATTACTACTAAATCTGCTACGTGTGTGTTTACAAACCATCTTCTTCCTCTTTTTTGTCTCTTTTAAACGCACTCATTCTGAAAACACGGCTTTTTTCCAACTCAAATGTTTACACGTCACTGCTTGTCTCCTGTCATTCATGACACTGTTGACAGTCCAAATCAAAAACCAAAAGTCCCCAGAAACGTCAACAGAACCATCTGTCAATAAAGTCAAGCTACACAATGTCAGTGCATCATTCCGAAGAGAACATGTCAAGATTGCTGAAACTCGCCCAAAAATTCAATTGCTTTTACTTGTCAGGTGAGTTTCGGCAGTGACGAAACCAGCAAGAATAATTCCTCGCTCGTTTACATTCACGAAATCGCGAAAATCTGGTGATTTATGTCTTGTTTGTAATATTGATCTTGGCATACACCCACTGGTAATTATTTAAAATTTGCAGGTCTTTCGACGGGCGATTGCAGGCCTTTTGTCGTCGAAGGCTTCCAAGTGGGATTAGTACGTCCAGATGTGATGAAGCAACTCCTCAAATTTCCAGAAGTACTTAATTATGCATATCCCAATTACTTAATAATGCAAGTTTTTCAAGGTTTTTCGAATTACCACTGGTTGCGTCGAACTAAACCCTGCTTTTAGAGATTACGAGGAACGCAGTATTCAAGTAGACAAAGTTTTGCGCGAATTGCGCGCAGGAAGCGTATTTATAGCTCTCAAGGGTTGGCGCGATGAGGTAACACGGTAAAACTGTCGCCTTTTAGTGCCTTGTTTATCCTCTCGTTCCAGTGTTACGAAGTCAAAACGGATTTCACGTCGACGAGTCTTCTCAAGATGGACCGTTCCGCGACGTGTCTCTTCGGTATAAGAAACTATGGCGTGGATATAAACGGCTATGTGAGACACCCCAAATTAGGTTTATGTATATGGCTGCAAAAACGCTCGCCTACAAAACAAACTTGGCCAGGTCAGTATCAACCCGTCAAATTTCTAATAATAACCGCGAAATTTAGGTAAATGGGACAACATGGTTGGAGGGGGGTTATCTGTGGGTCACGGTATTATAGAAACGGCTCACAAAGAAGCCATGGAGGAAGCGTCAATACCACCCGAACTGATGAAAAACATAGTTAGCGCGGGATGCGTTTCGTAAGTGCTTTTGTCAGTCAGTGTTGTGTATTGATGGGGTTTCTGCAGGTTTTTTTTCGAATCTGAACGGGGATTGTTCCCCAATACAGAGTTTGTGTTTGATTTGGAACTTCCATTAGATTTTATTCCAGAAAATGCTGATGGCGAGGTTGAAACTTTTGAGTTGCTTCCAGCTGCACAATGCTTAGAGAAGTTGTTCAGTGCCGATTTTAAGACGACGAGCGTTCCGGTTGCGTTAGATTTTTTGATAAGGCACGGCTTGGTCACGCCAGAGAATGGTAAGGGAGTGTCAAGGTTGATGGAGGTTTCATTCTGTTTTCTAGAGAAAGAGTTCATAAAGGTTGTGGAGTTGCTGCACGTACCGCTCCAGAGTATTTACAGTTACAGCCACGTGCTCATCAACAGTGACGTCAAGGAAAATGGCATCGCGAAAATGAATAGTGCATAAATGCTTCGGCCGTTTTTTGGTACAGGTTACGGTTTTTTGGTAGAATAGAAAAGAAGTGAGCCTTAAAGGATTTCCTAATTTATTTTACAGAGTTGCAATTTTTCAATACAAGTAGAGAGCTTTTGTAATTATTGTATATTTTGTCTAATTTATTTACAATTTTATACAATGTAGAAAACTAGAAGTAATACTGGAAAGAATTTATTTATTAGTATACATACTGAGAATCATCACAGTTTATATTGTGTGATTTTACGTACTACTTGTGATAATACATTTATTGTTTTTGGATGTACTTACGTGTACTCAACGAATTGTATTTATTACGATCATATACAACAATAAAACTCCAAGGCATTGACCAAAGTTTCAATTTACCCACTTAACCCTACCAACTTAAACAAAAACCACTCACCAAAAAATAACGGGTGTTCAACTGAAAAAATTTTAAATAAAAAAAAAACGTTAATGACGACGGTTGGTAAAACTTCAAAAAACGTTTATTTTTCTAAATCATTTTTCTAACGATAAGTACAAAAGTTGACTTTAAAGCTGTGCTTTGTTCATCACTACATACACAATAAACTATGTTCAAAAAATAATAATTATATCGAGTTCTACGAGATTGTCTGAATAAGTCTGTCCTCCCTCACGGGAATGTTATTGTCGTTGCTCAGTTCTTGCGGCGTCCTGTTACTCACAGTCAGCTTTTTAAAATTCGGGTATATCCTGCAAACCTCCGCCTATCAAACTATAATAACAAAGCTCAGTGATACCAACCTTGCTCGAATTTTCTTATAGATGAACATGAGGAGCAGAGGCACTGGTGTCATCATTGCAACCGAAACGGGGGCCACTGAAACTCAAAACGTCATTTTCGAACACAAAACCGACTCTAGTAACCTGTAGTGAGGTCTCCTTGTGGCTGAGGCAGCGTAAACCTCAACAAAAATATAGCAATTCCGGTATTTTGAATCCCGGTTTCTATAGCAATGGCGAGGCAATCTGGCGGCGGCTGCTTGAGTACTTTAGCCATTGCATACCCCAGAAAGTACCCCAAGTACGGCAAACCCATCCCCGCCACTACAATCTGTCTTAATTTAAGCAAATTTCCGCTTCCGCAATGCGACTTACTTACCTCCCACGAGAACAACTCAAACAAGTATAAGTTGGTCACGATCGCAAACACGACAATGAAAAGGAGCAAAAGCCCAGAGAACCCTTTCAAAATCCTCACCAAAAACGTCGACACTTTTTTCATATATCGTGAAATTAGAAATCCAATCCCTAGAGGTATCACAAGGGCTATCGCATACGTCGAAATCTGCGAATAAGGCACTTGAATATCGCCTTGGTCAAAAATCACTTTGCCTAAAGTGAACAACCACAAAGGGATCATCCCGAACGCCGCCAACGTACTAATGGTAGTCATAGTTACAGACAAGTCCATGTTACCATCAAGGACTACCGTCCATATGTTGGAGGCACCACCCGCTGGAGACACCCCGGTAAAAAACATCCCTAACTGCATCTCAGGGTTGTCGGGGAAGAGCACTTTACCCAGACCGAAACTGAGCTGAAATTAGTTTTTAGGTGGATTTTCGGGGGTTGAAGATACCTACAAGCGGCATCACTAAAAACTGGCCGGTGAAACCAATGGCAGGACCGATGGGACGTTTCAGATTTTTTAGCATTTCACCCCAGTTTAAGGCACAGCCGAAATTGATGTAGATTATACTGACTAGGGTTGCCACCGATGAGGTGAAGACGGTGTCAATGACGCGCTTTTTGCGGATCACGGTAACGTCGAGCTTGCCAGGGACGGACATCGCCCGGATTTGGGTCCGTCCTATTTTGGAAAAGAGTATACGTTATTATAAAGTTGTTGTTTTTGAAAAAAAATATGTACCCAGGAAGTTTCCAGTGAGGTTAAAACTTCCTTTGGGGTTTGTTATAATCAGGCTTTCCTCGATTTTAGCTACATTGTCGTTTTCTACATACAACTGCAAACTATCAAAGCTTTCTCCAGGATCTGAAAACATAATTTTTCACTAATTACCCAGTGCTATAGATTATTTCGAGTACCTGTTATGATACTGTAATTCACTGGCACGGTATCATACATGTGGAGTGTTACATTTTTTGGCTCGAATACAATTTCCAATGACCGGACAAGAGCAGCGTGACACAATAGTAGTAGTGTGACTACTACTATCAAAAATTGAACCATTCCAGATATGGGACACATCTAAAACAATAAATGGCCTTGTGATTAATAAGGTATTTTTTTATTGCCCGTTATCTACGTAAATAGCACGAATATGTAGCCAGGCAAGTCACAAACGAGTTCGAGAATAACTTATAAAGAAAATATTTATCGTAGTTTTGCTACGTTATAAATAAATGCAGTATGTGGTTATCTGACGAACGAAGTTTCTTTCGAAATCTAATAATATATCAAAAAATAGATTGAAAATCAATTTATAATGAGTCTAATGATGGATCGGGTGTCGTGCGGTTAAACGTCTAAAGATTTTATAATTCCTGTTACTCACACTATATTGATTTAAAGATAAATATCGCCTAAAACTAACCCATCAACATAACAATAATAGAAATAAAATTATATACCTTCAGTTATTCGCACCAAATAAACAACAAATTAACTAGCTTAACAACAATTAAAAACACCTGGACGAACAAACTCCACACTTATCAAGTTCACTTTCAGTCCACGACGTTGAAAAAACGTCTGAAAAACTACAAACTGCTTTCACTTATGCAAGTAACCCGTTACTTCGTAACCGATTATATTATTCGGACGTAGAACCAAGCTATTTTTTAATACCGCGTCTTACTCTTATCGTTATTTGTTCATTTTCACGTCCGTGATAAAACCGAACTAACTTTCTTTTGTAAGGATTAACCAATAATCCTTTATTATCCTGTTCAAATATTAATTTATTAAGTGCGCGCTTAATTGAATCGTGCTAACTCGTAATTAGGAATCACGCAACAGGATTTTATTGGAAACCTTGAAATATTTCTAACAGTGAACTTGAAGAGATAATCCCGCATTTGATTATATAAATCGCTAATCAGGACGCAGACAATAATTTCTCGACGCTTTGAACTACTTTGTTGACGATGAGTTCAAGGTGGGAAAAATGTATTCGGATTAATTATGAATCGAAAAACGTGTACCTTGGAACAGTAAACAAACACGAGTGACGGTCTAAGTGCATGGACATGCATTTATATCAACGTAATTTTTACAAGGCAGAAACCGCAATATAAACAAAATATTATTGCAAGTCAGAAGCGAGATAACAGTTAGGAAATCCACAATCACGGCAAACACAAACACGATTTATCTGTTTTTTAATGACTACTAGGGAAATCTTGCTGGAAAATGCGAAAATACTTTAGTTTTCTGCGAATGAGAATAATCATTCGGGATGTAGGATGTAGCTAAATAAATTATGGTTCAAGGTATTTTCCCTGCACTTTACGCATACACGCAAATTATTTTCGTTACAGTTATAAAAATTGTAGTGGTTGACACGTGGTCATTGCACTTTTTTCAATTTACGAAATATTATGTAATATTATTGCACTCTTCATTCAATTGTATTGTAACCTTGTAGACACCGCGGAGTATGTTTTTTAGAAAGTAATTTGCACACTTTTCGCATATCAACCAATTAAAGCATGACATAACCTTACCTTTGTATAATTATAAAGGTGGTGTTTGTTTTACAAAGATGAAGAGTTATAAACATTCACTCACTGGATACTAAATTATTTTCATAACTGTAAAATTGTCGGAAAGGCACGTGTAGCACTACTCCTATGCGAATCGTATACTGAAAAAAGAATATGGAAAGTGAAGATAAAGTGATAAAAGAGGGGATTATGGTGTGCGTGTGTGTTGAAAAGTAACAGAATATGTGTCATCTTTGTTTCACCTTGGTCAGCAAGGACGCCAACTTCACAACAATGTATAACTAGTTGCATACTCAAATTTATTTCATTTTATATTATAGAGTAGGGGTAGATTTAAAAACACCAATTTTACTTAACGTATTCAATTTATTTACAGTTTAATATCACAGAAAAAACAGTCTTCCAACAACAACATTTCTTGTCACCACGGCCTCCACACGTTGCCCATTTTCGTCAACTTGTCGCCGTTCTGACTGGGTGTAAAATTCGAAGGCATAACAAAAACGATATCACCACTACTCAACTTCGTAGGAATCAAAGTAACCCCCATTTTTAAGTCCGCAGAATCACAGCTTTTCTTCTCTTCAACGTCGTCTTTTTGGTTTAGTTTGCCCCGTAAATGTTGCACATAGCGAACCGTCATTTCCAAAATATCGGCCTTTTCTAACTTCGCGGTCCTTTGACCACTTCTCCGACTCGCCGATTCTTTGAGGGTGGCTTTAGAATCGAGGAGGATTTGCTTGAGGGCTTCGAGGCTGTCGTTGATTCGGGCGCGACGTTTCTTTTCCATCAGGGGTTTTCGAATCTGAAATAAAAAAAAATGCGATTAATATTTTTTTTTGACTACAATAAAAATACAAAAATATTTAAATAATAGATAGTGTTTAAAAAATACCTTGCGAGTTTCAGAAACTCCGACTTTTTTTTCGTTTTCGCTTTTCATTTTGGATAGTGACACCACTTGTTGCTTCTTGCAAATGACAGTTGAAGATCGACTCACGTGTTCTTAAAGAAGCGCACAACCCCCTCTCTTTCCTTGGATACCTGTTGAACTATTTACAAAAGCTCGGCTGGTGGGAATGGGGACCGTCAGAGGCGTCCCGGTTAAAATCTTCCAACAAAAATCAATTATTACTTCTCGTTTCCGTCGGTCTGGCTGCGTGTCTGTCCGCCGTCTGTGATAGTCTCCGAAACCACTGGATCGACTGTTGTCAAATTCTAAACGTGTAATACGAATATCATGTAGTGAGGTCACCTCGAAATTGTACAATGTATACGGGTTTTAAATTATGTAAAATAACATACTCCTACGCGAGACAGTCAGATTTTTGACTGTAGGACAGTTTTAAATCTATAAAATCGAATGCTTTGAAATATAGTAGACTTTACAAGGTTATCGTGAGCATGGTAAATTTTTAATCAAAATATTTTCGCTTATCCCCTTCAAAAAATTGATGCCGTCGTCATCTCAAAATTTTGTCGAATCAGGCGCGGATCCAGGGGGGGGGGGCAATGGGTGCACCCCCACAGGACCGAGGTACTTTATTTTGACCACTTTCAAAATTTTGAAATTGCATTTCATTTTGTAAATACAGTACCTACAACCTTTATAATCCGAATTCACGATTATCCGAACATTCAGTAATCCGAACACACGCTATTTGAAGTCGATGCTTCTTTAACCCGAACAAAAACTCTACAATCTGAACTGAACTTGGAAACACGCACCTACTTGCAAAAATGACGCAAGATCTTTGTGCATATGTTGTATGGAATATTTTGAAATTTTTAAAAATTGCGATTTCAGTGCACTGAATTAATTAACTAATTCTGGAAAAAAGGTTGAAGTTATCGAAGAAATGAGGCCCGAAATCTACAAGAAAAGGTATTTAGGTAGTTAAATTTCGAAAATCGTCGAAAATAGGTCGAAATTTGCATGAGGAACATTTCATTTTTGAAAAAATTTCCTAAAAATTCTGAAAAAATTCAGGCATATGTATATCCCGACGTTCTGTTTCCAAAAATAGCATGGAAAACCGAGCAATATTTTCGAAAATTCGGCGTGAAATTCGAATTTTTCGAATTTTTTAAAAATTGCCATAAGTATTTCAACTGGACGAATCTGGAAAAAAGGTTTAAGTTATCGAAGAAATGAAGCCAGAAGTGACTTCTGAGGTCCAAAATCTACAAGAAAACAAGTTAAATTTCGAAAATCGTCGAGAATACATAATGGAAAATTACATTTTTGAAAAATTCGTCTAAAAATTCTGAAAAAAATCAGGGTATATATCCCAGCGTGTTCCAAAAAGATAGCGTGTTTATGGTCACGGAGTAATATTTTTTTAGAATGTATCTATTATCCATTGTTGCTTAAGAATTCTTTAATTTTGTTTAATAAAATTAAGGTTTATTTCTTGAAGTTTGTTTTCAACTGTGTATGAAGTTGTTATTCAATTTCCTTTCAGATTTTTGGGAAAATCGCTGATCGGAACAAACCGTTAATCGGAACACACCTTTTTCCCAATTAATTCGGATTATCGAGGTTCTACTTTACACGACGAAAACAACCAAATGTCACCCATGTTATGTGAAAAAGAGTATACTAGTTAAAATTTTATAATTTTTTTTGTTTAGAACGCATTTCTGGGAAATAGGTGCAATACCACAAAAATTGCCCCCCCCCTAAACGAAATCCTGTATCCGCGCCTGTGTCGAATAAATCATATTTAAAATTATATTTCATAACTTTTTGAAAAAACCAGATATGTTGCAATGTACTTCAGGGACGCGGGAAGTTCTGTCGTAATAACTTTCCATTATTTTTTTTTTGGTGAATTTGTTAGTGAAAAATCTACTAAAAACAAGTAATTGCAATTAGGCTCCGCCCTCGCTCTAACAACGAATTAAAAAATCATCACAATTGAACTTGGAATGGATATGGGTAGGGGTTAATTTTTGACTTGTTTCTTTCTTAATATACAGAGTATTCTTTGAACAACACGACACTCAAAATATTTTTTTTTATTTCTAACATTTTGCCTTTTTTTCTTAATATTTACAGTCATCTTTTCACAACTAGAAACTTAAAACATGGTTAAAATGGTAAATTTGTACAGGGAAATATCGATTTTGCAATCACGCTCCGCCCCTCGATCTGACAACCAATGAAAAATTCATCACGACTGAGATCGAGACGGGGTTTCTTTTTGGGTTGTCTTTTTTAATTAATACATTTAGTTATTTTTGTATAACAAGATTACTGAAGAACAGATTTCACATAGTCGAATAAAAAAAATCGTCAGAATTGAGATAGGGTGGGTGGGTGGGGCTTATAATTTGTCTTTTTTTTTTCTTAATATACATAGCCATCTTTTCACAACAACAAACTTAAAACATGTGTAAAATGGAAAATTTATATAAGGAATTGTGGATTTTGCAATTATGGGGTGGAGCCTAATTGAAAAATCGATATTTCCTTATACAAATTTTCTATTAGAAGATGTTTTAAGTTTCATGTTGTGAAAAGAGGTCTACACATATTAAAACAAAAAGGCAAAATTTAAGCCCGCCCACCCACCCTATCTCGATTGTGATGATTTTTTTTATTCGCCTTGAATCAAGGGGGCGCAGCTTAACTGCAAAATTCTTATTTCTTTACAAGAAATTAAAAAATGTTTTTGAGTATCGTGTTGTTCAAAAGAATACTATGTATATTAAGAAGAAAGGCAAAATATAGACCCCGCCCACCCACCCCATCTTACTTGTAATGATTTTTTTTTCTTAGAAACTTAAAATACGTTTAAAATGGCAAACTTTTATAAGAAAATAAGGATTTTGCAATTAAGCTCCACCACTCGGCTTACGACGAATAAAAAAATCATCCGAATTGAGACAGGGTGGGTGGTTGGGGCTTATAATTTTCCTTTTTTTTCTTAATATACATAGTCATCTTTTTACAACAAACTTAGAACATATTTAAAATGGAAAATTTGTATAAGGAAATACGGATTTTGCCATTATGGGGCGGAACCTACTTCCAAAATCCATATTTCCTTATACAACTTTTCCATTTTAAACATGTTTTAAGTTTCATGTTGTGAAAAGAAGTCTACACATATTAAAATGAGAAGGCAAAATCTATGTATACTAGGAAACAAGGCAAAATATAAGCTCCGCCCACCCACCCTTTCTCAATTGTGATGATTTTTTTTTATTCGCCGTGAACCAAGGGGGTGGAGCTTTCGTGCAAAATACTTATTTCTTTACAAGAAATTAAAAACCCGTTTTTGAGTATCGTGTTGTTCAAAGAATACTATGTATATTAAGAAAAAAGGCAAATAAAACCCCGCCCACCAAACCCATCTCAATTGTGATGATTTTTTTTTATTTTTAGAAACTTAAAACAAGTTTAAAATGACAAATTTTTGTAAGGAACAATGAATTTTGCAATTAGGCTCCGCCCCTAGTAGGTCTGCCAATGAATGAAACTATTTGGATCAGGGCAGGTATGGGTGGGGCTTAATCTTTGGCTTTAATTTTTTTTTAATATACATAGCATTTTTTGAATAACATGATACTCAGAAACATGGTAATTTCTTGTAGAGAAATAATAAAGATTTTGCAGTTAAGCTTACGACGAATAAAAAAATCATCACAATTGAGACAGGGTGGGTGGGCGGGGCTACATTTTACCTCTTTTTCTTAATATATATATAGACTCATTTCAACAACAAAAAACTTAAAACATGACTGTCTAATTACATGGTAAATTCTTGCAGTAATCAATGCGGCAAAAGTTGAACATCAAAGTTACTATCAACGGAGTCTATAAATGACAATTTTCAGGTCTAAAAACAACGTCAACGGGAACTTCACCGTCAACAGCAAGTTTATAAATCCCACTTTATTATTTTCCGAAATGTTTTATTTTGTCACCCTTTTCGCGCCGCCACTGGCCGACCCACGCGCTCCATCACTTCCATCCAATATTACCATGCTTTACGGTTGCGTGAGCAAACGACAAAAAGGGCAGCAGCTCATTGAAGACCATGATGGTTCTTAGGAGAAGTGCATGAATGGATGAAAGGTCGGGTTCCGAACAATTAGTTAAAGATTTTTCGTCGTTTAACGTGGTGTGATATATGGCTTCGGCCAGATGTTTGCTTCACAACTCGAATTGATTGCTTTTAATATGGTCAAATTGCTTTAAAATATGGTCCTTTTATGGGAGCTGATGGGCGCTTTTGTGCCGCCACCAGCAACTAAAGTTTACAAATACTAACCATCATAACGCACTCGAACTACCAGCAAAGTTTGACTGCCGAAAATGTCAATTAGTACAGTCAATTCAGCATGAGACTGTCTGAACTAATATATTTTTTAATTAAAACGTAGTGAAATGATGTGTTATCTGTCAAATTAAAAAGTGGCAGTTCGAGCTTTTAAATAACAATATTTATTTTAATAAAACTGAATGCTTTACCACTATGTATGAAGTTCATGAAATAAATAGGAAAAAAGCTCAATAACGGTCGTTATGAGCAGGCAAGCTTTTGAGAATGCCGAAAGCTTTCGTCCTTCAGGTAGCACAACAACTCGCACTCAGCCACGCTTTTTCTTTGCGTCCACGCTCCACCACACTCTCACATACTAAAGCTGCTATACAGGCAAATTATTTGGCGTAAATAAATGACATGTTTTATAGCAGTTTGGTGGAGAATATTGTGGTGTCAATCCTGATCGATTATCATATAAAATCTTAATTTTGATCGATCAGTTTATCAATCAGTCACAGGCTATTAAATTACTTTTATGTGAGAACTTGTCAAATGTAATTTGAACGTAAATGGTTTTGCGTCAGTTATTACTATATCATTATTATTATTATTATAATAAATGTCTTGCTGCAAGCAATTCCCGGAATATGCGGCTATTATATGACCATTATCATAAATATTATTATTATATGCATTGCAAACCACCACGAATTTATTATTTTTTTTGTGACGAGCGTTTTTTCTTCCTTTGTAATTTTTGAAACGTTGTACAAATAACAAGAAAATTTTTTCGCCACCCATAGGTCCGTCATCTCCGCAGTCACACTTCGACTCGCTTCACTTCGCCCGTTCACTCTTCTTACATTCATCTCGACAGCCACTCGACCATGCTTCCACAATTTGAATAATCACACCGGCATAAATCAAAACTTGTAAATGCTCTGTTTGGGCGAAAAACTACAATGAAGCAAGTGACGCGAAGTCGGCGTCATTTAATTCAAGTTCATCAACCGGAATGGTCCAATGTAAAATCGCCTATTTAATCCGAAGTGCTTTTTGCCCTCTTTTTTCTCCAATCTCAAAGAAAACGAAGTTGAGCGAGGTTCACTTGTCTCTTCTCAGTTTACAGCACCTCCTCCTTCCTGTGCTTTGTCCGAAGTACGTTAGTCCTTTTTTGCATCGAGAGCGACAGTATTCAAATATCGGTTATCTCCAACGAATTTTTCGACCTTTTTATTCATCGCGAACAGGATATCGTTGAGAAATTGAGACCGTGGAGGGAAAACGCGCATTTATTTAGTAAAATCAAAGAACAGAGTGCGACGTGTGTCAAAACCCATTAGCCGGTTCGCTTTCCACACCGCTGCGCTGAAAATTTTTTCCCCCGTTTCAATCACCCGCTAAAAAGTGTTTGTTTTATGAATGAAATCACGTATCACCGATATTCAATGGGTTCTCCACGCTTCCATTATCACGCTTTTTGCCCATCCTTGACCGGATGTTCCCGTGCCGGCCCAGGGCGAGACCAATTAAAACTTCGTAACAAAACGCAACAGGAAGACTGGACTTTGGTGACCGCAGTCTTTTGATGAAGTGTAGGCGCGAAACTAAGACCGGTCGCAGGACAAAAAGAGGGTGTAAAAATACCCTTTGGCACCTATGGTCAGACGGGCCTTTTAGGGGATGATACGGATAATCTCGGCTGAGCCGCCACCTTTTTCAATGGGGTAAATCGGACGAGTGCTTTGGACGCGCCGACGCTCTTTTCACGGTGTTTGGGGTGCTTTCAAAGGGCGGTTAGCACCTGTGGACGGGGAAAGTTTCCGCAATAAATTCGAAAAAAACGGGTAAAACGAGTCTTTTTGAGCGCACAATGAAATCATTTGATCCAACCCTTCGCTCATTTTGTCGAAAAAACGAAATTCCTCAGCGCGGTTTTCGATTTCAAGAAAACGCACAAAGGAGCAGCAGCCACCTGTCAGAGAAAAGAATCCGTGACTTTTGTGCCAGTGTAGTATATAGACTACGTAGTAAATGGTAAAGTCTATTATTCCATTGCAAGTGCAAGAGGGGTGGGCGAAGATACTCCAGCATGAATGGTCCCAGGCGAGCTACATACAATTGTTATTGATTTTCGAACGGTTCAGTTTACTTCTTGTTTAGGCAGGAAGTGGCTTATTATTGCCTATTTAAAAATCCCATTCATCTTTTTCCCAAAAACGAACAAAAACCTCCCAGTCATGCCACGGTTTTATTAAACATTTTCAAAACATATTACTTTGGTGGAAGTTAAGGCTACTCTTACTGTTTGATGCTAGAGTTTTGAGGAAATTTTGAAACTCGATGGTGCTACTGATGATGCGACGTGGACCGCTGTTGTCGTCCGAGGAAGACCCGGTGTCCGTCGAATACAATCTCTCTTTAATGTTACCCAGTTTTAATCTCGGACGCAACATCTGCACCTAAAACCGACTATTAATCAAGAAAAAATTCTAGCTTGATGGCTACTTTGTAAGCGTTGTAGTTTATCAGGTTTTGCTTGACGGAGCTAATTTCGCCTTTTTTCTCTCTCTCGAGTAATTCGGATTCATTCTCTTTCGACGTGTCCATGCTTGACTCTTCTAAGTCGACCGAAATTTTGCTGTTGGCCTCGAAGTTGGCCTTCTTGGTCTCGAAAGCACCGATACTTCGCTGCAACTCCATGATCTTCTTCTGGAATTTGCAAATGTCGGCCTCCGTGTCGGTGATCTGCGGCAAAAACTTAAAAATAATAATTTTTAAGGCAACAACTTAGTAAAAGCATCACTCTGTTTTTAACTTACGTCCTTGCTCGTAGGCTTCTCCGACGTGTCTTTCTCAGGAAACTGCTCAATGTTCGACTCACTTTCCTGCTTCTGCAATATCTTCACTTTCTCTTCCAACTTCGTGTGGCTCTTCTCCAAATTGCTATATTTAGCTCGCAAGATATCTCGATCTCGGCACACTTCCTTCAGATGCAGCTCCAAGTTGTGCGCTTTCCTCGCAATCAGCTCCTGATTAGCGTTAGCAAAGTCCTTGTACTTCAAATTTTCCTTCAAAGTGTTAGCAGTCCTTGCTAACTTCTCCTTCACCATGAAAGTCTCCAACTTGTACTCTTCAATCTGCTGCTGCGCAGTCAAATTCTCCTTCTGCGCCATCACCAGCTGCTGCGCCAGCTCATGTTTCTCTTTCTTCACCTCCTCGAGAACTTGCCCCAGGTTCTGCTCCTGCATCTTCCCGGTTTCTTTGGGAGTGAAGAGCTGGTTTTTGAAGATAATTTTACAGTTGCTTTTGGTGGAGTCCGAGTTCTGCTCTGAGCTGGTTTCGGTGTCTTGTATTTTGCCGATTTTGCTCGCTAGAACTTTCCTGTTTCTAAACACGTTATAAATTTTGAAAAGCTTCCAAACAATCCACGACATGGACCTGATAACTGAACAGAAAACCAGTGAACATAGAAAAGCACAGACGTTCCAGAGGAGTATCGGCCAGCTCATTTTCTGCTTCGGGGCTTCCTCGGACTGATTAGTGTCGTCTTGTACGCGGTTCAGGTGGTTGTATTGGTCCTTGAGGACTTCATCTAAGCCTGGGTTTGGGTTAGTTTTGGAAAATTTCGCGAGTTTGACTTACTGTGGGAGCATCGTTTCCATGTGGATTCGCCGAGGAGGTCAGTGCAGCAAAGCAGGCCCCAGAACGCAAACCCGAGACTCAAGAGAGCTTTCCAGTTGATTCGCATGTCTGTTTTTTCGAATTTGTCGGTAACCCATAAAGACGGGAATGGAGAAATGTGTGAAATTTTCGTAAGGAGAAATGACAAAAAACAACTAAAAATATCAATAGATTTGATGGTGACGTTAAATAACTGCAACAGGCTTGATCTTGCGAGGATCAGCTGTCTGTATTGTTATTAGGAACGGATGTGTGTGAATGGAAGTCAACAGGCCAAAATGAGACGAACGCGACAATAAATACTTCAAAATTTTCACAAAAGCCGGTGCATAAAGCGTGAAATGTTTTCGGCTTGAATGGGTAGGTGTGCAGGGTGACGAGACACAATTATGGCTATTTAATTTAGTGAGGGTGAGGTGGAGTGGAATTTATGTGTTCATGTGAAGAATGTGAAGGGAATGTCAAATCTGAAGCGAAAATTTACCTTGCTGAAAATCTGGGAACAGCAGGCGACATTTTACGGTTAAGTTCACGAAAATTTTGTATCATCTTTCACTATACTTTCCGTTTTTTCTAACTTTTTAATTATCAGTTTTTATTTTACACAAATCGTACGTGAAGATGATCTTGACAGGAGTATGGCATTGCGAGATTTTTTTTCTTTTTTTGTTTTTTTTTTGTGACACGTGTCATTGCCATTTCTGTTGAAACACCACTTGTTGATCGTAAATTTGGTAACGTTCATATTCACACAATTTTCTAACTAAAAGCCGTTGTCATATTTCCCTACAAAAATTTACTATTTTTAATGTCTTTAAAGTTTCTAAGAATAAAAAAAACATCACAATTGACATGGGGTGGGTGGGCGGGGTAAATATTTTGCTTTTTTTTCTTAATGTACATAGTATTCTTTGAATAACATGATACTCAAGAACATGTTTTTAATTCCTTGTAAAGAAATGAGTATTTTGCAGTTAAGCTCCGCTCTCTTGGTTCACAGCGAATAAAAAAATTCATCACAATTGAGATAGGGCGGGTGGGCGGGCAGACATTTCGCCTTTTTGTCTTAATATGTGTAGACTTCTTTTCACAACATGAAAGTTAAAACATGTTTAAAATGGAAAATTTGTATAAGGAAACATCAATTTTGCCATTAGGCTCCGCCTTATAATTGCAAAATCCATATTTCCTTGCAAAAATGTTCTATTTTAACCATGCTCTAAGTTTCTTGTTGTGAAAAGATTACTGTGTATATTAAGCAAACAAGGAAAAAATAGAATGTGTAATAATGTATGTCTTTCCAAAATTTAAGCAAAATTTCCGGTCCAAGTTCGGGCGTTCACTAATCCGACACAGTCGCTGACAAAAGCAACGATAAAATTCGTTTCGGTCCGAAGAGCTGTCGTTTATATTGACCGCTCAACCCTCAATAATCCGATGCTTAACCTATAACCCATCATAATCGTTAAGATAATTTACAACGTTACCTGCTGCTGATGTCAGCTTTTCGGATTCTGACCAAAAATTATCAACAAGAATTCTTGTTAATTTTCTTTGCAAAATATAAATGAAAATGACTCTAATTATGAGGATTGCCGCTGTACTTTCGAAGCTGTACATTGTGTAAAGCTGTCAGTCAAAATTAGTCACTACTTTTGTACCTTTCCAGGACCGTATTTGTTCTCTAGTAAATGTATTCCTAATGCATAATGGTTTTATTACAGGTTGCGATCTAAAGTACTAAATACCCCTCATAAAATCGTTGACGACGTTTGCATTTATCTTTTGCTAAACTTTACTGAGCAAGTAAATTTTATATCATCTAAAGTAGTCTGTGTCCCAAAGTTTCTGGTAACCGAATAGATCAGTCAATAAATAATAAATTAATATTTCTAAATATATACTTATAAGTGTTGCTATTTGTAAAAATTTGTCGAAAGTTGTTTCCATAGAAGGCTTACCGGCTGGCAATAAATGGTCTTCGAAACATTTCTTCCTTAGATTTAGATATTTAGTGATAGCCGCCCCTGAACGAAACGACAACAGCCGGTCGAGCTGTAGTGGACACGTTATTTATTTACGGCCCTAAAACCTTTTCTATTGTAACTTAACTTTGACACAATGGGAAAATTTTATGATAGGCATATAACCTTATAGCTCTTGGACTACTATACAATGAAACATATCCAGCATTTTCGAGTTGAGTTTCTACTTTACACAATTTTGTGATGAGCTCATCAACATTTTTGCAAGGACACGTATATGAACTTGGATTGGTGCAATGTAGTATTTGCGAAGATAAGACTGACTGTGGCAAATTATATACCCCCTAAGAAAATCGAGAGCGGGTGGACATAACTAGTATTTGTTAAAATAAGATTGATTTTGGTAAATGACTGAACAATATTAAGAGTAAACACTGGAATGAACAGAGGGTGGGTGGGCGGGGTTATTGCTTGCTTATAAAAGATTCTGTATGATAAAGTTAACTTTAGCCCCGCCCACCCACCCGTTCATTTTTTCTCGAGAAATAAGAAATAAATGTTATAGCACACCTTGGGTGGTGGATTCGATTCCCGCTCTGCTTCTGAGCGTTTATATTCGTCCCGTTTCCTCGGCCTATTGGAAACTAATTAATAAAATAAAATAAAATAACAAAAAAATTGCGATTAACTTTTTTTTAACAGCTTACTTTCTATTAGTTTCCATTCTCAGTTAACAAAAGAACATATAATTCACCCCGCCCACCCACCCTGCCTCTATTTCAGTGATTCATTTTGTCTAGCCCGAATGAAAGGTGGATTTCAGTTGAAGAGAGATAAAATCGTTAGAATGGGAACAGCGTGTCTGGGCGGGGCTAGTATCTGCAAGATAAGATTGATTTTGGTAAATGCCATACCCTCTAAGAAAATAAAGGGTGGGTGGGAGGGGTTAGTACTTGCTAAGATAAGACTGATTGTGGCAAACGGCATACCCTCTAAAAAAATAGAGGGCGGATGGGCGGGGCTAGTACTTGTTAAGATAAGATTGATTTTGGTAAATGACATATCTTCTAAGAAAAAAAGAGTGGATAGGCGGGGCTAAAACTTGCTAAGCCAGGACTGAATAATATCAAGAGTAGTCACTGGAACGAAGAAGGTATGCGTGGGTGGGGTACTGCTTATTCATAAAACTAGAAAAAAAAAACAAATTTAGCCCCGCCCACCTTCTTTCTCCATTTCACTGACTTATCTTATTTCGTGTAAAATGGAAATTGAAAAATAACAGTACATATTGTACACTGCACATTTTAGACAGGATTTATTCGGCAAAATTTTGGCATGACGTCATCAATTTTTTTTGGTGGATAAACAGATACTTTTGAGTAAAAAGTTACCATGCTTACAATAACCTTAAAGCGTCTACAAGATTTCAAAGTATTTAGTTTTGCAATTGTTGCTTTAATGAATTAAATAAATTGAGTCATTAATTTTTTGGGACACCTGTATAAGCAAATATAAAAAATATTAATGCAGTGATAAGTCACAAGTGGAAACTCATCACATGTTGCACATTTAATATATAGGATTTATTCAGCAATATTTTGAGGTGACGTCATCATTTCTTTTTTAGGGGCGGCTGAGCAAATACATTTTGATCAAAAATTTACCATGCTTATGATAACTTTAAAACATCTGCAAGATTTCAAAAAATTCTATTAAATTGCAAAATGTTGTTTTGTAATTTTGATTTTTTTTCCAAAAATCTGGATGTTTTGGGTAATGCAGTAGATCATAAAAGTTGGTATAAAAGATTTATTAGACTGTCCTTCGAAACACGACCAATACGTACATCTGATTCATAGAACCTTTGTTCATTTCAGATAAGCAATCGAAGAGGAGCTCAGATCTGTAAATTATAATTACGATAATCGTAAACCTGTGTTCAAAGAAGGATGTTGTTAATTTTCTTTGTATGTAGCCACAAAGGCAAAGATAAATATTATTTATTTGTTCGTAGGCTGGTTCGTGATGATGGTAACACATTCTAGTGACTAGACAAAGAGACTACTTCAAATATATGCATTTTGCTTAAATGAATAATTATATTTAATTTAGAAATGAGTATTTACAACAGAGATTTAGTTATATGAGAATAATTTGGTATAACAATAAATTGTAGGGTAGTTTAACATGCAAATATAATTAACAGAAAATGAACTTCAGTATTAAATCATTTTTAAATAAATTCAAAAAAACGTTGTAACTTTGAAACTAAATCTTTAAAAGCATAATAAAACAAACATTTAAAAAATCTAAAACAAAAATATAACAAAACTCAAAATTGGTAACTTAACTCATAACTCAAAATTTGTAACATAACTCACAAATTTGGTAAGGAACATTATAGTAGTTGAGTCGTCAGGGTTCATTAAACAATATAACTGTTTAATTAATAATTTCAATGCCAATTAATCTTTAAAAATATAAAACTCAAACCATTATCCAAACGACAATACAAAGGGCGATTTATCATCAAAATTAATCTGAACTTTAACCTTAGTTCCAGGCCGCGGTCATCTTCACTCCTTGGGTATGGTGAGGAATTAAAGCACTCCAGGTACCGGTAAAGTACTTTATTATTATAATATAGTACTTTAGGTATGTGTAATCCTGGTAAATAGATCAAACCTGTCGCCATAGGATTACCATAAAAGTGTTAACTTTTATCAAATAGTGTATATTACTCTTCTCTTTATGAATAAACACCTGCACAGGAGCGGTATTTATTATAGTAAAACAAGACCAGATATCGAACGAAACTGAGTTCACTGATGGTCAAGTAACATTCAGTGTGCTGATTATATGTACGCAGATAAATAATAATACAATGATATTCCAAAAACGCGTCGGTCTATTCGATCTAAGCCTGGCCATAACTTCACTACTGCTTCGCTTGACTCAGCTTCATCTCGGGACAGTGTATATAGTACCCATTTGTTAGGCACTAGATATTATAGTTCGTTTATTTTCATAAATTGGCATTTCGCATATCATAAAAGGTAGAATAAAACATAATAATTATAGTTTATTTCGCCTCATATGGACTTATTATGCAAGACTTTACCTTCATATGTAAGTTGAAAAGATTTAAATTTATTTATAATAGTTGAAATCAAATTTTTGTATTGTTATATTTTAGCCGATTATGGTGGTACTAAAAGTGATAACATTTTTATTTTCAATTATTGTCACATTTTGCTTCTAGTTTTTAGCACAATATAATCCAACATTTTTTCTTACATCTGCAACCAGCAATACATGTGTTTTGAGAACTACGCCACTTCAAATTCGGCGCATGCGTATCACTTTCGATCACGTCCTTCGTTCAGCCGTAATCACAGGCCGTAATTTTCCCTTATTTTTCATTTTCCTTCAAAAGCAAGATGTCGTCGGTCAACTGATTTCCCTAACCTCAAAGTGCATATGTGATAATTAAAATGAGATTAGCAACCATCCATTATCTCAATTGTTGTTAATAATCACACCAAGTTTATTCGCATATCAGCAAACGTGAACATTTTCATTTTTATCACATCAAGGTTAGGTGAAACTTGTGTGTCACCCGAACCAGCCCTTCGCACATATTGCAACGTACCCACATCTGACTATGCATTAACGACGTCCTGACTCCGCAAATCCAGGTAACTTCCCTGAAGATGGCGAACTCGCTGTGCAAAACGTCGGTCCTCCGGATTTACCAGGAGGTGATAGACGACGTGATCAGCGGCGTCCGGGAAATCTTCCTCGAGGATGGCGTCGACGAGCAGGTCTTGCAGGAGTTGAAGCAGACGTGGGAGGCCAAATTGAAAGCGAGTAAAGCAGTCCAGAATGAACAAGAAGAAAAGGTGAAGAAGCAGGAGTTGAACTCCACAAATGGATTCCCGAAGCAGCACATACAGCAGCCCGTGCAGCAAGTGCAGCAACCCGTGGCACAGCTCGTCGAGACGAAAATGGTGCCCATACAAATCACACTACCAGCACAGCCTGGAACAGATCAAGCCCCGAGGATTTTAACCATTCAGGTACCAGCAACGGCGTTACAAGGTAACCAGCTACAGAAAGTCCTGACGGGACAGATCATCACAGCCACCATGAATCTGCCGGCGAATATCGCGTCTTCGGTTCTCCAGCAGCACGTCAACGCCGTTTTTAATAGTCAGCAGCAGCAAACCGTCACTATTGTTAACAGGAACATTGTACAGACCGATGGGGCCCATGCTGTGGACGACGACGAACAAATAGAAGTCGAGTTTATTTTACCGAAGAACAAAAAAACGAAAATCCCTCAAGTGGACGGGCCTGTGGATACTTCCGACGACGATGAAGACGGCTCAGACGACGATAACGACGACGACGATATCGACGATGATAAAGAAGAGGACGATCAGGAGATGGAAGAGGAAGGGGGCGAGGAGGAGCCCTTGAATTCTGAAGATGACGTTACGGATGATGATCCTACTGACTTGTTCGATACTGACAATATTGTCGTGTGTCAGTATGATAAGATCATCAGGAATAGGAACAAGTGGAAGTTTTATTTGAAAGATGGCATTATGAATTTGAGTGGGCAGGATTATGTCTTCCAAAAGGCCAACGGTGACGCTGAATGGTAAATTAAATGGGGTGGAACGTTTTGTACTCTTGATTTTCCGTTTTGTGTTGGCTAAGTTTGTCTGGATATTTTCACTAAATAATATAGCACTCGTATTCCCCATAACTTATCCATAATTCAGAGAGGATGTACCCACCTATTCCCTAAGTTATTAAAATTATGGTTTTGTATGTATGAATATGGAATATGTTCGCTAATGATTAGCCTGATTTGTAGATTGTGTTATCCATTATAAATGTAACTAATAATAGGCGTTTAGATTTAATCGAAATTTTTACTATGTATTATGATTATCGATAGCCGTTTGTGAATAAAACTATTTTTGAAGTTAAGGCCTTTATTTCTGGGTGTGGTGTTCAGTCTGCGGTTCGCAACGTTCGTGCACTTTTAAAAAATGCTTCTTACTTATAGAATTACAAAGTGGTGTTTAACAAATCGATTCGAGTTATTTATTTAGATGTGGATTATCGGTTAGGAAGTTTCATAATTACGAATAACTTCGGGTTTAACCGACAAAACTTGGCAGAAATATATGATCATATACTACTCATTAAACACTACATCATTTTTGCTTAATGGTAGTGACCAGATTACTACCTACAGAAAATTGTATGTTGGATAAATATGTATTTTATGGTTGACCTTTATATAACATTGACTTGGAATAAGATTTATAAGGTAGCAGTAATTTTTTTATGGCTCCCTACTGAATGGCTGTAATTAATTGATGGGATTTTTATTACTAATAATATCGGAATCACTTACAAAAATATGAAAAAATCTGTCCCTAAAATTGTAAATATAGCCTTTCATCTATTTAATAAGAGTTACTCCCCCTCCTAAAACACCTACATATTATTTCATAAATAATATCTTTCCCAGACTTCTACGTTAGTAAAACACATAATGTGAGTCATTGTCAAACACACCAGTTGAATTAATTTAATCCTAATGAACTTTCCTCATTTCCGAGGGTTAGCTACTATTAATTGAGACGACAAAAAAATACTTTATGTACAGGATCGATTATTATTATAAACAAAAAAAGTAAAGAAACGCGTCAAACTGTTTATTTCCAGTGAAATTTAATTCAAAATAATATATAAAAAAATTGTGGAAGGTTATTTTGACAGAATCCCTCGCCATTGAAGATAGTCCGATAAATTCCGCTTCTTTAAAAAATGTAATAACTGTTAACCTCTACAAAGAACGTAATTAACATTCCTGCAACCCCTGCGTCTTTAAATATGAAATATATTTAAAGCAGATAACTAATAATGCGAAAAAATGTAGACAATTTCAATTTCTTGGTATATGCTTAACTTCGACTGTTTATGTTCATAGTAAGACCGATTGACTAATTCATACTCAGTTTTCTTGCCAAAAACACTCATAAATTTGAAGAAATTCGGCAAAAATGTAAGATGACAGACAAATTTTGACTAACGATTAACCAAGTTTTAAATAATCTTGAAATATTTGCACAATTTCACAGCATTCGGTTTTTGCAATTTCAAAGTTACATTGTAACATACTGTTGTAAGTACAATGTTGATTTTTTTTTCCAAAAATCTGGATGCCAAGGGTAAAAACTCAACACGGATTCATAAATCACACATGCAGGAATATATTTTATAAAATTTAAACAAACAAATTTTGATTAACGATTTCCTACAACGTTAAAACGTTTGCAATATTTCAGTAGATTCGCTTTTGCAATTTTTAAGGTAAATTGTAAAATACAATTTTGAATTTTTTCCAAAAAATCTCGATGTCTAGGGTAAAAACTCAACACGGATTTTAAATTACACATACATGGAGTATGTAGTTCCATAAAATTTAAAAAACATTGGTTCTACAAAATTATAAAATTACGTCATCATTTTTAGGAGGCCATAAACGAAAAAAAATTGATTGGGTTTTATAGTTTCAAAGTTAAATTCTAAAATGTTACACAATTTTGATTTTTTTTACAAAAATCTGGATGTCTAGGGCGTAAACTCAATACGGATTCATGAATCACACATGTAAGTATGCAATCCTATAAAATTAAATATATAACACCAAAAAAGGGACAAATTAGTGGTAAGTAAGTAAAATGGTACATTTCACCCCACATTTTGTTTTTTACTTTATTATAAGGTGTTTTATCATTTTTAATTTTTTCAATTTCGACGTCGAAGTGTTTTTTGTTATAAAAATCGCAAAGTCAGCGGTTTCTACATGGATCCACTGGAATTATGGTCAAAATCTTTAGAAATTCACAAGTTTTTAAAAAACAACCTTAAAAATGGGGTGAAATGTTAAAAAAATGCAAAAAAAACTTCACGACAAAAATTGACTTTTTTTATTTTATAAAAAAGCAATAAAAAACTTCAACGTCAAAATTCGCCTGTTTACTTAAAAACATGATAAAGTACCATAAAATTGATGAAAAAAACAGGTAAAAAAAATTGGTCGAAGGTTATTCCAACAGAACTTCCCTCGCCTCTGAAGTGCAGCAAAATAAATCCCACTTTTTCGAAAAAAATTATTTTATTTTTGCAATTTTTGTTAAGTAAAATCCAGTGAAGTAAATAACGGTCCCACAGATTTTTTGACCTGAATTTTTCACTTCATCAATCATTCATTTTTTCGATTTCAAATTTTTCGACTTTTGAACTTTTGAATTTTTCTGTTTATAGATTTTGAAATTTTTCGAATTGAATTTCTAGTTTTCAATTTTTTATTTTTCTATTTCCAATTTCTAAATTTTTTGTTTTTTCAATTTCACTTTTTTTCAATATTTCGTTTCGTCAATTTTTCCATTTGCAATTTTCCAATTTCTTCTTTTTCTTTTCTACAATTCTGTGATCTCTTCGAGTTTTCATTTTTAAATTTTCGAATTTTCCGATTTTCTCATTTTCGAATGTTTCAATTTTTAGATTTTGCAGTTTTTCGAACTGAAATTTCACGAGTTTTGAATTTTGAATTTTTGCATTTTTTCATTTCTTCGAGGAAAACGAGAAAGTACAAGTTATTCTACATGGTTTATATTAGAAGTACAGTCCAAAATTATTGAATAATATATTGACACTATGTTTTTTATTATAATATCTCTCGTTCTTTCTGCCAAAAAATTGCTGAAAGAAAATTATGTACATAAAGAAAAAAAACAAACAAAAGGTTAAGCCCCACCCATCCGCCCCCATCTCAATTGTGATGAGGGGCGGAGTTTAACTGTAACATCAAAATTTCTCTAGAAAATTCAATCCTTTTAAAAACATGTTTCATACGGTAATTTCTTGTAGAAAAATGTGGATTTTGCAAATAAGCTCCACCCTTCAGCTCACGATGAATAAAAAATTCATCACAATTGAGAAGGGGTGGGTGGGCGGGGCTCATATTTTGTCCATTTTTTCTTAATGTATGAAGACTTTTTTCCCAACGAGAAACTGAAAACGTGTTAACCATCTTGTTGTTGAAAGAAAACTATATAAGAAAAAAAAAACAAAGTTTAAACCCCACCCACCCACCCCGATCTCAATTGTGATGAATTTTTCATTCATTGGTAGATCGAGGAGCCGAGCGTAATTGCAAGATACATATTTCTCTACAAAAATTTGCCATTTTCAACATGTTTTAAATTTCTTGTTGTGAAAAGAAGACTACACATATGATAAAAAAAGTCAAACAAATCTGTCAAATTAAACAAACCATAACGTTAATCAGGTGATTAAAAGTACGGTACAAACGGGTATTACAAATCGAAAAAACGAAACATTGTAAATTCGAAATACTGAAAATTAAAAAATCGGAAAATCGGATAATTGAGAAATTCAAAAAATGCAAAATTGAAAAATTTGAAAATTGGAAAATCGAGGAACTGAAAAATGAATTGTCTGATAAAAATGGATACAGACACCAGACAGACAGACGGAAACGGGATTTGAAATAATAAACAATGTGTTTGGAATCACCAAAAATTATATTTGGTAACCATAAATTAAATCGGCAAAATTGTAAAATCATCTCATTGCTTTAGGAGGGTACAAATGTAAAAAAATTGATTTACGATAGCCTAAAACGTTTCAAAAATTTCAGACTAGTTTCAAAGTTAAATCGCAAGATATTGTAATTTTGATTTTTTTCTCTAAAAATCTAGATATCTAGGGTAAAAATTCAACGAGGGTTCATAAACCACATGTGCAGGAGTATCTACACGTAAAATTTAATAACTGGTTCAGTAGTTTCGGAGATTATCTGTCTAATAAAAATTCGGACAGACGGCAGACAGGCAGACAGACGGAATCGGGTGACTTTAAAATTCATCAGTAGGTAGTTTCGGCGATTATTTATTAAAAAAATTTCGCAACAAATGTCTTATAACAGACAACATGGTGTCCATAAAGATCAAAAAAAGGTTAGAAATTAGTTTTAATAATGTTTACGTTACGTTTGGAACGGTGGTTATTTTAATGGAAAAGGTATAGATACAGCGCGTCCTAATTAAAAATTTACCCTACTTCAACCACCAATCAATATTTTATAGTTTTTTGTCTCCGCCTGCTTATTAATAATTGCAACAGAACCGTAACGACTATAATTTATGACCTTAGATTGCGCGGCGCGGGTATAGCAAGTCTGATGTATAAATATTTATTGAATAAAAAATCAATCAGGACCCCAATCGTCGGACAATAAACCACAATACAGTTTCAGCGTTTTATTTTCCTGATACAATATTCTAAGCTAGATGATAGTCATGAATGGGAAAATACGGTACTTTAGTAATATAAAATATAATTATAAATATCATTTTTATGACTAGTCCGATGGTTAAAATATGACAAATACAACCAATCAATGAACGAATAATACGTACAGTAGAATAGATAAAAAAATTAGCACCATTATATACAAAACTTCGATGTAAATGTGAATACATGAGAGAATTAAGGTCCGACTGTTCCTGATTTGGTCCATGAACCTGCTTGAATTGATATAACGGCCTGCTTTGGCACAAGAGGAAATGACACGATGACATCACTAGAACTAATATAATACATCTAGCACATACTTAAGAAAATACTCGAAGATTCTGCCTATTTCTGGAATGGATAAAATAAATAGAAGAAGGTTCTCTAATACTGGAACTCTCACAAACTGCCCTGACCAAAGTGAACTAACTCTAACGTTTAGGTACAAATCACAACATTGAAAAAACCCGTCCTTAAGGACTCTTCTCTTCCTTCTCGCTCTCGGGAGTGGCGCCGTCTACTTCGCGCTTTCGCTCCAAACTGCTCGTCAGCTCCAGACTAGAGTTCAAACTGGAACTGCACGCCAAACTAGACTTCGGCGGAATGGGAGGCGGATTCTCCAGCTTCGGGCTGTCCTCATACGGACTACTACTAATATTCATCTCTTGCTGGTGACTCTTGAGGTCGAAATCTTCGTAGCAGGTGTTATTCAAGTTGTTCAAATTCGAATTCTCGCTCATGCTAATACCCGAATCGCGCAGACTGTCGGGAGTCAGCTCGTAGCCGCACTCGACGGTCACGAAACCGTCCGGACCCACCAGGGACGAAGTCGACTTCTTCTGGCCGCGCTTGGGGATGTTCGGGGGCGCTTCGTTCGAAAAACCGACCAGACGCTTATCAGGAGCTACAAAAACGAAAAATTACACATCGTGTTTCCTACACGTTTCAGTAGCTACGCTGTCACGAAGATTTATTCTCTATCATGCAGTCATACGACATCGACGTCCTTCCAACTACGAGGATAACTTACTGTGTGACCTTGGGGGCAGCGGGGGCGCTTCTTCCACCCCCGAATCCGACCAAGAGTTCCTCAATGGCGACGTGCCGTCAGTGGGCGTCATCGAGGCGTGCCGCAGCAGCCTCGGTGACGGCGGCTTCGTCAATGACCTCTCCCGGCTATGAGTAGGCTTAGGCGGTAGCGGAATGTCGTACGAATCCGAATTTCGGCTCTTCATCAGCGGTAAACTCGAAGAATTGTAATCCAGACCTCGGGTTGGTGTTTGCACTTCGGTAAAACTAGTATTAAATCCCTGAGATCTTGGCCTTAGTTCGCGTTGAGGTATTGGTGGCGCTGTCGTATTTGTCATCGGCAGTGTTAGGTTTTCTCTGTTCGGGAAAGTGCGTTCGTTTTCCTGTCGGATGAAAGTAGCGTCATTCGGTTGTTTACGAGGTGGGGGGGGGTGCCTAAGTACTTACAGCATGCATGAATGGTTAGAATGAAAATTTGGTTTTATTAGTATTTGGGGGTGAGGTAAGGGGGTGCTATGATTGACAAAGGTAACTTTTTTCTAGTAGGTACCATAGGTTTTGTGTAAATGTCGTCGTTTTCGAGGGTGCGCTGTTCTGAGAGGTAATCGTAGGTTCCGCTGGAGGTGCGGGTGCCGTTTTCGACCGCCATTAGTCGTTTGTCGACGGGAAGAGGCGGAAGCGGAGTACTACAACGAGAAAATTAGCGTGGAACGTTTGAGAGGGAGAAGAATTTACTTGACGATACTCTCCGGGATTTGTCGTTTGATTTTGCTCAGTGCCCCCAAACTCTCTCGCAGTTGCGCAAACCTCTCCAGAAGTCTTTGATGAAGGGGAACAACGCCGGCGGGAGCCAGTCTCCCATGCAAATCTAAACCTTCTTCAATTACCTATCACAAAAAAAGTAACGTGCAATTTTACGTTTCTCAAAAATACCACAAAAAAAAACGATTAATGCTGTTGAGTTTGACAGTTACGGTCAAACAAATGTCAAACGTCTACAATGCCAATATCATTATTTTAAACGACGATTTTAAAAATAAATTTCATGGTCCACTAGATGCTTGTAGAAACTTAAAACATGTTTAAAATGGTAACTTTGTATATAGTCCAGTCATTTTAGGATACAAAAAGGGATCAATCTCGGAATGAGAGATAATAAGCTGAATTTTTGTATATACCTTAATTTTGGTGTTTTAAAAGTTGTGTCAAAAGTCTCATAAAATCTCGTGTCTGCGTCGTAAGTTATTCAAGGTCAAAGATGAAGAAAAACAGTTTTTTGCGATTATCTCGGTTTCTATTGCTCCAGTGATGTTAACATTTATTATCATAATTGTAGAGCACAAAATTTGGGACAAATTTTATTTGAAACATTTTTTCATGCGCTTAATCGTTTTTGAAATAGAGGGCAGTGAGCGCGCAGCGCTCATCCATACGTACTGTAATGCAATCAACCATGGATATCTATGAATACTACCTTGAATTTTGAAAAATTTGTATTATTTATCAATTAATACATTGTATTTAAACATTTTACAGATTTTCAACATATTCATTGTATATCTCAATTTATTTATATCTTTAAAATGTGTAAAATTCTGTCATGATTATAACTGGAAGGTCTGGAAACAACGATTCAGGGCACCGCAGATGATGACGATGAAACAGAAATTCCCGAACGTCCAGAAGATGACGGTGAAGAAGAAGAAAATTAATACTTTTGTTCTTTAAATTATTAAAGATTTCTAGATTTTCACTGCAATTCAATTTCAATCGTAAGAAATGTACAGGTACTGAACAAAGATAAAAATTAAAATACATTAACTCGTTTTACTTCCTTAAATTTTTACTTTGAAAAAATTAATATAACTTTTAGATATATAATAATATAACAAGTACAGGGTCATTATAAAATATTGTAGTCAACTCACCTATGAAAAACAAATGAAATTTTTCTCGTGCCGCTAACCACCAAAATGATTTGAACTGTTTTGAAATGTCACGAACGTCCAAACAAATCTGTCAGATGTGTCAAAAATTGAAATGCCCGGTTCGCGGTTTAATTTCATTTTAAATAGACACGAAAAGACGCCAGGCCAGAGCATTAAGGGTTGCAGTGTTATCGAGCATTTGTGAACGCCACTGCAATACATTTCAGTTTCAAAAATTGTAAATTGTCAGAAAAACGTTTAAGGGCTTTGTCATGAATTACACCTTGGAAAGTCGATTGGAGTTGAACAGAATAAATCATCTGGTCTGTTTTGCAAAGAAGCAATAATTTTTCAAATAATGAAATCCAAAAAGTGATGTTAAGTTTGTCGAAACCAATGAACACGGTAATTATTTAAAAAATTACATTTTTATAGGTACCCTGAAGCATGATACAAGTAAATATGGTATGGACATACGCAGGTTTGCTGACGTCACCTGGCTGTATTCAGGCGGGAAATTGAAATATTTACCGAGCCCAACTAAAGTCACCAACGGAGGACTACAAAAAAAAAAACATTTTCATCATGAAATAGAATTGTTTTAATGACAGAAATAAATTATTTAACATATTGTGAAAAGTTCTTTTACTTTATACCGTTCTTAAAACAAAAATATAACGTCATATCTACATTGTGACAGTTGAGGTAGCAGGTATATGCAAGAATTAAGTTTGTCGTTTTTGTGTTATTGTATCTCCTGTTTATTACAAATCTTGGAACATGGCTTACTGTTCAGTCATGGGTTGTAACACCAGCCAAAAGAAATCCAAAGGAATTCACTTTTATAGATTTCCGAAGGATCCTGTTCTATCAGAGCAGTGGTCAGCATTTTGTAGGATTCCTCCTGTTAATACAAAAAATGGTAACAGCATAAGTATTTTACATTTAACAGTGGAATATTCACACAGATTTGTTTTCTTTGTAGCTCGAATATGTTCTCTTCATTTTGAAGATAAATTTAATTATAAATCTATGCAGCAGATAATATTGGGCTATAGCCCAAAGAACAGGAGAAGGTTAGTGTCCACGGCAATTCCCACAATTAAAATTCCCTTATCTCCAAATAAAAGTGGATTTTGTGGAAGTTCGGATCAAGTGGAAGTGTCTGTCGAACACAATTTTACGCCAAATAAAAACGGCTCAACGGAAAAAATAGTGCGAAAAGTTGATATCAACGCGCGCAAAAAGTGTCATGTTAATTTGTTTGGTGTAACAGACGTAGCAAAAGAAACGGAACATGGTATTCAGCCGCTAAATGACTTTGAGGATACAACTAAACAAAGAAATTATGAAAACGAGTGGGAAAAGAAATTTAATGCATTACAGAAAAAGTATGATGACATACAGCGTGAAAATGAAAAAATTGAAGAGGAAAATAGACGACTCGTAAAGAAATTAAATGAAAAAAATGATTTAGTGACGATTGGTACAGCTTCAAAAAAACTGTTTACCCCTGGTCAGATACGGCGCCTAATTAAACAGAAACGTGTCTGTTGGTCGTCCGATGACATAGCATCAGCAATTTCTTTAAGAAGTGTGAGTCCAAAAGCTTATCGATATTTGAGGCAAACCTGCAAGTTTCCATTCCCTGATCTGAGAACTCTCAGACGATGGGCCCATACTTTTGATATAAGTCCAGGTTTGCTAAAAAACGTGGCTCTTCTCATGGAGAAACAAGCCAAAAACTTAACAGTTTTAGAAAGACTCACTGTCTTATCATTCGATGAAATGTTTGTGAATAAACAAATTTGTTTTCTAAAAACAAAGGAACAAGTTTTTGGGCCGCACAAGGCAGTCCAAGTAATAATGGCCCGGGGTTTGTGTTCCAATTGGAAGCAACCTATATTTTATAATTTTGATACTCCTGTTACCAAAGAATTATTACATAATTCATTAAAACAGTTGTACCACAGTGGGTACACAGTGACTGCCATAGTAAGCGATATGGGTACGACCAACATGAGACTATGGAAATGTTTGAATATCAATACCAGCAACACAAGTTTTAGCCATCCTAGTGATGAAACAAAGCTCATTTATGTTTTTGCAGATGTTCCACATCTTTTAAAACTGATAAGGAACCATTTTTTAGATCATGGATTTATTTTCGAAAATTCAACCTTGACAAAGAGCGCGGTTGAACAATTTTTAGCTCTGGGTGAAACATCTGATTTAAAAATGGGTCATAAAATTACCCAACACCTAATAGATGTTAAGCGTTCTCAACGCCAAAAAGTGAAATGGGCGGCTAAATTATTTTCTCGCACCACAGCAAATGTCATTAAGTACTGTGGGGAGAATAATTTAATTAATGATCCGAATTTTAATTTACTTGCCAACTTTGTCGAGTTAGTTAATGACTGGTTTGATCTATTTAATACCAATTCTAAATATTCGCGCACTGGCGTTGTCGGCTATGGTTTAGATCTCCAGAAGCAGCAACAACTTTTATCTAAAATGACTGAAACTATAACAAAGCTAAGAGTCAAAGGCCATAAATGTTTGTTACCATTTCAAAAAGGGATTATTGTTAGCAATAGCTCTCTAGAAAAGTTGTTTTTGCACCTCAAAGAACAATACAATCTGGAATATATTTTGACCCATCGCTTGAATCAAGATGTATTGGAAAATTTCTTTTCTCACATGAGAGCAATGGGTGCTGCCAATGACCAACCAAATCCAGTAGATTTTATGCATCGCTTAAGATGGTATATTCTGGGAAGACATTCACCAAGAGCCTTAAGCAACAACAAAAATTGCGAGGAAGATAACGCCTGCAACTTAGTTCAACCATTAGGTGGAAATGAAGTTTGTTTGACAGTACCCCTTTTCACATCATTAATCGGTACTTCAAACGAATGGTCAGGCAATCAAGATTTTGACGATTTTGCACATTTGCAGTTCACTGATAATGACTCTGATATTCATGTCTCTTTACCATCCACCATTGTTAGCGATGAAGGTCTCCGGTATCTCGCTGGATATGTTGCCCATCGTTTTCGTACAAAATATTCTCATCTTGGTGTCTCATCACAGAATGTTGTAGCTTCTACATCTACTTCTGATTGGATTCAATTTATATCCAAAGGGCAATTAATACAGCCATCGCCAGAATTTTTACAAATTGCAAAAGCGATGGAAACTTTATTTCTGGCCTATCATGGGCCTGAAATAAAAAAAGAGCCAAAAATTATTCAAAATATTGTTAATTTAGTTAAAATGAACATAGACTGTATGAGTGTTCCTGATGAAGTGCTTACTTGTTTAGTCCGAACAAGAACTTATATCAGAATAAGAGAAATGAACAAGGTACATTATCAAGACAGCTTAAAACACAAGGGTTTAAGAAAAATGAAAAAAATCCCTGATTTAAATATTTAATATAATCTTCGGCTTCCAACATCACATTTTCTTTCTTAATAGTTGTGTATTAAATTATTGGTTTGTACTTACCAAATGTACGAGATTCTTTGTACAATTATTATTACTGTTCACAATCAGTGTAAAAACAATTTGCAATGTTTCACAATTTTTATTCTGCAGAGTATCTTCGGCTGAAATATACATATTTACTTATTATTTGCTATCATCCCCGCTATTTTTTTAACAACGCTAGGTCGCTAGCAAACCACCAATTTGTTTTTACGCATCAGTTTGGTAACAATAAACAATAACCCTCATAACCACAAAAACTCATAACTGCCTCATAACCCTTAAAATTGATATTTGACATCAGATGTCAACACAGAAGTGGAAGGTCATTCACTCCACATGACGTCAGATAACGTTGCGCAGAAGAAGACGAGTTTTGGTTCATGGGATGTCCATACCATATTTACTTGTATCATGCCCTGAAGGTAAAAATTGTGAAAAATCACGTAATGGACAATGGCAGAGCAAGTCTTATCACAGTTAACGAACACTATGAGTACCTAATGAGTTTTTGCAGTAAATAATTTTGCCAAAGTTGTGATCCCGCGAAAGTTCTGTTTGTAAATTGTAAGGAATCGTCAAAATATTGGTGCAGACATGGTTTGTGACCGGTGCTTTTCTCTTGAAAAAACACAACTGAAATCCTTGATCTTCATCCCTACAATAGGTGAAAATTGCTATGTCCAAACATTACCTTCAGCTTTGCAGTTTCTAGATATCTGAAACATGCCAGATCTGCATAACAGGAATGTCAAAGAGGTTCTACCCAAAACACGCCCACATGGCCATCCTAATATCAAGATTTTTCAAAATTTCTATAAGAAAAAAGATGAAAAAACCAATAAAATTTCAGGAGCATAGTGTTAAGAGTTCTGTAGCTTATTATGAGATCTCTTGAAACAACAGAATGTTTAATAAAGATTTTTAACTTTCCTAATAGTAAAATTACAATTATTACTAAACAGTAAGTTGAAGTAAGTTTTAAATTAAGAGAATGCAACTAACACCGAAAGAAAAATGAAAGTTACTGAAAATAAAAAACTTTATTGCAGTACCTACATACAATTTCTACATCTAATTTTGTTTATTGATCACATTCATTTACTTGAAAAAGTATCAGGCCTATGAATCGTCGTCTGCTAACCACACACCAACCTTCATTGCGTGTGATGGTGTTTCTTCAAAAGCGTGAGTATTTTCTATACACCAAATTCTGAAGTTCTGTCAGTTGACATAATAGCCTAACAGATGAAACCAGGCTTCATCAGAAAAGAACGACAAATCGAGAATCCCGTTATCGTCCATATCAGCTTGAAACCAACTACACTACCCAACGCGGCAAGGAAAATCAGCTGGTTGCAGCTCCTGAACCAACAAAATCTTGTATGGATGCATATGTAACTTCTCTTTTACGATTTTCTGACATGGGCTGTATGGTACTCCGGACAGTAAAGATTTTTGACAAAGCTTTATTCGGACTTTGTTCCATTCTCATCCTTAAATCTTCAACAACGTCTTCACTAACTTGAGGTCTCCCCGTCGGTTTTCACTTTCTTTCTTCATCAATGACAACAGAACATTTCACTAGATACTCGTTTTTAGACGCCTCCACAGAGTACACTCCATCCCCATCCTCATTTAACACCCCATTACGGTAATAGGCATGATGATTGCGCCAAAGGACTAAAAAAATCATTTGTAACACTGACCATAGTTATTCCTCTCTGTTCATTACCTGAGATTATTCCACAATGATCTGTAGTTTTGATAAAAACTGTTTTTTGAGACACTTATTAAAGTTCTAACAAAGGGGAAGACAGCAAAAATGAAAACAAGACAAGGCAATTAACGCACAAAGTGAGGGAAAACGTACCAGTACAAACGAAAAAATTATTGACATCTGACAGAATTTGATGAAGCGTTGAAACAGTGCAGCCGCTAATGTCAACTAATGTGGCGCTAAAAATAAAAATTCCAATATTAGTGTAATCCTTTCCACAAAACTGAAAAAGGCGGCACAAAATGTCACCAAAATCATGGCCTTCTTCGACTACAATATTTTATAATGACCCTGTATAATATATTATCTAACATATAAAAACTTACACATTTGAAAGACAAAGTACTTAATTATTTTTCTACTTAAAATCTACTTTCAATAAATTAAGAAATACATACAATAAGTATTTCATTTAAAGAGTTTTTAATTCCACAAAGTAGGTAAGTATCATTATCATTAAATCAATGTATTGAAAATATGTAAAATGTTATTAAATGCAATGTATTAACTGATAAATAATACAAATTATTCAAAATTAAAGGTAGTATTCATAGATATTCACGGTTGATTGCATTACAGTACGTATGGATGAGCGCTGCGCGCTCACTGCCCTCTATCTCAAAACCGATTGAGCGCATGAAAAAATGTTTCAAATAAAATGTGTGCCAAATTTTGTGCTCTACAATTACGATAATAGATGTTAACATCATTGGAGCAATAGAAACCGAGATAATCGCAAAAAACTGTTTTTCTTCACCTTTGACCTTGAATAACTTACGACGCAGACACGAGATTTTATGAGACTTTTGAGACAACTTTTAGAACGCTAAAATGAAGGTATATACAAAAATTCAGCTTATTATCTCTCATTCCGAGGTTGATCGCTAATTTGACTGGACTAATAGGGAAATATCGATTTTGCAATTACACTCCGCCCCTCGGTCTAACAACGAATGAAAAATTCGTCACGATCATAGAGATCTCAGACTGGAGAGACGTTAGAGAGAGAGGGTACGGTGACCATTTGAGAGGTCTGAATCGGTAGGCAAAACAGAGCAACTTCCAGTTAAAATTTACTTTTAATTACTCACTTCCTGGTGTGTGTGGCATTTCTGTGCAGTTCTAAAGCGCTTGTTTTCTTACAATCGCAATAATAACAATCATATTCACGATGGTTATATCTTGTTGCGCATTTGGATGCGAGGAGCGGCATCACAAAGGCTGTAATATTTCATTTCATCGGTGAGATATCTGCTGAATAATTTTTTCATACAATCTTTATTTCATTTAATTTCAGTTTTCCGACAAATCTGTTGCTAAGAAAGCGATGGATTGTTGCACTTTAACGAGATAAATTTGTTCGGACGTCTGCGTCAAGAGTGTGTAGCAAACATTTTAAAAATGAGAATTTTCGGCAGTTAACAAATTCTGTTAATCCCACACAACAACTGAGAATTTTAAAAAAGGACGCAGTACCATTCATTTTCAATTTTTCAAAACATAAAAAAAATGAAACAAGGCCTAGAAAACTGACTAATAATGAGACCTTTTCGGCACTGCTAAATTTAAAAAAATAGAGGTGGACTACAAAGCCATCAGTTGATGTCGTCAAAGTTTGTAAGATAGCTGAAACCACTTTCAGAACTATGAAATATAATATTTCAGCGAATGTTATTAATATTTTTACAATTAAAGAATTAAAACCATTAGATTACTAAATTTCAGAAATATGTTTAATGTCTTAAATGACCACATTTTGGATCAAGATCCACTTAACAATCATGTAGTCCAGTTGGTTTATGTAATTTTACGTACTTTTTTTATTATTAGACTGAATTATGAAAACAGCAGAAATAATCAAGTTCCTAATAAAATCAGACAGGTATACACAAAATTAATTTTGTTCAATAAATTGTGTATTTATATTCATTTTGTATTGTATGTATATACAGTTTCCTACAAAATAAAGAAAAACGACAACAAAGCTGAATTTTAAAATCATTTTTACATGATCTCCTATTTAACTCAACGGCACCGAAGCTCGTTCTTGCCTACCGATACGTGTTGGCCTTGTCTAACAACACTCCCTGTAGATATGTTTATTTCTCTCTCTAGTTGTCACCGCATGCGAGCGGTATTATGCGCCTCAACATTCCATCCATTAGTTATTAGATCATTGGTCACGATTGAGATCGAGACGGATGGGTGGGGCTTCTCTTCTGGTTTTCTCTGTTAATTTTTTAATTAGTACATTTAATTTTCTTTGTATAGCATGATTACTTATGAACATATTTCACATGATAATTTCTTGTAGAAAAATAAGGATTTTACAATGAAGCTCCGCCCCTCGGCTCACGACGAATAAAAAAATCATCAGAATTGAGATAGGGCGGGTGGGCGGGGCTTATATTTTTCCTTTTTTTTTTTCTTAATATACATATCCATCTTTTCACAACAAGAAATTTAAAACATGGATAAAATGGTACATTTTTGCAAGGAAATATGGATTCTGCAATTATGAAAAAAAGTCTACACATATTAAAACAAAAAGGCAAAATGTAAGCCCGTCCACCCGCCCTATGTCAATTGTGATGATCTTTTTTTTTCGCCGAGAACCAAAGGGACGGAGCTTAACTGCAAAATAGTTATTTCTTTACAAGAAATTAAAAATATGTTTTTGAGTATTGTCTTGTTCAAAGACTACTACGTATACTAAGAAAAAAAAGGCAAAATATAAACCCCGCCCACCCACCCCATCTCAATTGTGATGATCTTTTAATTCTTACAAACTTAAAACACTTTTACAATGGTAAATTTTTGTAAGGAAATATGGATTTTGCAATGAGGCTCCGCCCCTAGGTCTGCCAAGCAATGAAAACTTCATTACTATTGAGATCAGCGCACGTATGGGTGGGTCTTAATCTTGGTTTTATTTTTTTCTTAATATATTTACACAGTATTCTTTGAATAACACGTTACTCAAAACATGTAATTTCTTATACAGAAATAATAAGTATTTTGCAACTAATAAATTCCTGTCCTTTCGTTTTCTCGTTTTCTCGTAGAAAAATAAGGATTTTATAATTAAGGTCCGCCCCTCGGCTCACGCTTCACCTCCTTGGTTCGCGGCGAATAAAAAAAATCATTACAATTGAGACCGGGCGGGTGGGCGGGGCTCTAATTTTTTCTTTTTTTTTCTTAATATACATAGCCATCTTTTCACAACAAGAAATTTAAAACATGGATAAAATGATACATTTTTCCAAGGAAATATGGATTCGGCAATTATGGGGCGGAGCCTAATTGCGAAATCGATATTTCCTTATACAATCTATGTTAAACATGTTTTAAGTTTCATGTTGTGAAAAGAAGTCTACACATATTAAAACAAAGAAGCAAAATGTAAGCCCGCCCACCCGCCCGGTCTCAATTGTAATGATTTTTTTTATTCGCCGCGAACCAAGGGGGTGAAGCTTAACTGCAAATATTTAGTTATTTACAAAAAATTAAAAACATGCTTTTGAATAGGTATCGTGTTGTTCAAAGAATACAAAGTATATTAAGAAAAAAAGGGCTAAATATAAACCACGCCCACCCACCCCATCTCAATTGTGATGATTTTTTTTATTCTTAGAAACTTAAACACGTTTAAATTGGTAATTTTTTGTAAGGAAATAGGGATTTTGCAGTTAAGTTCGGCCCCCTTGGCTTACGACGAATAAAAAAATCATCACAATCGAGATAGGGCGGGTGGGCGGGGCTACATTTTGCCTTTTCATTTCTTAATATACATAGCCATCTTTTCACAACAAGGAACTTAAATGTAGCCCCGCCCACCTGCCCTATCTCAATTGTGGTGATTTTTTGTATTCGCTGCGAACCAAGGGGGTGACGCTTAACTGCAAATACTTATTTCTTTACAAGAAATTAAAAACATGTTTTTGAGTACCGTGTTGTCCAAAAAATACACTATACATTAAGAAAAAAAGCCTAAATATAAACCCCGCCCGCCCAAACCATCTCTATTTTGATGATTTTTTTTATTCTTATTTTTATTCTTAGAAAGTTAAAACACGTTTAAATTGGTGATTTTTTGTAACGAAATAAAGATTTTGCAGTTAATCTCCGCCACCTTGACGAATAAAAAAAATCATCACAATCGAGATAGGGCGGGTGGGCGGGGTTTATTTTCTTTTTTTTCTAAATATACATAACCATCTTTTCACAACAAGAAACTTAAAACATGGTTAAAATGGTATATTTTTGCAAGGAAAATATATATTTTGCAATTATGGGGCGGAGCCTAATTTTTATTTCCTTATACAAATTTTCCATGTTAAACATGTTTTAAGTTTCATGTTGTGAAAAGAAGTCTACAATATTAAAACAAAGACGCAAAATATAAGCCCCGCCCACCCGCCCTATCTCAATTGTGATGATTTTTTTGTATTCGCCGCGAACCAAGGGGGTGAAGCTTAACTGCAAATACTTATTTTTTACCAAGAAATTAAAATAGTATATTATTAGCCAAGGTTGCAAAACCAAGCATTCTAGACCGAGCGCAAATTAAAATCCGAGACGCGCAGCGTCGAGGGCTCTAAAGCGCGAGGTCTAGAAGTGGCTTTACAACCGTGGTTAATATACTATTTTTTTCACTAGTAGAAACCACAAGACAATAAATTGAAAAAATAAACGTTCAATTTTTTGACGCAACATGATTTTGTTTTGATTTCTAATCAAACTTGTCGCTGAATTAATCATTTTATCTTCTACCGTCTACCAACTACCATACGTATACTCAAGTAATGTTAGTAGCACACATTTATTCATTTTTTAAGAAATAATCACATCAAATATTCCGTACATAACCTCAATCTTCTTTTTGAACCCGTGGTCGCAAAAGGTGAATTTGCTACCTCTAAATGAGTCGACATTTGCATGCTTCATGGCTGCTAGTGAAAAAACATGTTTTTGAGTATCGTGTTGTCCAAAGCATACTATGTACATTTAAGAAAAAAAGGCCAAATATAAACCCCGCCCGCCCACCCCATCTTTATTGTGATGATTTTTATTCTTAGAACCTTAAAACATGTTTAAATTGGTATAGTGAACCAAGAGTTATAAGGTTATATGGCCATCATAAAAGTAGTTGACCGCAAATAAATACCCCCTTTGTGTGGTTCGCACTAAGCTTACCGGTTGGCAATAAATCATCTTCTAAACATTTCTTGCTCATATTTAACAGGGCCGGCTTTCAAAGCGAGTGGTTATTTCGGAACCCTCAGCGGCTGCAGGTAGTAAAGAAATAGTGGAGTGATGGATTTTCATATTTAGTGAAAGCCGCCCCTGAACGAAACCACAAGAGCCGGTCGAGCTGCAGTGGAGACGTTATTTACGACCCTAAAACCTTTTCTATTGTAAACAACTTAACTTCGACACAATGGGATGATTTTATGATGGCCATATAACCTTATAGCTCTTGGTTCACTATAATTTTTTGTAAGGAAATAAGGATTTTTCCAGTTAAGCTCCGCCCCCTTGGTTTACGACGAATAAAAAAATCATCACAATCGAGATAGGGCGGGTGGGCGGGGCTACATTTTGCCTTTTTTTTTAAATATACATAGCCATCTTTTCACAACAACAGACCTAGAACAAAATCCATATTTCCTTATACAAATTTTCCATTTTAAGTTTCATGTTGTAAATAGAAGTCTACACATATTAAAACAAAAAGACAAAGTGTAAGCCCGCCCACCCGCCCTATCTCAATTGTGATGATTTTTTTTATTCGCCGTGAACCAACGGGGCGGAGTTTAACTGCAAAACACTTATTTCTTTATAAGAAATAAAAAACAGGTTTTTGAGTATCGTGTTGTCCAAATTAGACCACATGCATAACCAACAGTCCAACACCAGTGGACCGAAACTTAATAAAATGACATAAGCACAGCATAATCGAGTCATATAAGTAAAACAACACTGAATTGAACCACTCCGTGCAACCACTTTTTCTTACCTGCATCGCCTCCAGAATCAAATTCTTCAAAGTGTAAACGTGCGGCATGTGTTCAGGGCACAGTTTCGCAAACTCTTGTGTAAAGAAAGCCTGTTGATACTTACTAATCCCCCCCTGTACATTCGCGTCAATAATTCCTTGTAATCTCATAGTAAACGGGTTCAAGTTTCGTTTCGGTTCGACCGTGTACGTCGTGACTAGTTGTCTCAGTTCCAATTCGACAGATTGCATTGTTTCACAAGCATACTTTACGGGGGGTATTTCGTCGGTTTGTCTGTCTATCACTTCAAACCACCGCAAGATGCCGGGCAGGTGGTTTTCGATCTCGAGAATCATTCGTTCGATCCATAAAGTCTGTAAAGAGTGTAAGAAAAAGGAAATTTTTAATTTTACTCGTTTGTAGCTACCTTAATCTCATTTTCCTTATCAATAATTCCTTTATGTACAGGACGGTCACACTGAAATCTTTTGACGTCGTTATAGTAGTAAAAACGGGAGATTTTTTCGGGGATTCCGGTCGCCGTGGTAACGGGGTTGGTCTCAGGGATGGGCTTAACGTTACAAATTTGAATGTCTGCGATTGGTTAAGGCAACTTGACTAACTAGTTAAAAATCTGCGTTACTAAATAAGTATGATAAGGATACATTGTCCTTCTGAGTTGATTATGGAATCGTCAGGAGGTGTGTTCTTCATGAGTATCTGAGCAGATGGAAATTCCGTTTGAAGTCTTTGTGTGAAGGCACCGATTCGTTCATATTCTAATCCCCTATATACAAACTGCTTGTTCTACGAAAAACAAAAAAAATAATCACAAACTCTCAAACATCTACACCAACTTACCCTCACGAACAATGGAAAACTTAAACCGTAGAAACCCACCCGAAAATATTCCGGTTCTGGACGGAGCTGCGTCAAAATGTTATCATAAAATTTGGCTTGGTATTTCAAAATATCACTTAAAGCTTTATAATCAAAAAACTGAGTTTCGTACAACGTTGCCAGCTCTTTCAGCAACGGTATACCCTTCTCCCAACATTTCCCCTTATCGAAGTAATTGATTATCTGCCTATACAACTTCTCTTTAACTTGACATTCTGTAAAATTCGGAAAGTTAGCGTCTGCTATCATCGTGGTACTACTCCAAGTCAACTGATCCGCGTATAATTTCATAGTAAAAGCGGCCTCTGTATAATTTTCAGCAGACAAATGCAAATCGTGAAGTTTATAAATATAGCGGAGGTACATTTCCTTCCGGTTGAACTCGTTCTTGTAGAAATTCTACAAGTGGGTAAGTTAGGGAATGATAATAACGGTATGCGACTCACCAGGAGATTGAAAGTGCACGACATGCGTTTGTCGCGATTTTCATCACCTTCGATCACACTCCGATAATCCAGAAGGCGCTCTAAAAGTCGGGTGATGGAACTGATAAAAGCGGCACCACTTTCTTTCCACGCCAAGTCTTCGGATTGGACGCGATCTAGCAAGCTACAACGGAAGCAATCAGTGATTGGTCGTCAACTGAGAGGGGGTAAGAGTGGGGGTTACTTACACCGCACTTAAGTGCTCCCTTCGAAAGCAATAAAATGTGGTTTAGTGGTTAGAAAATTACAAATTTTATGTAATTATTTCGATTATGTAAACCGCAAAATCAAGACGATTCAAGGACTTTACTGTCACAAAATCGAAATAATTCTGCAATGAATGACTAAGTTTTGCTTACATAGTGTTGAACAACCTCCTGTACTCGTCGTCCCCTTTGTTCTCCGAGATCAAAATGTCCAACTTATCGATGAGTTCGCTCTCGACTTGTCTGAAGTTTCCGCGGGCTCGCTGCTCGCATTCCATCATATCAAAGAAAATGTGCAAAGTCGCTTTCCTCAGTTCGATTTCAGGAACAAGTGTTACTTTCAAGAAAGGCCCTACCATCGACGGAATAAAATGTAGTTTGCATTCACCTAACTGTGACCACATGGACAGAATTTGGAAGCCCATTAACACTCGCATGTCGCCGTATTTCTCGATGATTTTCTCACGCTTGACTTCGGAGAAGTGTTCCAGTTGGAGAGGTTTTTGCGTAAGGTAGTCAACAGCGAGATTGAAATAGTCGGTCCACAACTAAAACCGAGTTTGTAATTAATATCGAAAATAAAAAAAAATCGTAGGTACATCTTTGTCGAAATATCCACTGCGGCTATCCAAAAATTTGAAAGCTAGTGGCTGCGCTAATTCTTGTGAGGCTCTCAACATTACGTTGTTGACTACCATTTTGATTACTAGCCAGTCAGGCGGGAAAACTTCCAGTCTGACTAAATTACGAAACACTAAAAATATTCGCAGTAAAAAGTCCTTGAGGGGTTTTCGGTCTAGGTTAGGACCCACTAGAATTTCCCAAAGTCGCTTGTAGTGGAATTCGTCCAATAATTGTAAAATTCCGATCAAACAAGCCACCAGACAACCCTGAAAGTTTTATTTAGTTTTAGCTTTTAGCACAAGATCAAAACTTACCAAAATTTTCGTATCCCTGTCGATGATACTCAAAACGGCCTGAACCAAAATATCCAAAACGTTTATACACAAAGTCTCCACATCGTGGTGCATGCAGTTGTTAATTTTCCCCTGGCCATCAAACTGCTTTCTTTGTTTAAAAAGGAAGGACAAAATCTCCCCCAAAATGTCGGTACAGAGTTTTAACTCATCGCGGCGGTGCAGCTGAGTACGTAAGTGCTTACAAGCGGTAGCAAGCAGAATATTTCTAGACTCATCGTCTTGGAATAATTTACTAGTGATCAGATTTTTAATACATGAAAGCTTAGCTTGAACTAGAAGCACCGGGAGATCTTTGGGAATTGCATCGAGAAGAGTAGCCGCTAATTTTGTCACTTCTATAGTCGGCAACACTTCGATTAGTTGCTCATAGACTGCACTAATAGATACAAGTAGGGCCACCTAAAACGTTTATTTTGTAACTAATGAAAATAAACTAGGTATGGTTTGACATACTTGGGTATTGATAATGTGAGGGTCGTTAACCGTCAACATCTTATTGAGAGACGAGAACACACTGTATAAATCCCTCCGAAAACTGTCCTCGTATTGTCCACAAGTCGCCCGTGAAAACAAGAGTCGACTTTGTATAATCAGCTTGAAAATGTACTCCAAGCTTTTGTAGCACTTCTGAATCGGTTCTTGTTTCTCGAACGATAAAACCCAGTCTGCACAATGTTGCACACTTGTAAGCAGCCCTTTATACACAAGCGCCGCCGCAAAATGATTCCTTATATACGCATCCAACACCGGCTTAAAATGTTGGTACTTCGACCCATCCAACAAATTAAAAATCGACACTAAAACGTGAAAAACTAGGCCACTGTAAGCCGTCGAGTTTCCATCTTCCGTCGAAAACAAAGCAAAAAGTGCGTCCAACACATCCTGTAAAAATTTCACTAGTTCCTCGTCGCCTAAACGTAAAACTCGTTGAAGCGAGTCTTGGATTTTCTCCGGGTGAGATTTCCACCGCAGCAGAGCGAGTAAATCGACTAAAAATAGTACAATTAGAGTGGCGTTGGTGAAAATTTCGTAACTGTTGCTACCATTCTGAGTTAGTTTCGTCGAACACAGTAGCGTTTTTACGAAAACTAGTTCCTTGTGACTTCGCGAAAATTGGCCCACGCTTTCATGATTTCCTTCGAAATCTTTACTGAACGAAGGGTGTGATAAGTAGCCACAGTTTTCGAGCTTTTGGGGGTCTTCACATTTATAGATGTACAGTTCGTGTTGACAGTCTTGCACCGCAGCGCCATCTTTGTCCATTAGGCGTATAAACGAAAAGCCGAAAAGTTTTTTATCGTTTTTTTCGCGTGCTGAAAATCATCAAAATTGTGACCCTTCGTCAAAAATCGTTAGATTACTTACTTGAGCAATGTCTGTACTCTAGCCTCACGTGTGCCCCCGCAAACTTATCAATCGGTAAAGTCAACCGAACATTCTCGGCCCACGCCGGCGAATTGTGGTGATAAATAATCATGGAATTGTATTCCGAAGTCCCTTCCTGTCCCGACGCCCCCCACAAACATCCCTTGATCACATTCTTCTCGCTGTCCAATACCATAATAGTAACTTCGATATTTTTCCCCACCGATTTTCCTCCTCTCTCGAATTCGCCTCGTTCCAGAATCAAGTACAAATCATTCCTGACATCCCCCGGCATTATAACATCCGGAAAACCCAATTTGCTCGTCAAACTAACATTCTTAAACAACATCGCGTTTTCTTCCTTGAGATTGGTCAGTCCCCCGTGTAACATCTTGACGGACGTCATAATACCGTAGTTGGGAGCGCACGCAAGAGCGTTATATTTTCCCGACTGGCGGATTATGAACTCGTGCAACTGATGAAAGTCCTTCTCTTCACCTTGGTATACTTTCATGTTCAGTTCTTTCTCTTCAGAGTCTCCTTCTTTGGTTGTCAGATAATCACCTAAGTTGTACACGGCAACCCCGTGAGGCCTTTTAAAAACCTGTTGCTGTAATACCGCGTTCTTTTCAGTCTTTTTCGAGCTATCCGAGTAGATCATTTTGCCGATACGCATCACGTGAGCTATTAGAAATATATCTTTGTTTAGGTCGGAGTTCCCTAAATCCTGAAAAGGAGATATGTTGCAATCAAGATGAAGTCATGTATGATGTTCAATAAATATTGTGACGTTTCAATCTATAATAATTTTGTTCAAACTGTCCCTGGCGCCATCTGTGCGGAAACACAGAAGCAAATCTCCAAACTTCATTATTGAAATGGGACCCAGATAGCGTAAAACAAGTAAACTTAATAGGATTAATTTTATCAACAAGCAAAGTGAATTAAAAACGTTAAAAACAATCGACTCTTACGCTTCAGGTGTTCTTTAATCTAAATGCCAGCTTAACCTCACTAAATTAGTTCACTGAAACACCGCCAGATGTCCCCCTACTTACCGTAAAAACCGTGCAGTTGCTGTGCAGCTTTTCGACGTAATTCGAGAAGCCCTCTTTGGAAATTTTGACTAGGAAACGTTCGCTTATATATTTTTGTTTGGAGGCGTCGTACAGGGAGAAGTAGATTTCGGTGTCCTCGCCGATGTGGTGTCCGAAGTCGCGCATGCAAAAATACAGGTGGTGGGTGAGGGTTTTCTTTTGTTCTTTTTTTCGGATGGTGCCTCGGGCCTATTTAATTTTTAGTTTGGTTTTAATTGGGTGTGTCGATGCGGAAATTCAGGACGTGGAACAGATATTCTTATCAAATAATGTAAATACTGGCGGTCACTGTCAATGTTAAATTGGTGCGTGGGGATTTCACCGAAATTCGGTTTGGTATTTACTCGTTTATGAAGAAGATAAAAATGTTGTTAAAGAGATACGAAATATTTCAACACAATCTCTGCTGAATGCGAAGCGCTATTTTTGTACTCATTGCGGTATCAATAAAAAAATATCAAAAATTGAGTCTTAATAGATAACTGTTTAAAAAAAAATTGAAGACCCAAATTGTATGGTTCTCTGACGATTATACTACATATATTTTTAACTGTATATTTTACTAAAAATACTATATTTTCACATATTTTTCTTTTTTAGAAATGGAAGGATTTACAAAAAAAAAATCACAGTACGGTTATTTTTTAAGCCTGTGTTTCGATATTTTGTGGAGATACAAAGAAAGATATGCACTTTGTTGTGATATAAACGAGTTTAATTTTCATATACATTTTTCAAATAGAATACCCTACATTTTATTACGGCATCTTATTCTACTATTAGTTTTCTTTCTTTTTCGATGGGTATTTTCTATATTTAAAGTTGGCAGTTATTACGATTTCTTACATTTTTTAGAAGAACAAGGAGAAAAAAGTATTTTCTTATTCCATTCCATTTGAAAGAACTGGAATATCGATATTTGAAAATTGTAACGTTTTAGATTTTTTATAAACACTCTGTATATTAAAATTTAATTTAGTTACATATCACAACAAAGCGCGTGTTTTTATTTATCCTTCCACAAAATATTGTAAGACAGACTTTAAAAATAATCCTATTGCGATTTTTTTTGAGAACCTTTGTCTCATCATCTCGTTTTTAGCATTTTGGAAAAATTTTTCATCTTTAAAAATTAACATCTACATATATTATTTATGGAAATTTCATAACGCAACTTTCATCACTGTTTTCAGCTTACGTTAAATTAAAAATAAGCTTGTGTCGAAGAAGCTACTTTTGCTGTCTCATTTTCAACAAAAGAAATCGACAATGTTTTCCACGTAACGGAAAACGCTTTTTAAGCTGAAAACAGTGGTGAAAACCGCGTTCCGAAATTTCCACAAATAATTGAACTATTGAATTTTAAAAGTACGTAATCAAAAATTTCACCAAAACTTAAAAAAAGATGCTTGTATGTAAATTGTTTTTTTAATTGTCGCTGTGTTATATATAACAATACTTGCCAAGATAAGACTGATTTTGGCAAATGACCTACTCTTTAAGAAAATAAAGGGCGGGTGGGCGGGGGTAGTACTTCCTAAGATAAGACTGATATTGCCAAATGACATAGCCTCTAGAAAATAAAGGGCGGGTGGACGGGGCTAGCACCTGCTAAAATAAGACAGATTTTGGCAAATGACATACATTCTAAGAATTTTCAGAAAAGTCCAGAAATGAACAATTCTGGGAAGAAATGCCAGTATCTTGAGAAATAAAGAAAAGATCTTAAAAAAAAGTCAATCTTCGGAAAATAAATAAAAAAAATGGAAAAGTATTCAAACTTTTGCCAAAAAGAGGTTTCATCCAAATCGATCGCCAATTAGTTCAGATCTTTAGAAACAACGGTAAGATCATTAAAAATATTAATATATATAAAAAAAAATAAAGAAGGAAGTGAAAAAGACATCAAGATTTTAATTTTTTTCAGAAAACTCCCATTTGAAGAAGAAATTTAAAGATTATGACGAAAGTGAACAATTTTGAGAAGAAATGTCAGTGTCTTGAAAATAAATCAGAATGTTGAAAAGAGATCAAGATTTTGAACCAAAGTTTCTAAAAATTTTATCCATTCGAGATTTCGTTCAGTTTTTTTTTTCAGTTTCTGTACAGTCTTCAAGAAAATCCGAATTTTTAAAAAAGAAGAAATATTAGTATCTTATTGTAAGATCTTAAAAAAGTCAATCTCTTAAAAAAATAATAAAAAAGTGGATTTATTGTAAAAAAATTCATTCAAAATCGATGTCCAATTTGTACAGATTGTATTGAGTTTGTGGACAGAAGAAAGTCAAGTTTTTCAGAAAAATCCGTATTAAAAAAAAAGATTGTGAAAATAATTAAAAATTCTGACGAAAAATATCAAAGTACATTGACAAAATAAAGGCAAGATCGTGAAAAAATTGTCAATCTCTTCAGAAAATAAATAAGAAAGTTAGTTGAGATTTTCTTCAGTTTCCGGACAGTTCTTCAAAAAGAAAGTCAGAATTTTTAGAAAAGTCCAATTCAAAGAAGAAATCTAAAGCTTGTGAAGGAAATGAACAATTCTGAAAAAAAAAGGTCAGTATCGGGAAAAATAAAAGAAAAATCTTAAAAAAAAAATTGTCAATCTCTTCAGAAAATGAAGAAGAAAATGACATCAAGATTTTTTAAAAATTTTAAGAAATTTTATCCGAAATTAGTACATGTAGTACTACTTGCCAAAATAAGATAGATTTTGGCAAATGGCCTACTCTCTAAAAAAATAAAGGGTGGGTGAGCGGGGTAGTACTCGTTAAGATACGACTGATTTTGTAAAATGGCATACCATCTAAGACAATAAAGGGCGGGTGGGCGGGGATAGTACTTGCTAAGATAAGACTGATTTTGCCAAATGACATACCCTCTAGAAAATAAAGGGTGGCTGGACGGGGCTAGTACTTGTTAAAATAGGACTGACTTTGGCAAATGACCTACTCTCTAAGAAAATAAAGGGCGGGTGGGCGGGGCTAGTACGTGCTACGATTAAACTGATGTTGCCAAATAGCATACTCTCCAAGAAAATAAAGGGTGGGTGGGCGGGGCCAATACTTGCTAAGATAAGACTGATTTTGCCAAATGATATACCCGCTACCCTTTATTTTCTTAGAGGTACAAGTACTAGCCCCGCCCACCCACCCTTACTTTTTTAGAGAGTAGGCCATTTGCCAAAATCAATCTTATTTTGGCATGTACTACTACATGTAGTAGTACTTGTACTAGTAGGTTGTGGACAATTTATATTTAAAATGTCATAGCAATAAGTCTGTTAATAACGGAGATAATGCATTCTGAAAATGAAAGTGAAAAAGATGGGACTCGCCATCAGAAACAAATAAAAATAAACCCTATATAACCAGTAAATAGCTATTTTTTTCCCATCACATTTTCACCGCGACAATTGATCGCCTGTTACTCTGTTCTAAACAACCTTGAATTCTTAATTCGTTATTTACCCGGATAAACTTACACAACAGACTGATTGAGGTTGCGAACTACACTAAAATTTTAATTTATATTCCATATACTCTTTAAATTTAATTCTTCGGCCTTTTTTTTCCTAGGAATACAAAACATTTGGAAATAATCACCTATCAATATGTTTTTGTAAGTGTGTTAGACACTTGACCTTTTACAATCGCCTAATAACAAAGACCAGACGTCTACTCGGTTCCGAATGACAACAACCAATACATAGTTGTCGGGTCATCTTATTAGTCACAAATTTTAAGTGGACACCTCTGCTCAGCAATTTTTTTAACTGTGCTAAGATGATATTTCAATAGTCAAAAATCAAATATTAAATTTGCACACTGTAGGTACGAATTTTATATTTAAATACACTGCACATTTGTGCAAATTATTGTCATCTGACCAACAAAAATATCCTTTTTTAGAAAATATTTACCATCACAAAAGTATACACCGCAAAGTTATAAGTAAAGTTTGTCTAGAATAAGAATTTTATGAACCGCTAAGTTAATTCGTTTTACAGCCCTTTCGCCAATTTTATTGTACAGCTAAAGAGCGTGTTAGGGGAAAGCCCATGTTTATTGCACCCAAGTTCACCCCGCGCCGGGCAGTCCGGCAGGCAGGTACAAATTTCTTAGAAAAACTGCGGTTCGAAAAGGGCTGTAAAACGAATTAACTCTGGGAGTCCATAAAATTCTTATAATTCTAGACAAACTTTACAGAGACAGTCTATAATAATTTCCAGAATACAGGTAGAGTAACGGACAAGTTATGGTTAATTTTCTTAGAACAACCAGAGGTATTTGTACCTGTACCGCATACTTATTTCGTATTCAAGAACCTAACAAAGCTCACGTTGTAAATTTTACTCATAGCAAATTTCACAATCTTGCAAACAATTCGTCGTTAACAGTTAATTTCAAGAATCAGCCAATATATCTCGTTCTACAGGTACACAGTACAGGGGTATTCGACCACAAAGCGTTACTCACTTTACACCGAACTGATAATTGCTCAACAAATAAAACAAACTATCAGAAACCTGAACCATTTGCGGCTTCACTACTTCCCCGATCCTTCGAACCCACTTAAAATTATCCGTGACACGTCCGAATTTCCCCTCTTACCTAATAATAACAATACCCACCGACAACCCCTGCGAATTTTCAGCACTGGACACGTGGTAATGGTACAGCTCCACCACCGACATGGAATCCGGGTCGATCATCTGCGCCCCTTGTCTAGGCACCAAATCCAAGCCCAATTTCCTGAAACAAACCATCGGTTTTATCCCAACATCTCGCAGCCGGGGTGTCGTGACTCAGCGTTCGACAGGTACCATGGGTCAACGCACCCACCTCCAAGGCCAACTAGACGTGCCTGCAAGAATCCCGACTCCCGTTGACATTCCCTCGGGTGCCAACGCGTAAAATTAGTCGAAAACGGCAATTAAAAACGCATTGCTACTAGAAAGTCAGTAGCGCGTCGAGTGATGGGCCCCTCCGGGTACCAGACGCTTTTGTTTTGACTGTACTTGGAAAATACCGGGCAGGTGGGCAGGGCGACTCGTCAAGGATTTGTGAGCGTTCCCGGACAAAAAAGGGGTGCAGGCAGTGCGGCTGCTGGGGGACCGAACCGGAATACTTTACAATAGGAGAAACAAGGAGCGATATAGGGAAAGAGAGAGAGAAAAGACTGCGGTGACAGTCTTTTAGACTATAAGTCTGAACAATTCTTGAGAAAATTTCAAAAAAATTCCCCTCTGTTGTTGATTCCGACTTAAGTCCGTCCCCACACGTCTGCGCGGTCGATTCAATAGCATCTATGTCTTTCACATCTCGAGTTAACGAACGCCGCTGGTTTCTGGTTGTCCGTTGGCATGCAGTGCTAGACCTGAATGCATTCTTCATCTTGTGAACAAAGCTCCAACTGGCTTTGAAAGGACGCAAAATGGCGGACCGCGTTTGCTAGACAAAGACGGCGAATCCCCTCTTACCGCCCGATCCATGTTAAAGCGAAGAATAGAGTCGACCAGTTGAGAGTGTACCGTCGGTGAAGGCTCCCGACATGGTACCAAAACAGTGAGAAAGCCGTTAGTGATCTTAAATAGTAACTCAGTGCCAAAATATACAGGATTTATAACTAAAATCACCGCACCGATAAAAACAAGTAAGTACTAATTATCCGCAATTACAAAAAAATTACATTAATTATGGTTAATTATAATTCTGGTAACAGTCCACGTGGATGTGCATAGCTGAACACGTTCCCATTAAAGAAACAAATGTCTCTTTCCTATCGTACGATAGCAATTTATACCAATTAGGTCGTACTTGTTTCAAGAAAACAGTTTTGGTAGTCGAGGTCAGAATTCGACGACACCGAACTAAGTGCACGAAATTTCGAAAAACGTGAATATTTGATACGTAAGCAAGCAGTTGTGCAATTATTGTATGGCGGCGATTAATTCCAATTACGGTGAAAAGTCCATGACGGACAATAGTTTTGATAGCGTTGGACAGACGCAGCTTCGACTTAAGTCAGGTTCGGAGCGAAACTGTGCTCCTTTTTCATTGATTGATTAATTTTTTGGTAGACACGAAAATTCATTTAGATGATTCTCAAGGTTGAAATGATACGTTTACTCACATCTGAATAAGTGATTTAAGCGGATCAAGCAAATGAGATTTAATCTGCTTTATTACTTAATAACAGAATGTTGGATGTTTCTGTATAGTGGAATATCAAAGAAAAGCGCTACGAATGCTAAAACGAGTTATTAAGATAAATGTTAACGTTTCAACAATTTTTTACGACGTGAAATGATAAGGTTTTTCTGGTAAATTATGGTTGAAGAGCAGGTATAAAGAATTCTTTTGTCTGGGTTAGTCACCAGAAAGTCCTCATTTGCTAGTCACTCAGTTCGCAAGAAAATTTCGTGCTGGAACGACAAGGGAAATCACCAATTATGGTTTCTACCTGGAAGTTGACCTCTTAAAGGCAACAAAAACGAAATTATCAAAACAATGGACTTTCAGAACCGTATTATTTGAATAAATAGCGTAGAACAGTAATTTTGAAGACCTATTTAAATATTTCGTCCAAGCGTACATAAACAACTAGAGCGACTGATAATGATAAGTTTTATGGTAAATTTTATGCATATTGATAACACTTGTTACATGATCATGTCCGCTGTCCTGCGAATCGTAGTACAAAACATCTGCATCAAACAGAATCATAAACATAACGCTCGTTTTATCAGTATTGTAACTTTATCTGGTGCCCACACGCTTTGTATACTTTTTTGCAATTATAGAAATATGACGCGTAAAGTAGGAAGTGTCATGATTATCTTCATTTAAAAAAAATTAAATAAATTCTTGTTTGTATATTGCAAAAAGCGATCAATAAAAGTAAACAAATCAACTTACAGACAATGAACTTTGGATATTTACAGTTGGACCATAATTAACAAAATAACAAAAATAAACGTTCGTTGCACTGGATAAACAATCGGTATTTGAGCAACCAATTAGTAGTTTTATTTCTACTTTTTATGACTTGTTTTAAATTGTCGCCGACGAAATCACTTCTCAGATGTTTTTGCTAAAACTTTCTACAGCCAAAATCGAAATTCAGATTCGTGTGACACATAAAAATGCGGTGACAGGAAATTCAGTAGAATCAGTTGAAAACTGCAAAATTTATTTTTGCAGTAAAAGTTGACTTTATTTTCCCGAAAACTAACTAAAAGAAACAACTGAAATTAGGCACTATTTTATTTTGAAAATTCGTAAACTAATATTGCGAAATCATTAAATTTAAAAAATCGAAAAGGAAAAATAAAAACATTCAAAATTAAAAAATCGACACATTGAAAAACCAAAAATTTGAGGAATCAATAACTTGAAAAATCGAGAAATGAAAAAACGAAAAATCGAAATAGTTTAAAAACCGAGATGTCGATAAATTGAAAACTCAAAAATTGAAATGTACATACATTAAAAAACTTAAAATCGGGAAATCGAAACATCAAATAATCGTAATATCGAAAAATCAAGAAATCGAAACATCTAAAATTAAAAAAATATCAAAGTATCAAATCAAAAATTTTAAAAATCGAAACATTGAAAAACCGAAAAATCAAAGCAATCGAAACATCAAAAAATCTAAAATTTGAATAATCGAAAAAACGAAAAGTCGAAAAATTATAAAAACCGAGATGTCGATTAATCGAAAACTCAAAAAATTTAAATATACATATATACATTATACATTAAAAAAATTTTAAATGTGGAAATCTAAAATCTAGAAATCTAAATTTTAAAAAATAGATAAATTGAAGAATCGAGAAACTGAAAAATCGACAAATCGAAATTAAAAAATTAAATGATCACGAAATCGAGAAGGTGAAACATTGAGAAATCGAAACGTCGAAATCTCAACAATCGAAAAATTCAAAAACCGAAAAATCTTAAAGAAGAAGGCGAAAAATGTAAGGCCAAACAACGAAAAACCTAAAATTTCAAAATTCGAAAAACTGAAGAATCGAGAAATCGAAATATCCAAAATTTAAAAAATCGAAAAATCGAGAAAACAAAACATCAAAAAAACGAATAACTAAAAAAATTGAAAGATTTCGAAAATTTGAGAAAAAAAAAATTGAGCAGTCGGAAAGAAGAAACGTCGAAAAATTAAAAAATTGATTAACCGAGAATCTAAAAATCGAAAATTTGGAAATTTAATCGTAGAACCGAAATATCAAAAACTTTAAAAACCCAAAAATTGCAAAATCAAAAATTTTAAAAATCGGAAAATTTTAAAACCGAAAAATCTAAAAGGGAGAACGCGAAAACTGAAACACCAAAAAATGAAAAACTTAAAATTTAAAAATTCGAAAAATTGCAAAACGAAAGAACTGAAACATCGAGATATCAAAATATTCAAAATTTAAAAAATCGACACATTGAAAATCCGAAAAATCGAAACACTAAAAAAATCTAAAATTAAAAAAAAGGAAAAATTGCAGTGTTGATGAATCGATAACTCAAAAAATTGAAATATACATATATTATACATTAAAAAAAAAATTAAATATGGAAATATAAATATCAAATAATCGTAAAATGAAAAATGTAAAATTTTAAAAATCGAAATACTAAAAAAGCACAAAACTAGAAATCAAGAAATCGAAAAATCTGAATTTTAAAAAATAGATAAATTGAAGAATCGAAAAACTAAAAAATCGAGAAATTGAAAAACAAAAAAATTGAAAAATCGAGAAATCGAAATTAAAAAATTAAATCATCACAAAATCGGGAAATCGAGAAGGCGAAACATTGAGAAATCGTAACATCGAAATCTCGATAAACCGAGATATCTAAAAATTAAACAATCGAAAAATTTAAAAACCGAAAAATCTTAAAGGGAGAAGGCGAAAAATGGAAGGCCAAAAAACAAAAAACCTAAAATTTCAAAATTCGAAAAACTGCAACATCGAAGAACTGAAAAATCGGAAAGAAGAAAAGTCGAAAAATCAAGAAATTGATTAACCGTGAATCTAAAAATCGAAAGATTGAAAAATCGTGGAACCGAAATATCGAAAATTTAAAAACCGAAAAATTTAAAAACAAAAAAATTTAAAAATCGAAAAATTGCAAAATCAAATTTTTAAAAACGAAAAATCTAAATGGGAGAAGGTGAAAACTGAAAAACTTGAAATTTAAAAATTCGAAAAATTTAAAAAGTCGAAAGATTAGAATATCGAAAAATGAAAAATTGGCCAATCAAAAAACGAAAACTAAAAATTGAAAAAACCCGGAGTTTTGAGAAACAGAAAAATTGAAACATTGAGTAACCAACCGGAAAGAAGAAAAATCGAAAAATCAAAAAATCTCGAAAAAATTTGAGAAATAGGAAAATTGAATAATCGGAAAGAAGAAAACTCGAAAAATATAAAACTTGATTAAACAACCACATCTAAAATTCGAAAATATGGCAAAATTGCAGAATCGAAAAATTGAAAAATTGTAAAACCAAAATATCGAAAAATTGAAAATTCGAAAAATTTAAAAACCGAAAAATCTAAAATCAAAAAGGGAGAAGGCGAAAACTGAAACACCAAAAAATGAAAAACCTACAATTTAAAAATTTGAAAAATTGAAAAATCGAAATATCCAAAATTTAAAAAATCGAAAAATGAAAAATTGAGGAATCAAAACACCAAAAAACGAAAAAATAAAAAATTGAGTAATCGGAAAGAAAAGTCGAAAAATCAAAAAATCGAAAATCTCGAAAATTTGAGAAATAGAAAAACTGAATAATCGGAAAGAAAAGTCGAAAAATCAAAAAATTGATTAAAAGACAAAATCTAAAAATCGAAAATTTGGCTAGATTGCAGAATTGAAAAATCGGTCCAGTGATTTCAAATATTATCTGCTTAATAAAAATCTGGACAGACGGCAGATAGACAGACCGACAGAAACAGGAGACATATTTTTACGTACTCTAGGGTCATGAAACGTCGAGAAAACATAAAAGTACTCAGTCGTTGGATTGACTTGATTACAATACTTCCTTAGCTTACGCTCGGGAATTAAAAAATAGTCCCAAGTTTATTCAGACAGAACATACCTCGCCTCTTAATTATCGAGCAGATCTAGTTTTTTCGAAAAATTATAAAATCTGAATGTATACAAAATTCTATTCGTTAGTAACAAAAGTAACAAAATATATAGATAAGAGCAGTCACAATGTAAAAGAAAGAAACAATCGAAAACAAGGAGAAAGGAAGGAAATCCGCTACATTAAATACGTGGAAAATATTGGGCAAACAAATTTTTTTACAATAATTGTGATAAAATTAAAGGCAGATTCATCAACCACGAGTATAGGAGTATATATCATTATATAAAATTTGGTAACTTTTAATTATTACTCAACAACTAGGGCATTGCAAGTGGGATTTTGAACGACGTCATCAATTTCTTGAACTAACTGACATAAAGAAACTCTGGTTTGGGTTTTACCGCGTCCACCATGATGTACGGTGCATTTAAAATGTTAATTTAATAAATAATAACTGTACATCTTCTGAGTTATGCCACAATCGCATAAGCACAATTTATGACATGTTTCAAATAATTTCCAAGGTTTAAATGTGAACATAACAATACTTGTGAAAGCTTTGCTAGCGATTTCACAGTTTGTGGAAAGGAAATTCCTATTTCCGTCTGTCTATCGTCTGTTTGAGGTTTCATGATTCAAGCGAATTTCATTTTAAATGTGCGGGACAACGTATTGTTTAGACGTGTGGTTTAATAGTCTACCCTTAATATTTTACACACGTACGTCGCCAAAAAATCGGACTTCGTCGAAATTTTGGTAAGATACTCGACAACCACATAGATATATATATATATATATAGATATACATAGATGCCAGTTGGTTAAACACTACTAAATTTTTCTAATTTCCAGAAAATCATCCAAGATGAGCGTCTTCGGAATGGTGTCCGCTGTTGCGGGCTTCTTCAAAGTCCGCTATCTCGTCGACAAGGCCATGATCGACAATATCGTTTTCCGGGCACACTATCGAGTAACATCCGCTATTCTATTCGTCTGCTGCATCATCGTAACTGCGAATAATCTCATAGGTAAGCTATAAATCGAATCCTCCCGTGATAAACAATCGTCACTTCAGGTTATCCAATTCAATGCATAAACGACCGCGGTGTCCCCGGGCACGTCATTAACACCTACTGCTGGATCACCTACACCTTCACCCTTCCCCACGAACAAGGCAGACACATAGGGACAGAAGTAGCTCATCCGGGTTTAGGAAACGAAAACCAAGAAAGACGCTACCACAGCTACTACCAGTGGGTACCGTTCGTACTATTTTTCCAAGGAGTATTATTCTACATGCCTCACTGGGTTTGGAAAATCTGGGAAGACGAAAAAGTCCGCACGATCTCCGAAGGCATGCGAGGCGATTTAGTCGGGGCGAAAGAACAACGCGAAAGACGCCAATCCCGAGTGGTGCAGTACCTGGTGGAAAGCATGCACATGCACAACACGTACGCTTTCGGGTACTTCGTCTGTGAAGCGCTCAACTTTATCAATGTGGTAAGTTCGAAAAACACGGTCGCGACCTCAATTGATCGATAAATTGGCTCTGATTGCCCCCAGATGGTCAATATATTCATGACGGATAAGTTCCTCGGGGGCGCCTTCCTCAGCTACGGCACCGACGTCATCAACTTCTCAAACATGAACCAGGAGAACCGCACCGACCCCATGGTGGCCGTTTTCCCCCGCGTCACCAAGTGCACCTTCCACAAGTTCGGTGCGTCTGGAACTATCCAGAAACACGACGCTCTCTGCGTGCTCGCTCTCAACATCCTCAACGAAAAAATCTACATTTTCCTGTGGTTCTGGTTCATTATTCTCGCCGTATTCTCGGGATTGGCTATGGTTTATTCCGCCGCTGTTGTTCTCCTGCCTAGCACCCGCGAAATGATCCTGAAACGGAAGTACCGCTTCGGCGCCCCCAATGCCGTCGACACGATCGTAAGGAAGACACAAGTGAGTGTGGATTAACTCGGAAGCGTAATGTGTTACACGAGTCGTGATTTCAGGTGGGGGATTTCCTTTTATTGCATCTCTTGGGCCAGAATATGAACGTGATGGTGTTCGGGGAGATATTGGATGAGTTCGTGCGTCGGCTGAATTTCGGGAGCAATTGTAACTTGCCGTCTGCGCCGAGCACGCTGGAGATGAGCCCCATTTATCCCGCGATTGAGAAATACGGGAAAGAGACTGAGACTTGAGCTTCGCCGTTTTTAGTATCTTAAATTTCGACTTTTTACTTTTATTTTGTGATTTATTTTATATTTAGGTCTGCTTCGCTCATTTTATCGACTAGGTGAGACTGTTTTCTTTAAATATAAGCGCCTTTAAGAAGAGTTTTCATTATTTACGGGGGATAATTTAGTTAGGGGCGGTCTGGAGGGAGTTGGGAATGTGATACAAGGATCTCGGGGCTGCTGCCTAGAAACGCCCTTACCTACACCGCATTTTCCCGTAAGAGGAGCTGCTGCTTACACCGATACGCTTTCACATCACATAAAACAAAAAAACTTTGCAAAAAGTACAGTAGGATAAGTTCTTTAGGGACCCCCACTTTAGGAACTATGATAAAAATTAAAATTCAGAAAGCGTCTAAATTTTAAATTATTTCAATTTTACTGTAGTTGTTTGTAATCGATATAGCGTCCATACAATAAGAGAACTGTTAATTACGTAGTTACAGCAGTAATAGGGAATAAAAAAACTTGTATGTTACGGAATTTTGTGAGAATCAAAAACATTTATTTTTGGTGTAATTAATTTTAATTTTTACCCAAATTAACCCCAAATTTTTGCAAAATATTGACAAAATGACTAGAAAATACTCCGCACTTCCGCAAAAAACCAACAGTGCTTTTAAAAGGCCACGAATACATAAAAAAACCGCTTGAAGCTCGATGGATATTTACTAGCAAAAAAAATAAATAAAATTCAACACAGCAAATTATTAATAAAAGTTTTATATTAAATTATAATAACAAAAATGAAAAACATTTACTTTCGAAGGCGTGGGTTAAACATTCTCATTAATCAAATGTAATAAAAGACAATCATGTTGACCGAATTAATTCTGACAGATGATGGAAATATTTTATAAGAGTGACTGGTATAAAATAAAAATCGACACAAACAGAAAACAGAAACCTATGTTTACTGTATAAAGGTAAAAACGCGAAATTTAACAATCTAAGAAATAGTAAAAGTAAAAAAAAAAAATTAAAAGATATCTGACAATTTAAAATCCAGCGTCATATAAAATAGGAAAGTTGCTATAACTCTCAAGATTAGAATGTCTTTCTGAAACTACAGAAAATGTTTAAAAGGAAAACTGTACAACTTTTTTTAATGATTATCCATCGACCTATTGAAAAAAAAAAAAAATTGTTGAATGAAATCTTAGAACTGGTTTTAGAATTATTATGACAGTTACAGAAGTTTGTTGATTCATCCCTTCAAAAACTTGATGACGTCATTTCGAAAGAACTATTAATATGTCTCTCAAAACAATTGACTGCAGGAACAATTTACTTCTTACTTAGTCTTTGCGAAAAATTATAAAATTTAATTGTGCGAATTTTATTTTCCTCTGATATGTCGTCAATTTTTGGGAAGGGATATTTTAATTAACGATTTACCATACTTACGATGACCTTAAAACATTTGCAAAGTTAAACTTAGATAACTGATTTTTTTCCAAACATTTGGACGTCTAGGTTAAAAAATCAATACGGATTGATAAACCACAGCTGTAGGAGCAAGTTTTTTTTTTATAAAATTGTGGTGGGAATGATTAGACAAAGCTTGGTCATCGTTTTACTGTCTATACGATATTCTTAATAGTGATACAAAATTTAACAACAATCGGTCTGGTAAATTAGGAGATCATCTATTCAGTAAAAATCTAGAGACACAGTAGACGGACAGATAGATGAAAACGGGAGACGTCGAGAAAACATGAAAGTAGCCATTCGCCCGATAGCCCTATTACAACACTTTCTTTAGTTCAACGTTGGCAAGTAAAAAATGAACAAATTTGGGAAGAACTAAATAGTTCGTACAAAAAAATAAACAGATGCAGAAAATAAATGATGTAGAATATTCGTTTATCGAATAAAAGACCTGTATTTCAGGATTTTTGATTAAATTTTTCAAAACCCCAATTTTCCCTTATGAAAATTTCGACCCGTTTTCGACAACCTTTGGAAATTTTCCAAAGACATTTTTTGGTAGATTTCGACTTTCAGATGTTACTTTCAGCCGCATTTTATCGAAAATTTCATTTTTCCAGAATCGTTCATGAAATATGTCAATTTTTACGATTTTCAGAAAAAGTTTTTCAAACCGGATATTTCGAAAATCTTACTTCGGGACCTTAAATGCGCTATATTTTTCGAATCAGTACCCCGAGAACCAAGAATTTTTTGTGGATTTTTGGACAACTTTTTAAAAAGCTCAATTTTTCAATTCTGCTACTTTGCAAAATTTCGACTTTTTTCGACCACTTTAGAAAACTACTGAGAGATTTTTTTTTATATTTCGACCTCCAGAAATTATTTTTGGCCGTATTTCTTCAACAACTACAATTTTTTCAGAATTCCCATATGGCCATTTTGAATATCAAAAATAATAAAACAAGAGATTCAGACCGAATATTTCCAAGACACTGTCCTGGGATCATAAACACGCCATACGTTTCGAATCAGCACGTCTATATCTACAGCTCAAATTTTTAATATTCTCCTTTACAAAATTTCGACTTTTTCCGAGCACTTTTAAAAATTACCGAAAAAGATTTTTTGTAGATTTCGGCTTCTTTTCTTCAATAACTCAACTCCTACCATTTTTTCAGAATCGCCTCATAAGATATCTCGATTTTTACGATTTGTAAATACAAATTGACCCTCAAACCGAATATGTATTTCGAAAATCTTGCTCTGGTGTTTTAAACACCTTATATTTTTTCAGAAATTATTTTCGGCCTCATTTTTTCAAAAAGTACAATCTTTCCAGAATTGTCCAACGAAATATCGCCATTTTTAATATTAAAAATACGTACTAAAAAAAAGAACTTGAAATCGAATATTCCTCAAGCGTTGCTCCGGGACCATAAACACATATATTTTTCAAACCAGCACGTCAAGATCTATATCCCAGAATTTCTTGTGAATTTTTACAATTCAAGTTTTCAATATTAGCCCCAATTCAACCCAAAATATTTCGAAAATCTTGCCCTGGAACCCTAAACACCAAATATTTATTAACCAGTATGTCAAAATCTATACCCAAGAATTTTTTGTGGATTTTTAGACAACTTTTTCAAAAAGTCATTTTTTCAATATTGTCCCCTTCGCAAAATTTCGACTTTTTTCAACCACTGTAGAAAATTACTGAAAGAGATTTTTTTTTATACTTCGACCTCCAGAAATTAGTTTTGGCCACATTTCTTCGACAACTACAATTTTTTCAGAATTGCCCAATGAAATATGGCCATTTTTAATATTAGAAATAATAAAAAAAAGAGTTTCAAACCGAATATTTCCAAAACACTGTCCTGGGATCATAAACACGCTATATTTTTCGAATGAACACGTCTAGATCTGTATCCCAGAATTTTTTGTGGATTTTAGAGATCAAAATTTCAATATTGCGCCATTTTCAAAATTTTGACTTTTATCGAGCACTTTTGAAAATTACCGAAAGAGATTTTTTGTAGATTTCGGTTTCATTTATTCGATAACTTAACTCTTAACATTTTTGCAGAATCGTCCCATAAAGTAACTCGATTTTTACGTTTTCCAAATACAAATTGACCTTCAAACCGAATATTTCGAAAATTTTACTCTAGGATTCTAAACACTATATTTTTTTAATCAGTGTCTTGAGTATATCTCAGATTTTTTTTGTGAAATTTTAGACAATTTTTTCAAAAGCTCAATTTTTCAATATGGTATAAGTATGTATTGTAATTTCAAAATTTCGACTTTTTTCAACCACTTTAGAAAATTACTAAAAGAGATTTTTTTGATATTTCGACCTCCAGAAATTTATTTTGGCCACATTTCTTCGACAACTACAATTTTTTCAGAATTGCCCAATGAAATATAGCCATTTATAATACTAGAAATAATAAACAAAAGAGTTTCAAACTGAATGTTTCCAAAACACTGTTCTGGGACCATAAACTCGCTATATTTTTCGAATCAGCACGTCTAGATCTGTATCCCAGAATTTTATGTGGATTTTAGTGATCAAAATTTCAATATTGCCCCCTTTTCAAGATTTTTACTTTTTTGAGCACTTTTGAAAATTACCGAAAGAGATTTTTTTGTAGATTTCGGTTTCATTTATTCAATAACTCAACTCCTAACATTTTTTCAGAATCGTCCCATAGAGTAACTCGATTTTTCCGTTAAATTAACCTTCAAACCGAATATTTCGAAAATCTTGCTCTGGGATTCTAAATACCCTATATTTTTTTAATCAGTATCTCAGATTTTTTTTTTTTTGAAATTTTAGACAATTTTTTCAAAAGCTCAATTTTTCAATACGGTATAAGTATGTATTTTAATTTCCAAATTTCGACTTTTTTCGACCAAGTTGGAAAATTACTGAAAGAGATTTTTTTTATATTTCCACCTCCAGAAATTATTTTCGGCCTCATTTTTTCAAAAAGTACAATCTTTCCAGAATTGTCCAACGAAATATCGCCATTTTTAATATTAAAAATACTAAAAAAACGAACTTAAAATCAAATATATCTAAAACGTTGCTCCGGGACCATAAACACATATTTTCGAACCAGCACGTCAAGATCTACATTCCAGAATTTTTTGTGAATTTTTACAATTCAAATTTTCAATATTAGCCCCCAAAATTTCGATTTTTTTGACCACTTTCGAAAATTACCGAAACAGATTTTTTGCAGATTTCGGCTTTTTTTCTTCGATAACTAACTCCTAGAATTTTTTCAGAATCGTCCAATAAAATATCTCAATTTTTATGGTTTCCAAATAGAATTTTCAACCCAAATATTTCGAAATCTTGCTCTGGAACCCTAAACACTAAATATTTTTTTAACCAGCATGTCAAAATCTATAGCCAAGAATTGTTTGTGGATTTTCAGACAACTTTTTCGAAAGGTCAATTTTTCAATATTATCCTCTTTTCAAAAGTTCGACTTTTTCAACCACTTTCGAAAATTACCGAAAGAGATTTTTTTATATTTCTACGTCCAAAAATTAAATTCGGCATCATTTCTCCGAAAAGTCCAATCTTTTCAGAACTGTCCAATGAAATATGGCCATTTTTAATATGAAAAATAATAAAAAAAAGAATTTAAAATCAAATATTTCTAAAAGGTTTTTCCGGTAATAAACACACTATATTTTTCGAACCAGCGCGTCAAGATCTGTATCCCAGAATTTTTTGTGAATTTTTAGAGTTCAAATTTTCTATATTGGCGCCACTGCAAAATTTCGACTTTTTTGAGCATTTTCGAAAAGTACCGAAAGAGAGTTTTTGTAGATTTCGGCTTCCTTTCTGCGATAACTCTACTCCTAGCATTTTTTCAGGCTCGTCCAATAAAATATTTCAATTTTTATGGTTTCCAAATAGAACTTTCAACTCAAAATATTTCGAAAATGTTGGTCTGGAACCCCAAACACCAAATATTATTTTTTTTAACCAGCATGTCAAAATCTATACCCAAGAATTTTTTGTGGATTTTTAGACAACTTTTTCAAAAGGTCAATTTTTCAATATTATCCTCTTTTCAAAAGTTCGACTTTTTCAACCACTTTCGAAAATTACCGAAACAGATTTTTTTATATTTCTACGTCCAAAAATTAAATTCAGCCTCATTTCTCCGAAAAGTCCAACCTTTTTAGAATTGTCCAACGAAATATGGCCATTTTTAATATTAAAAATAATAAAAAAATAATTTAAAATCAAATATTTCTAAAATGTTTCTCCGGTAATAAACACACTATATTTTTCGAACCAGGACGTCAAGAATTGTATCCCAGAATTTTTTGTGAATTTTTAGACTTCAAATTTTCAATACTGGCCCCATCGCAAAATTTCGACTTTTTTGATAATTTTCCAAAATTACCGAAAGAGATTTTTTTGTAGATTTCGGCTTCTTTTCTTCGATAACTCTACTCCTAGCATTTTTTCAGACTCGTCCAATAAAATATTTCAATTTTTATGGTTTCCAAATAGAACTTTCAACTCAAAATATTTCGAAAATCTTACTCTGGAACCCTAAACACCAAATATTTTTTTAACCAGCATGTCAAAATCTATACCCAAGAATTTTTTATGGATTTTTAGACAACTTTTTCAAAAGGTCAATTTTCAATATTGTCCTCTTTTCAAAATTTAGACTTTTTCAACCACTTTCGAAAATTACCGAAAGAGATTTTTTTATATTTCTACGTCCAAAAATTAAATTCGGCCTCATTTCTCCGAAAATTCCAATCTTTTTAGAATTGTCCCATGAAATATGGCCATTTTTAATATTAAAATAATAAAAAAAGAATTTAAAATCGAATATTTCTAAAACGTTTCTCCGGTAATAAACACGGCTTCTTTTCTTCGATAACTCAACTCCTACCATTTTTTCATAATCGTCCAATAAAATATCTTAATTTTTACGGTTTCCAAATAGAACTTTCAACACAAATATTTCGAAAATCTTGCTCTGGAACCCTAAACACCAAATATTTTTTTAATCAGTCCGTCAAAATCTATACGTCAGAATTTTTTGTGGATTTTTAGAGAACTTTTTCAAAAGGTCAACTTTTCAATATAGTTCCCTTTTCAAAATTTCGACTTTTTTTACTACTTTCAAAAATTACCGAAAGAGATTTTTGTAGATTTCGACCTCTTTTCTTCGATAAATCAATTCCTACCACCTTTTCAGAATCGTCCCAAACATATCCCAATTTTTACGATCTCCAAATACAAATTGACTTTTAAATCGAATATTTCGAAATTGTTACTCTGGGATTGTACACACCCTATATTTTTTTAATCAGCGTGTTGAGATCTATATCCCAGAATTTTTTGTGAATTTTTAGACAACTTTTTCAAAAGCTCAATTTTTCAATATAGCAATATGCACTGTACATATTGCAAAATTTCGACTTTTTTTCGACCGCTTTCGAAAATCAGAAAATTACCGAAAGAGAGTTTTTTGTATATTTCTTCGAAAACTACAATTTTTTCAGAATTCCACAATGAAATATGGCAGTTTTTATATATAAAAAAAGAAATCAAACCGAATAATTCTAAACTAAATTTCTCCGGGACCATAAACATTCCGAATTTTTTGTTACTTTTTAACCTTACCTTGGAATCAGATGGGAAGAAAGCGAAAAAACACGAACAGTTGTTTTCCATGCCCACTTCTTATGACAAACATTTTGAATCATACTGTATGTTATTTCAAAAACAAGAAATATAAGATTTTGTAACATAGAAGTAACAATTGATAGTTATCTCGACACTATTCAACTTGTCATCAAACCCGGTTTTTGTCGACTCAACACCCACATTAAACATCATCAACGCACCCTTCAACCCACTCACCTGTTCCCCCAGTCGATTTTCGCGATGATTTTCATCTTCAACTCCCTCGTCTGGTCCTGCGTCAACGTGCCCGACACCAGCTGTCTCCTCCACTCCAGAAGGTCCCTCATTACTTTCCCCACCGTTTCGAACTTGTACTGTTCTCTTTGCTGCAAGGCGTCCATCAATCAAACGTGTTCGATCAGGCCACAATTAAACTTACCACGTATAGCTTCTTCCATATATCACCCCACTCGCGCAGAACGAGGGTGACTTCCCTAACAACCGAGTCTTCGAGCGGCACCACGCTCTCGAACAAACCCTCATTGTCGACCTTGCAGGGCTTCAAGTGGATGTAAGATTGCGGGAAAATTCCCTTAATCGAACGGTTTTTCGTGGAGAATCCTCTGTACCAGCCCGAGGACTCTTCGAGGATCTGGACCGTTTCGCCGATCTCGAGGGGCAGGCCGAAGCGGGTGTCGCCCTTCCAGTTGTAAATGGCTAATAACGACATTTTATTATTATTGTTTTTCAACGTGTAAACCATAAATGAATAATTCGAAGGTGACTCGCAGTTTATTAACCCAATCACCACAATTTTCCAGTTCGAAATGTAAAAGAATGAAAATTTTGTGCCCCGATTTTCCGCTGCGTTTTAGACATAAATTCGCCCTTGTGTGAAAAATGGGGCGTTTAATACACTCGCATCGTTAACGCTGTTTTCGCGTTGTGAATTTCCCGAATTCCCCACATTACAGCTATCTTAATGGCGCGTTCCTTATTGGAGGAACCATAAATCATACAAATTATTATGATAAGCTCGAGGTTGACTCGAAATTTAATTTATTTTCGTAACGTTTGCTTTTGCTATTCATTTTGCTTCGGTTTTCGGGACTGATTCGCTTAAAAGATTGATAAGTTTTCTCCAATTCTGGTTTTCTTTGAATCGAAGGTTATTAATATTCATGGCGTGGCATCCAGTTCGTTATCCTCTTGATCAATTCATTTCCAAGTAATTTAATTACGAAATTAATATTCAACAAATATGTACTCAAAGGATTAGTTGGTTGAAATTGAATTCTGAATCTGGAAGGAAATTAGTATTTAGTTTTTGGCGGAAGGATGTGGAGCGGGCGAGAAATGCGAAGGATTTGTTATTACTTTTGCATTTGATTACGCCATAAAATAACGATTTAATCAATTACAACAACTGCTTCCTTTGTTCTAACTGCCTGCAGAAATGATTATCGTCGCTGGCTTATTGTTTTCGTAATAAAACATCCAACGAATTTATTTTTAGAACCATTCTAATTCAATTATCAAAATTTAATACCGTGAAGCGGCAAAAATATTTTTCTTATTTACTTTTACGACCCCGAAGGCACGCTGAGATCAAAACTAAAATTAAGACACTCCGCGTCGAGAAATTTATTTTCCCATCTGAAGATGAGCATTTCAGCAAAGTTTGGCAGGAGCTCCTAGCGAAGTTCGCTATTAAAAAACTTTCCTGGTTTTGTATTAGCAATATTTTTTCTGGCTCCACGATTCTGTTTTAGTTCGAGCTTTATTTGCCTTTAATCACAGTCAATGCGTCACAAATTTGAAATTCACATTTTTGTGTTGCTTTGTGAATGCGAAACAATTAAAAATTTAATGGTTTGCGATTAAGCGAACGTACGTGAATGTAGGCGACAAGTGTGTGTTCCAAATGTGCGGTTTAAAAACACAAATGTGAAAGGATATTTTTCTTGTGTCGCGTGATTCTAATTCGATGTTACATTTACAAAATGATTTATTGTTGTTCTGTCGTCGTTATGCAAACATTGCATGCGTGTCATTTCGTTAGTAGTTTTTTGCTATGATGTCACTATTTTTTGACGAGAATATGACATAATAGTTTGAGGAGGTTGACACTCTAGGTTTCACGTAGCATACAAATCATTATTAATTGGTGGGATAAATTTTTGACAGATAGACGACAACGGGAAACCTACGTTTACGTATTTTAGGACCATTTTCGAAAGTTAACTAAATACATTTTCTTGTGCATTTCGACCCGCAAACTCCATAACTGTTCGCCCATCGAAATATCGCAATTTTTAAAAATTTCAAAAAATTCGAATTTCATACCGAATTTTTCGGAAATATGGCTCCGTCATCCTAAACACAGTATATTTTTTGGAGTCAACATCTTTAAACCTGAATTTCTTGAGAATTTTTAGACGACTATAAGAAGACTAGAACTAAAGAAATTGCAATTAAAAATCCAGGCGGATTCATAAACCACTAAGTATATGAGTACATTATTTATAAAATTTAAATAAAAAGTCAAAAAAATTAAAATATGTTTGACACAATTTAAAATCTGTCGTCACATCAAATATGAAAGTTGATATAAAACTCTCAGATCTTGTGGATTAGAATGTCTCTCTGAAAGTACAGAACGTGTTAAAATGTGCAAAACCCGAAAAATACAGAATATTTACTAAAGTACATTGATTCATTCTCTGCAAAAAGTTGATCACGTCGTCTCAAAAAATGTATTAAATATAACCCTGAGAAGTTCTCTCAAAATAATCGACTAAAGCAATAATTTAGGTAGCAAAAAGTATGATGACATTTGTTGTATTTTCATTTAAAAAACTGGTTTAAATTTACATACACATACGCCCCTGAAGCATAGTCGAACGAATACAGCTTTCCCAAAAACTTATAAAATTTAATTCTGTGAACTTTATTTTCTTATTATGAGGTCGTCAATTTTTGGGAAGTGATACAACAGATATATGTTGATTAACGATTAACCATGCTTATGATAACCTTAAAATATTTGCAAGATATCAAGACGTTGAAATTTGCAGTTTCAATACGGATTCATAAACCACAGCTGTTGGATGTCATTTTATAAAATCTAAATAAAATTTACTGATGACACATTTTGAGCTGACGTCATCATATTGTGGTGGGGATGATTAGATAAAATTTGGTTAGCGTTTTACCATCTACACGATATAAAATTTGACAATAATCGGTCCGGTAGTTTCGGATATTATCTATTTAATAAAATTGTGGAGACATAGAAGACGTTAAGAAAACGGGAGACGTCGAGAAAATATAAATGTAGCCAACCGGCCCATGGACTCCAATACTCAACGCTTGGGAAATAAAAAACCCAATTTTCCCTTATGAAAATTTCAACCTATTTTCGACCACGTTCAAAAATTACCCAAAGACATGTTTTTGTAGATTTTCGGCTTCGTTTCATCGGAAATTTCCAGCGTTTTTTAAAGTCGCCAATTAAAATACAGCTATTTTTAGAGTTTCGTCAAATTAGGTCTCTATAAAAATTTTGTAGATAAAAAAGGAACTTGCATCGAAGTGTAGATTTTGGGAAAAAATTCAAAATTTTACAAAAAAAAAGATGAAAATTTTCTTAGGAAACATATAATCAACAAAACTGTACCACAAATTTTTTCAGTTTATATTAGAAACTGCTGGTAGTATGTTGAATGGTAATGACAGCGATATTTCATGCCATAGTGAATGCAGTAGAATAAATAAAATACTCTGTAATAACTAATAACTGATAACCGGTTAAAAAGATTGTGGGTTCCTAATATATATATATATATTTTTAATAAGTTGAAAGAATCTTGCATCCCTTGGTATTCAGTTATCAAAACACTTTGTAGAAAATCTTGGGCTCTCTAGTTTTTGGTTTTTGAAAACAATTTAAAAAAAAATTGGGCCCTGCTGTTTCCATTAACAAACAATTGAAAAAATGTCACATTACTTGGCGCTTTTTTTTACAGTCCTGAAGATCCTTGATGTTTGTTCGTTTCGAAAACAATTTAAAAAAACCTTAGGAACCCTTGGTATTTCGTCTTTGAAAAAATTAAAACATTCTTAATGTCCTTGCTGTCTTTTTCTAAGAATTTAGAAGGATCTTTCGGTATTTCGGTTTTGAAAAAATTAGAATCTCTCGACAGAAGAACCTAATTAACACCGCCCACCCACCCTGTCTCCTTTTCAGAGACTAATTTTATCTAATCTTAATGAAATGAGTGATCTTATACTGAACAGAAATAAAATTAGTCGTTAGAGTGAGAAGAGGGCGGGCGGGGCCAGAACTTGCTAAGAATGATTTTGGCAAATGACATCTTCCAAGAAAACAGAGGGGGGGTAGGCGGGGCTAGTACTTGCTAAGATAAAAATGATTTTTGCGAATGACATACCTTCCAAGAAAGTAGAGGGTGGGTGGGCGGGCCTAGTACTTGATAACATAAGACTGATTTTAACAAAAAAAGTTACGATTAGAGTTTTTTTACTGTTTTCACATTTTAGATTCTATTAGTAGTTTCCATTCCCACTTGACAGAAGAATAAAATTAGCCCCGCCCACCCACCCTGTCTCGTTTTCAGTGACGGATTTTATCCGATTTGAATGAAATGAGTGATTAATTAGTCATTAAAATGAGAAGAGGGGGGGAGGGCGGAGTTAGTACTTGCTGAGATAAGATTGATTTTGGCAAATGACATACCTTCCAAGGAAATAGAGGGTGGGGGATGGGGGTAGTATTTGCTAAGATAAGAATGATTTTTACGAATGACAGCTTCCAAGAAAATAGAGGGCGGTTGGGCGGGGCTAGTACTTGCTAAGATAAGACAGATTTCTTCCATTCCCACTTGACAGAAGAATAAAATTTGTCCCGCCCACCCACCCTGTCTCCTTTTCAGTGATTGATTTTATCCGAAATGAATGATCTTATACTGAACAGAAACAAAATCAGTCATTAGACTCAGAAGAGGGGTGGTGGGCGTGGCTAGTACTTGCTAAGATAAGACTGATTTCAACAAAAAAAGTTACGATTAAAGCTTTTTTTTACGTTTTTTACATTTTAGATTCTATTAGTAGTTTCAACTCCCACTTGACAGAAGAACAAAATAAGGCAATTTTTACGATTTAAAAAAGAAAATGGCTTTCAAACCGAATAATCGAAAATCTTGCTTCGGGACCATAAATACGCTATATTTTTCGAATCAGCACGTCGAGATCTATATCCCACAATTTTTTGTGGATTTTTAGACAACGTTTTCAAAAGTCCCCTTCGCAAAATTTCGACTTTTTTCGACCACTTTAGAAAATTACTGAAAGAGATTTTTTGTTTATATTTCGACCTCCAGAAATTATTGTAGGCCTCATTTCGTCGAACACTCCAATTTTTTCAGAATTGTCCAATAAAATATGGCCATTTTTAATATAAAAAAAAAAAATAAAAAAAAAAGAGTTTCAAACCGAATATTTTCAAAACACTGTCCTGGGACCATAAACACGCTATCTTTTTCGAATCAGCACGTCTAAATCTGTATCCCAGAATTTTTTGTGGATTTTAGAACTCAAATTTTCAACATTGTTCCCTTTACAAAATTTCGACTTTTTTCGAGCACTTTTGAAAATTATCGAAAGAGATTTTTTGTAGATTTCGGTTTCTTTTATTCGATAACTCAACTCCTACCATTTTTTCAGAATCGTCCCATAAAGTAACTCGATTTACACGATTTCTAAATACAAATTGACCTTCAAACCCAATATTTAGAAAATCTTGCTATATTTTTTAAATCAATATTTCAGATTTTTTTATGAAACTTTAGACAATTTTTTCAAAAGCTCAATTTTTCAATATGGCAATATGTATTGTAATTGCAAAAATTTCAACTTTTTTCGACCAATTTAGAAAATTACTGAAAGAGATTTTTTTATATTTCGACTTCCAGAAATTATTATCGGCCCCATTTCTTCGGCAAATACAATCTTTTTAGAATTGCCCCACGAAATAGGGCTATTTTTAATATTAAAAGTAATAAAAAAAGAACTTTCCAAAAATGAAATTTTCCACTATGTATGCAAATTGCGACCCATTTTTGACGATCTTCGAAATGCAACTAAAAACATTTTCTGGTAGATTTCTTCGATAACTGCAACCGTTTTTCCAGAATCACCCATTGAAATATCGCAATCTTTAAAATTTCAAAAATTTTGAATTTCACGGAATTTTTTGAAAACATCGCTCTGTGACCCTAAACACTCTATATTTTTGGAATCAGCTCGTCAAGATCTATAACCCTGATTTATTTGAGAATTTTTAGACGACTCTTTCAAAAATGAAATTTTCCACGTTTGAACCAGACCCCTTTCGATTTTGCTGAAATTTTAATATTTTTTTATATCCCACTAGACATGTTTCTTAGAATTTTTTCAAAATTTTTTACTCAACCAAAAAAAAGTCATGAATTTTTCAAAAAAATTCCTTTTTTTTTCAAAAAACTGTAACTTTTTCAAAAATTGAGTTATCGGGACGGTTTTTTTTTTCAAAATCTTTGTCTTTAAATGCACCTTTCAGAATAAAATTGAAAAAAAAATGTGAGGTTCTGAGTTTTTTAAATTTTTTAGAAAAACCGTCAATTTCTGGGAGTCTGACATTTTTCCTAAAAAAAACTTTGCTTTTTCCTAGACATTACCCCATGAAACCGGGAATGGGCCGAAATTGCGTTCTACTTTTTCAATAAAAAAAAACTCGATTTTTACCTTTTTTTATTTTAAAAACTGTTTATACACTAAAATTGTTTTGAATCTATAATTTTACAATATTTCATACTTAATTTATAAACTTACCTTATGATTTATGATCATAATTTCACGATTAATATGATTAAAAATCGATTTCTTAAATGCTTATTGAACAAACTATTTATTTCATTTTTTGTTCCTTTTTAAATAACTTTAACTCTATGTTGTATTTGAAATTGCTATGGAAATTCAGTAGCTAAGTTAGCGCGTGACAGTTACAAATTTCCCGACCGTCAATCAGTGTTGCCAACTCCCCGAAATTTAGGGGATTTTTTAGGGATTTTATAAACATTTAACGCTGCACGCAATAATATGCGTAATAGTTGACTGACAAGTGACAGTTGATTTGACAGTTTACACACTGACAATTGCGGGACAAACACAAAAAACAATGGCACGCAATCTTGTAGTACTTCTAATGTAGCAAAGGCAAAGAGGTGTAAATTCATATTAGTCATATAAAATTTATATTAGAAAAATTCTTTTTCTATTTTGTATTTAGGGAATTTTTGGGCTAATTTAGGGGATTTTTTAGACGGGTTTAGGGGGAAAGTGATCAACCAGGTTGGCAACACTGCCGTCAATTCACTTATTCAGCTTATTCTACATAAACTTCACAAACAGGTGTTCCGTGTAGCTCCATTTTGAATTGCAATTCTTGTCGACAAGCATAACCTAAATGTTTATTTTGTGTTTGTTAAAAGTTCTCATGTTCATAAAAAAATAGCAATTTATCTATTAAGTTTTCTAATCTTACTTTGGTTCAAACCAGCGACTGATAAAATGAAAATGATATTGGGAGTAAGTGATAATTTTCATTTATGTATTACATGTCGCAAGAGGATTTCAAAGTTAATCAATCAACAAACTAATAATGATGATAATACTAATAATAACAATTCAAGTGAAAATGATAATAATTTAAGTGGCAATGATAATTTAAGTGACACTGATAATGATCAAAATAATAGTAAGACCGATACTGAAAGTATCACGGATACCACGGAGATTCAATTTTCATTAGGTAAGATTTTTTTGATTTATTTTGTAAAATTTTGTTCTAAAAAAATGTGTGGCTATTTAAATTAAATGCCTTTTTGGCGATTACTTATCCGAACATTTTTTTAAGATTCCATGCCTTTTCTTAGCGAACCTGTAGATTCACAGTCCAGGTCTGATCTTTCTTTTTTAATTGAAAAAAATATAGAACGCAAATTCGGCCCACTCCCGTTTTCACGGGATCCAGAAAAAAATTAAAGTTTTTTTTTAGGAAAAAAAAGTTGGACTTGGAGAAATTGACGGTTTTTCTCAAAAAATTGAAAAATGTCATAGAACCTCACACCAAAAATGTTTTTCAATTTTTTTTGTGAAACGTACATTTAAATACACAAATTTTGAAAAAAAAAACGTCCTGGTAACTCAATTTTTGAAAAAGTTAGTTTTTTGAAAAAAAGAGCCATTTTTTTGAAAAATGCATAACTTCGAAATTTAACCAAATGCATTTGTTGTAGATTCCGGGCGGCGGAAGTCACTTCCGGCCTCACTTCTCCGATAATTCCACCCGTTTTTCCAGAATCGTCCATTGGAATATCGCAATTTTTAAAGATTTTAAAAAATTCGAATGTCACACCGAATATTCCGAAAATATTGCTCCGTTACCCTAAACACGCTATATTTTTGGAATCAGCACGTCGAGATTTATAAAGCTGAATTTTTTAGACGCTGCAGCAACGTGATCACGAACACAAGGAGTGGAAAAATATTAAAAAAAAAAAAATCTCACAAAAATATGAAATAAATACCAACAATAAAACGACGAAGATGAGTATTAGGATTAACTTTATCTTGATGAAAGGTGCATTACTCAACAATTCATATATGTAATACATTTGACAACTATTAGATAAGAATGAAATATCTATTTACATAAACTAATTTCTAAGTTGTATTTATGCGATTGTTTCTCAGAACTCTTCGAGGCGATTAGTACCAAGGTTGACTTGTTTGTAAATTTTACAATGTCTACAACAAAACGCCAAAGTCGGCTTTGACTTTTGCCGCCTTGTCGAAATAAGAATTATAGTTGAACTGTCAAACTGACGTATTATGTACGTCACATTCGAACAATTGAAATGAACACTTGTAAATTTCAACAAGTTTCCGCAATTTCGAACCGCAAAAGACATGATTAAAACTTTTTATCTTTATTTTTGTGTACTCAACATAAAGTTTGTAGCAATCAAGTATGCATTATGTCAAAATGTAGGTAATGTTCCTTCTATTGTTTTCCTCTCCAGCTATCTTTATAGCCCCTCTCATTAAAACCTCGTTATTTTTAAAACCCATTAAACTCATCCTTACTTAACTAACTGCATTACATTGAGATTTAGCACCCCAATGACCCCAAAAGACAAAACCGCCGAACTTTTGTTCCTTGTTAATGAAATTATTTTTTTGTACTGTTGACTCAACATTCGAACCGCACACTCGACAAAAACAACACAACCACACATGTTTATGACGTTAATTCCTCGAAACGTACGTAGATTATTGACTAGAGGAGAAGACATCACAACATCCGACAAAGCGACAATTTGATTACATTTAATGTCCGGATGTACGTTATCAATTATGGGTTTTTCAATATACAGGATGGACCCTGAAAGCATCTCGTCCCGAAACGATGACCTAGAAAGTTAAACCTTTAATTACATGACTCGCCAGTGTTATCTTCAAAATAACGCGCATCGTAATCAGCGTTATCGCGATTTTTACGAAACTGGACTGATAGTGATAAGCTGTTATCGGGTATTATTCACGCACTTCTTTATAAAATCGCGGCAAATTTAATTAACACAATCGCCGTAATGAGAATAATACACGGAACAAGCAAGGCCAATCCAGGTGGCACTACCTATTTTTACATCTTCTAATTATAAATTCCAGACATGACCACAGAGGAAGCATAAAGTGTTGAGATCCGAAGAAGTCGCTGCGCCGGAAGTCGAGGGCCCAAGTACAGTCGCATCTAAAATTGTTAATTCAAATGCCGTGCCAAAACATGCACAATTGCAGTGATAAACAACATGGTTGCATTTAATTATAGAGGTGATTGGGTTTTTTGCCGACAAAGGCGAAATGTGGGAGCGAAATTGGACCTTGACAAGTCGAACTGACTCGCTCGCGATTTTTTTAAATCATTGGGGTAATTGTTATGATTGGACGTCAACATTGACGGAAATTTCGGCGGATAGGTTAATAACAAATGACGAACGGTGACTTACCGACGCCGTATTTTTTCGTTTTTGTCGGGATCCACATTCTGCACGATTTTTATCAGTTATCACATTTTAACAACACGGAGCACACACGCACACATTTTAATCAATAGCACTACTCAACAGTCCACGGCCATTGTTTAGATTGTCAAATTTGAAGATAATCAGGGATCGGCAGCGGGGGTTGGCGCGCGAGATAACGTCATTACGCTGCTGAAAGATAGATGGCGCTTCGGTAATTATACCGATTTCTTTCAGCGAATTTGGCGAAACTGGTAAAAGATGGAAGGGTCGCCAACATACGATTCCGCGGGACAAATATTGGCACTACCAATGTCTAAAAGTTTTCGGTGCCTCGAATCGTGCAAATTCGACTAAAACTTTGACTCGTAAATCAAACTTGATTACACAATATTATTGAGGAAAAAACTTTTGAAAGTGTAGAGCTTTTCGATTGTGTTATGTGTTATCATGAAGAGGTCATTGCACGTTCCGATAAAATAATTTAAATTATTGTTGCACTGATTCCTTGTTTGGTAAATCGGTCACGAAATGTACGTGTATAATAAATTGTTTATGGCTTTGTACGCTGATAATAAGGAAGTGGAATTATTTATTTACATAGAAGTTAGTAATTTAGGAGTAGCGAATTTCTGAAGATTGCAAAATTGTTTTCCGAATTAATTTGGACTGCAACTTTGAAACCTAATTACTAATTATAAGTTTATGATATAAAAAAAAAACAAAAAATGTACCACTTTGAATTTTTTAAGCCTAAATCGCCACCTGACATAGTAAAATTCAGTCTTCGTCTAATAAAAAAAAAAAACAATAAAATTTAAAAGTGGTGGGTGGGATTAGTTTTACGTTTTTTGTCTAGATTTCGTTGATTATCACTATAAAGTTGCCCTTTTGTCCAATAGATGAGCGATCAGGAGAACAACCGGGTGGGTGGGCGGGGCCACTTTGAATTTTTGTAAGTCTAGTTCGCCATTTGACGTCGTAAAATTCAGTCTTCATCAAACCAAAAAAAACAATGAAATCCAAAAGTGGACGTGGGTGGACTTAGTTTTACCTTTTCGCCTAGATTCCAATGTTTATCATTATAAAACCCCTTTTTTTGTCCAATAAAATTAGTGATCAGGAGGAAAACCGGGTGGGTAGGCGGGGTCACTTTGATTTTTTTTAAGCGTAGATTCAACCATTTGACAAAATTAAATTCAATTTTCATCTAATAAAAAAAAAACAATAAAATCCAAAAGCGAACGTGGGTGGGGTTAGTTTTACCTTTTCGTCTAGCTGCCAATGTTTATCAGTATAAAACCTCCTTTTTGTCCAATAAAATGAGTGATCAGTTTGAATTTTTTTAAGCGTAGTTTTAACAACTTGACAAAATTAAATTTAGTTTTCAGCTAATCAAAAAACCAATGAAATTCAAAATTTCGTGATTAGTTTTACGTTTTTTGTCTAGATTTCGTTTGTCACTGTAACATTCCCCATTTGTCCAATAGAATGAATTATCAGGAGAAAAACCGGGTGGGTGGGCGGGGTCACTTTGAATGTTTGTAAGATTAGTTCGCTATTTGACATAGTGAAAATCAGTTTTCATCTAATCAAAAAAACCAATAAAATCCAAAAGCGAACGTGGGTGGGGTTAGTTTTACCTTTTCGTCTAGATTCCAATGTTTATCAATATAAAATTCCCTTTTTGTTCAGTAAAATAAGTGATCAGAAGGAAAATTTCCCTTTAATCAAATAAGCCAATGAAATTCAAAACCGAAGGTGGGTGGGGTTGGTTTTTAGATTCTACTCTTGTTCAATATAAATTGCACTTTTCGTCCAATAAAATGAGTGACCAGAAAGAAAACCGGGTGGGTAGGCGGGGCCACTTTGAATTTTTTAAGCCTAACTCGCCACTTGACGCAATAAAATTCACTTTTCATCTATTCAAAAAAATCAATAAAATTCAAAGCGGGGTTTTGTTAGTCAGCACAAAATTACCTGTGAGTGATCAAGAAGAAAACCGGGTGGGTGGGCGGTACTACTTCGAATTTTTGTAAGTTTAGTTCGCTATTTGACATTGTAAAATTCAGTCTTCACCCAATCAAAAAAACCAGTGAAATCCGAAAGCGGACGTGGGTGGGGTTAGTTTTACCTTTTCGTCTAGATTCCTATGTTTATCAATATAAAACCTCCTTTTTGTCCACTAAAATAAGTGATCAGAAAGAAAACCGGGTGGGTGGGCGGGGCCAGTTTGAATTTTTTTAAGCGTAGACTTAACGAGTTTACAAAATTAATTCAGTTTTCATCTAATCAAAAAACCAATGAAATTCAAAAGCGGTGGTGGGTGTGATTAGTTTTACGTTTTTTGTCTAGATTTCGTTGTTTGTCACTATAACATTCCCCTTTTGTCCAAAAGAATGAGTTATCACGAGAAAAACCGGGTGGGTGGGCGGGGTTAGTTTTACCTTTTCGTTTAGATTGCAATGTTTATCAATATAAAATTCCCTTTTTGTCCAATAACATGAGTGATCAGAAGGAAAACCGGGTGGGTGGGCGGGGCCACTTTGACTTTTTATAAATAGAATCAGTCACATGAGAATATAAAATTCGATTTCCATCTAATCAAATAAGCCAATGAAATTCAAAACCGAAGGTGGGTGGGGTTGGTTTTTAGATTCTACTGTTGTTCAATATAAAATGCACTTTTCGTCCAATAAAAAGACTGACCAGAAATTTTGTAATTGTAATTAAGCTCCGCCCCCTATCTCATAACGAATAAAAAAATCATCACAGTCGAAATCAGGGCGTGTGGGTGGGACATAATTTTCCTTCTCTTTTTCTTAATATATATCTATAGTTTTCTTTCGACAACATGATACTTAAAAAGATGTTATTAATCTCCGCCCCTCTCCCCGCTTACCACCATTTTTAATAATCAAAAATGTTTAACTTACATAAATTTCTTCAATTCCAGACTTGCAGAAATTTTTTTAAATTTAGAGCTTTTTTTACTGTAATAATTATCTCTTTAAACAACAGAACTCTTAAGTTCAAGAAAATTTAACTTTATAGAAAAACATCGAATTTGCAATTATGCTCCGCCTCTCTCTCTCTGATAACGAATGAAAAATTTACCGCAATTGAGACTTGGGCGGGTGAGCGGGGCTTAATCATTGGCTTCTCTTTATTAATCTGTATAGTTTTCTTTCAACAACACGATGCTTTCAAGAAAATTTAACTTTGTAGAAAAACATCGAATTTCCAATTATGCTCGGCCTCGCTCTCTGACAACGAATGAAAAATTTATCGCAACTGAGACTGGGGCAAGTGGGTGGGGCTTAATCATTGGCTTCTCTTTATTAACCTATATAGTTTTCTTTCAACAACACGATGCTTAAAACATGTTTCACATGCTAATTTCTTGTAGAAAAATAAGGCTTTTGCAATTAAGCTCCGCCCCCCGATTTACAACGAATTAAAAAAAATAATCACAATTGAGATGGGGTGGGTGGGTGGGGCAGACTTGTCCTTTGATTTTCTTTTCGTAATATACATTGTCTTTTTTCAACAACAAAATACTTAAAATATCAAATGGTGAATTTAAAGTGAACTGAAATTACAATAATGTTTTAATATTGTATTGTAGAAAGAAAACTAAACATTAATAAAAAGAAGGCAGCGTTTAAGCCCCACCCACCCGCCTCCATCTTTATTGTGATTAATTTTTATTTATTCGTTGAGACAGGGACCGGGGGCGGAGCTTATTTGCAGAATCCGTACTCTACAAGAAATTACCATGCGAAACATGTTTTAAGTATCGTGTTGAAAGAGAATTATATATATGTATTAAGAAAAAGAAGCGGATGATTAAGCCCCACCCACCCGCCCCAGCTCAATTGTGATGACTTTTTCATTTGTTGTCAGTTGGAGGGGTGGAGTTTAATTGCAAAATTCACATTTGTCTACAAAAATTACCATTTCAAACATGTTTTTAAGTTTCTCATTATGAAAAAATGACTACCTCATCTCAATTGTAATGTTTTTTTTATTCGTCACAAATCGGAGGCGGAGCTTAATTGCAAAAACCGCATTTTTCTCCAAGAAATTACCACGTGAAACATATTTTAAACATCGTTGAAAGAAAACTATAGATTAACAAAGAGAAGCCAATGATTAAGCCCCACCCACGCCCCCCAGTCTCAATTGTGATGAATTTTTCATTCGTTGTCAGACCGAAAGGCGGAGCATAATTGCAAACTCAATATTTCCATCGAAAAATTTACTCTTTTAAACATATTGTAGTGAAAAATTGAGCTTTTCGCAAAGTTGCGAAAATTCACAGAAAATTCTGGGAAATAGATCCAGTTGAGCTGAATCCAAAACTATGGCATGTTGATAGTTCCAGTCCAAGATTGAGGGCTACAATCGAAAATTCTAGAAAAATTTTGGAAATTTTGTGAAAGAAAACTGGCTGGTCAAAAATTATGAAAAAAATCGTGTGTGCAGGAATTAAGCGTCGATCAAACATACGAATCTCAAGTCGATACGACGACTGGTTTTCTAAATATTCAATTTCTAAATAATTTTTTTTTAATATTTCAAAGATTGACACATTTTATTTTGGCGACTTTGTAAAAATGGTACGAATTTTGGAAAAACTGAAACTTTAGGGGATCGAAATAGACAAAAAAAAAATTCGCACGATCTTGACGGTTTTCGAGAAAAGGTCCAAAATTTCAAAATTGAAAAACTGGACTTTTCGCGATGTTTCCTAAAAATTTTAAAATTTTTCTACAAAAAATTACCATGTGATACATGTTTTAAGCATCGTGTTGTTGAAAGAAAACTATACAGACTAATAAACAGAAGCCAATGATTAAGAAAACCGGTGGGTGCGCGGGGCCACTTTGAATTTTTTAAGCCTACCTCGTCACTTGACGCAGTAGAAATAATTTTTCATCTAATCAAAAAAACCAACGGAATTCAAAAGCGGGGTTTTGTTTGTCAGTACAAAATTACCCTTTTGTCCAATAGAATGAGTGATCAAAACAAAACCGGGTGGGTGGGCGGGGCCACTTTGATTTTTTTTAAGTCTAATTCGCTATTTGACAGTCAAATTCAGTCTTCATCTAATCAAAAAAACCATTTTGATTTTTTTTAAGCATAACTTGGACCACATCACAAAATGTAATTCAATTTTCATCTCACAATGAAATACAGATGGGGACGTGGAGTTAATTTTATCTTTTAGCCCATTTTTCAATTGCTTGTTAATATAAAATCCACAACCAATAAAATGAGTGATTAATTTCATTGGCTCTTAATTTAATGATCTCATTTTGGCAAATTCTGTAATTCTGTAACAGACAAGAGTGAAATTATTCTTCGTGATTTGTGCATTTTATCGAATTTACAGAAAATTTTAATATTTTAACAATCGTTCTAAATTTGCATCTTGTTCGAAAATATCCCAAATTTTAAAAAATAGGATTAAAATGATTAAAATTGTGGCGAGAACGTCGAGATTTAAAGAAAAAGGGCTTTCAAAAAAAAAGTAAATATCTACCTAAGAGTTACAAACTCAAAATGGGTCAACACAGTGAGATAAAACAACTTCTATGAAAATAAAGCACAAAAAAAAGTTCAGGTACAGACCGACAGACGGAAATGGGCGACTTATTTCTTTATAAGCACGTCTAACAAACGTGTTGATTGGTTGAGACGATGACAGCTGCTGTAATAAATGTCTCATTGACAATCAGGTATACCACCATAAAATTTTTAATAGGTTCCAACTTGATAAAAAAAATTACAAACATTAATAGTTGCTCGGTATTTTTAGATATTTCGATTGGCCTCGTATCAGGCTTTCTGACTAAAGTTAATTTTTGAAATGCCAATGGTATGTTGCCACGTTATATCAACTTTCTTGGGTTTTGTTGCAGTATCAACTAAATTGCGTCTTAATAATGTTAAAAAAATCTAAAATATCACTTTGTGTCCAAATAGAACAGCCTAATTTTACTACTGAATCACAATTGTTTTTTCTTTCTGTTTTTCAAAATTATGAGTGTCGCCAAAACCGCAAAAGAGAATAAACAACACAGTTAGATGCACCAATAAAACATTGGTGTCCTATTTAAAAAAACGGAAAAGTCGATATTTAAAAATTATATTCTACTATTCTTTTCATAGGCACTTGTATTAAGACTGAATTTTAGTGGTACTCCAAAAAAACATTTACCTGTGTTAATCTTCCTATAAAATATTGCAACAAAGTCTAACAATAGGGTAATCGGAACACGTAAAAATATATAAGGCGTCCAGTTAAAAAAACTTAACTGTGTATTGACCCTCAAAAACAAAACACTACTTAATTAACCGTGTCATTGAAGATAAAAGCAATCACAGTTGGCTGAGACTAGTTGTGTGGGTGGCACCACTGCACACCTAACTTATCACGTATGTTCATATTACGTCAACACGTCAATTTGATCACAACGCCAACTCTAATTAATTTTATTTTTGATTGTACGGTATTAATAGAAAAAGCACCAACTGAAAAAATAGTGTTTATTGTATATTATACATATTACACATGTCCTAATGAGTACACCTAACTTAGTCGTTTTCTTATCACATAAAATAAAGAGTTAAATAATCCTAAAACTGCGTAATTCGTACACAAAACCGGTTATATGTTTGAGATAAGCTCATTTAGAGTCGCTCCGATTCTTCAGTTTCATTCGAGCTTGTAGAAATTCTTTATTAATGACTTTATCATCTTCATTCTAAAAAAAAAAAATGGTCACCACTATTTTATTTTCAACTTGTCTCAAACCTTTTCGTCCATACTATTCGCTTGCATCCTTTTCGCCCTATCCGCTATCACTTTCTCTAATTCGGGCGTTTTGGCCGCCAAATGAGTCTCCAACTCCTTCTTCGCCATATTCTCCTTCTGCTTCTCCAACGCCCTCTGCAATTCGGATTTTTGGTTGAGTACGTTTTTCCCACTGCAAAACACAAAATCACCAGACCGTTTCGCAATTATAGCGAATAATTACATTTTCTGGTTAAACAACAACTCTTTGTGGAGATTCTGTCTTTCGCTGTTTTCTTTCACGGGATTATGCGGCTTCCGAGGGATAATTAGGCCCTCTTCGTTAATCAGCGGAGCCGGAGGATGGTGGTGGCTTGGAGGCCTCTGAGTTTCGGGAATCATCGTTTCGGAAGACTCGTCTACACAAAAAAAAATATATATTACAAACTAAACAGTTGCTATGCAACAAGTGCAAAAGTGACTGTTTGCTACACGTGCGACATATAATTTTTTCTACGACTTTCTCAACGCGGCAAAAAAGTAATTTACGTTGTGAGTTATTACAACAGCATGTATTAAAGTAAATACTAATAACAGCAATAAAATAAGTACGACGTAATTAATACCAGTTTTAAAATGTACATAATTAATTAATTAATTTATATAATCTGTTGGTAAATTTTGCTGTGAAACTTAGTTCACGAGATAATGAGAAAAAAAATCTTCACCTTATCACAGAAAAATTCTTAACCAACCCGACGCGCGTCGCGGCGCTCCCGCTACTGAAGTTCCAGTTCATGGACGTACTTTTTATTAGATTTGCAATAGGTCAAGAGCGGATTTACGCGTGGGTATTTGCGGAAAAAATCGATCGCTCACCTGTGTCTGATTCTATGCTGTTTAACTTGGATTTGAGCTCTTCGATTGTGTTCTGGGTGTTGATTGGTTGCTCTTCTTTCGTTGTCAAATCCTGGAAAAAAAACGAGAGCGGTTAGTGTCAAAGACCGAGGGTGAAGTGAGTGCGGTTGATCGAAAATTTAAAAATACGTCACACTTTCACGTGTACTTGTAGTAGGTATGGTTAAAGCAGTTCCGTCATCGGAACAACGGCACGGCCAATTAAATAGAAAGACTGCGTTTTCTTTAACAAATTTGCTCAATCATACAATTAAAAGTCGCTTTAAAGTAAACGCTCGATTATGGATATTTTACTTACTTTAACAAGCGTAAATATTTGCCGAGAATTATTTTCGTTACCTTGAATGGGTTTGTTCGGAGTGTTATCGTTCCGTGGAACAATGGATATTGCTACTATTTTTTCAATGAATATTATTGGATTTAAAAAAAAAGTTAAACATCGCTGAATTACTGACGTCAGAATTAGGTGAAACGACATCTGTCAAACGCGGGATTAAAAAAATGTTGACGAATCACCCTTGGAAACGAAATTGTGTATTCAGGTATTACTCGTTTACAAATTATCTGAAGCCAATTACGACGATTAAAAATGGCGGTAAATGCTTACCACGCATTATTTTGTGACCTTGACCACGCGTTTAGTGTTCTTATCGCATCAAAATTAAAGGACGGTGGATTTTTGCTGATATTTTAAAAATTTTAGCATAAAATTACGAACCACATATTATTAACATTTTCATTTTATTTTTTAATAATCAAATTAAATATGCACACATTCAAAAATACGGTTTATAAAAAATACATTTAATTTTCACAATAAGAAAGTGATACCTAATAAAAGTGATATTTTCAACAGGTGTTACACCGTTAATGGCTAAATTTGCACATGGAATACGATAAGAAACTTATTTAAAACCAGTCTATCTAAAATTTGACGTTCTCAGAATGTCAGTGATAGGATTCTATGCACCTATCAATAAATCCATCACAATTTAATTAACATTCAACGCACATGGTAATCAATCATGAACAACAGTTGTCGTTCTTATCACTTCTTATGTTTAATCTACGTTATTCAAAAGCACTCGGTAAAATTGGCGAACAAGTAACAACATAAAATTGTCATGTTAATGTTATCGGTAAATTTAAATCACATTATTGAAACAATCAACACTTTATCAGTTCCAGTTACGTTAAACGTGCATCCAAATTTATTTTGTAACGATATTTGTTTTATTACGAAATGTGGTTTCACAAATTATTAACGACTTTACAGAGAAAACTGGTGCCCGACTTAAAATTTAAGGAAATTGTAACTGAAGAAATATCTACCAATTTACTACACCCTGCTGATATTGCTAAGAAATACGACCAATGGCACCCTCCATAAGAATTAACACGAAAAATCTCAAATTTAACAAATCGAAATGTGTAAATGTGTAAAAGAAATTTAAAAATTCCCAAAACTGAAATGTTGAAAAATCGAAAATTTGAAACATCTAAAATTTAAAAAATCGAAATTGAAATATCGAAAAACTGAAGAATTGAAAAACTGGAAAAACAAAACATGGAAAAATTCGAAAATCCTAAAATCTAAAAATTGAAAAACAGAGAAATCGAGAAAACGAAACATGAAAAAATTTTAAATTGAAAAATTGAAGGCTTTAAGTCGAAAAAACAAAAAATCGGGATATTGAAACATCAAAAAATTGAAAAATTTAAAACTGAAAAAATAAAGAAGCGGAAAATCGAAAAATAGAGAAATTGCAACATTCAAAAATTGAAAAATCGAGGGCACGAAACATCAAAAAGTTGAGAAGTCGAGAAAATGGAAAAATCGATAAATCCAATTCGAAAAAAAATTGAAAATAGAAATATCTAAAATATGAAAAATCAAAAAATTCGAAAAGTTAAAAAACAGAACAACTGAAGGACCGAAAGATCAAGAAATCGAAAAATCTAAAATCTGAAAATCGAAAAATTGAGAAATCGAAGCATCAAAAAATCGAGAAGTCGAAAAATCCCAAAATTGAACATCAATAAATTAGGAAATCAAAAAACTGAAAAATCAAGAAACCGAAAAGTCGAAAAATCGAAAATTCATGAAATTAAAAACCTGAAACACCGAAAAATTGAAGGATTCAAAAACCGAAAAATCAAGAAATCGGGAAATCGAGAAATTTAAAAATCGAGAAAAATCTTAATACTGAAAAAAAGAGAAATAAAAAAATAAAAAAAAGGGAAATCGAAAGTTTAAAAAATCGAAAAAATGAAAAATGAAAAAACTCAAAATTTCCAAAACAGAAATATCGAACAGCGGAAAAAATCGAATATTCGAAAAAATTTGAAATCGAACAATAAAAAAATTATAAATCGAAAATTTAAAAAATCAGAAAAATTGAAAAATCGGGAAATCCAAACATCGAAAAGTTGAGAAATCGAGAAATGGGAACATCAAAAAATGGAAAAATCCAGAAATCGAATTCGAAAAATCAACAAATCGAAAATTTAGAACGCTAAAAACTGACAATTTGAAAAACGCAAAAAAATTCAAAATCTAAAAGGTGAATAACCGGAAAATTGAAGAATTAAAAAATGGAAAAATCGTTAAGCTGAAATATCTGAAATTGAGACGTAAAAAATCTCAAAACTGAAATGTCGAAAAATTGAAAATCGAGAAATTAAAAAAAAATGAAAAATCCAGAAATTCAAAAATCAAAAAATTGAAGAATAAAAAAAAAATCGAAAAACTGAGAACTCGAAAAATTGAAACATTAAGGAATCGAAACATGAAAAAATTGAGAAAATGGGGAATGGAAATAGCCCAAATGAAAAATTAAAAATTGAAAAACTGAAGAATTTAAAATGCAAAAAAAATAGATAACTGAAAAACTGAAAAAATCGAACAAAACATTAAAAATCGGAAAAATGAAAATCTACATCCGAAAAGTCGAAACACTCGAAACATCAAAAAATTGAAAAATCTGTAATTAAAAAATTGGAAAAATTGAAATATCGAAAAACTGAATAATCGAGAACTCGAAAAGTCTAAAATTTAAAATATCGTCAAAAAATTAAAATATCGAAAAACTGAAGAAACGGAAATCGAAAAATCAAGAAATTGGAACATGAAAAAATTAAAAAATTGAAAAATCGAGAAATCAAAAAAATTGAGTCCTCGAAAAATTGAAAATCAAGAGACTAAAAAAGTGAAAATTCAACAGATCGAAAAGTTGAGAAATCGGGAAAACGGAAAATAAAAAAATGAAAAAATCGGGAAATCGAATTCGAAAAATCGACAAATCGAAAAGGTGAATACCCGGAAAATTGAAGAATCAAAAAATGGAAAAATCGTTGAGCTGAAATATCTGAAAATCGATAATTCGAAAAATAACAAATTGAGAAATCGAAAATTTGAAAAATCCAGAAATTGAAGAAGTAAAAAATCTCAAAACTGAAGTACCGAAAACTGAAATCGAGAAATTAAAAAAATTGAAAAATGGAGAAATCGAAACATGAAAAAATTGAGAGATTGGGCGATCGAAATAGCCCAAATGAAAAATTAAAAATTGCAAAATTAAAGAATTTAAAATGCAAAACAAATTGATAAATCGAAAAATCAAATATCTCAAAAATCGAAAATATTAAAAAACTAAAAATCAAGATGAAATATAAAAAAATTGAAAAATTGAGAAATCAAAAAATTGAGTAATTGAAAAATTGAAAATCAAAAGGCTGAAAAATTGAAAAATTGACAGATCGAAAAGTTGAGAAACCGAGAAAAGGGAAAATCAAAAAATGGAAAAATCGAGAAATTGAATTCGAAAAACCCACAAATTGAAAATTTAGAAACGCCAAAAACTGACAATTTGAAAAATGAAAAAATTTCAAAATCGAAAAAGTGAATATCGAAAAATCGAAGAATCAAAAAACAGAAAAATCATAAAGCTGAAATATTGGAAAATCGATAAATCGAAAAATAAAATATTGAGAAATTGAAAAATCCAAAAATTGGAGAATCAAAAAATCCACTGAAATATGGAAAGAAATCGAAAAGCCGAAAAATCTCGACGTCTAGGATAAAAATTCAACACTGACTCATAAGTCATAAACCACAAGTTGAAGACTATGTTACTTTTTAACATTAAAAAAACATTCATTCGACAAAATTGTGACATCATCAATTCCTGGGGGGTTCCACCATACTTCCGAATTGTAAAATGTTGTACAATTTTAATTTTTTTCCAAAAATCTGGATGCTTAGGGTAAATCTCAACACGGATTCATAAACCACAAATTATTATTTTAAAATCAGCCAAATTTTGATTAGCGTTTTATTATCTATATTCTATAGGATAGTCCTAATATACAATCAAAATTTGATAACAATCCGCTGACAGACGGAAACGAGAGACCTATTTTTTCGTACTCTAGAGCTCATGAAATGCCCGATGGACTCGATTACAACCCTTCATTAGCTTACGCTCGAGAAGCAAAAAACTAATCTTTCAATATCACAAAAACCACTTATGGAGTTTTGTAACACAGAAAAGCAATCCACTTTTTACGTAGTCACCACAAGGCTTAAGTAGGCACTATTGATTGTACCTTTCGACCTAGTAACATCCTTAACAGTGACAATAATTGAATTGCAAGGCCTAAAATTATTTCACAGTGAGTAATTTTTTTTAACTGACTGACGTATTTTCCCTTGAATATCTAAAATTGATTCTTTTATTGAATTAGAGTTTTCCATAACAAAATAATTACAGGCAGCTGTCAGCCACGTTCCCCACTTCATGAATACTGGTTCCAGTAGCAGGGGAGGCAATTTATTCATATGACTGATTCTGAATAAAGATTTGAGAAATATTTTGACCAGTATGATATTTTAAAAAATCGCAATACATACATCCAAAAATATGTAAAAATATACAAATTAGTATCAAGCACGCGATGAAAATAAATGAAATGATAGGTGTCCGATTCCACCAAGATTTGGCAACATTTAAAATTTTTTTGTAAACATATACATTTTCTCCATGAATATCT